TAAGAGAGCCACTTAAACTAAGAAGTTCAGTTGGACAGGTACCTTGTTTGATGTGGTACGATGCTACCCGGGCGCTGCACGCACTTTGGGCTGCCAGATTGACCAGAAGAATAGGGTTAGTGAAGGAAAGAGAACAGATGACAGAAGAAGAGCCCGATGCAGAAGAAATAAACTGTAGAAGAGTAGTAAGTTGGGCGAGTTGGTAAACGTTGAACATGGTTAAAATCGCGCACAAAGAGACAAGGACAAACGAGGAAGGAACACAGAACACAGACAGGCGCGCACTCACAACTCTAGTATATTAAGTGAAGAAGAGAAAGATGAAGCACTATTTTTTACAGGGGACAACGTCACCAGGGGGAAACAGATCATCCGCAGTCAAATGATCGCAAGAAGGCAACTTCTTTTTCACTCAAAGCAACCGACGGCTGGCTAACGCAGCGATCGCTCAGGCTCAAGATGGTGAACGCCTCGAGCACCTCGCGCGTTTGTTTTTCTTTGAAGCGGCCAATGATTGATGTTTTTTCTAAAGATGGTGTGCACATACAGGTTTTACAGTGCACCGAAAGGTGACCTCCTACATTAGATGTTAAGGAAAGTTTATGCTCTCGTAGCCGGTCATTCAGACACCGTCCCGTCTGACCAACATAGCATCTTCCACATGAAAGAGGGATGCTATAAACAACGCCCGATGAAGAGGGAACAAATGGCCGCACATGTTTCTTGTGGCACGTGTTTTTGGATAATTTTTCCGCCTTATCCAAAAACACGTGCCACAAGAAACATGTGCGGCCATTTGTTCCCTGTTCATCGGGCGTTGTTTATAGCATCCCTCTTTCATGTGGAAGATGCTATGTTGGTCAGACGGGACGGTGTCTGAATGACCGGCTACGAGAGCATAAACTTTCTTTAACATCTAATGTAGGAGGTCACCTTTCGGTGCACTGTAAAACCTGTATGTGCACACCATCTTTAGAAAAAACATCAATCATTGGCCGCTTCAAAGAAAAACAAACGCGCGAGGTGCTCGAGGCGTTCACCATCTTGAGCCTGAGCGATCGCTGCGTTAGCCAGCCGTCGGTTGCTTTGAGTGAAAAAGAAGTTGCCTTCTTGCGATCATTTGACTGCGGATGATCTGTTTCCCCCTGGTGACGTTGTCCCCTGTAAAAAATAGTGCTTCATCTTTCTCTTCTTCACTTAATATACTAGAGTTGTGAGTGCGCGCCTGTCTGTGTTCTGTGTTCCTTCCTCGTTTGTCCTTGTCTCTTTGTGCGCGATTTTAACCATGTTCAACGTTTACCAACTCGCCCAACTTACTACTCTTCCTCAACCCTTACTTGTGTCGGGTGCTGTGCCTGTGTTCAGTGTTTTCTCCATACCACGGGTCATCCCGCCGAAAATAACCGCTCAGAGCAACTAAAATATTATCGGAAGACTGAATATCTTTGTGTGCATACGCTGTCCTGCATATTTAGTTGTCTTATGCCAGCATTGCATTTAGGACGTTTGATCAGATTGCTTCTAGTTCGCAAGTAATCAGGAAGTACGTTCACCTGATTGCCTCAGGGCTTTTCGATGAACCGTTCACCCAGTTCAACCCTTGTTTCATAAGTTGCGACAAATAAAGAGTAATGCAGGTATACCGTCATTAGCATAGCCCTGAGAAGGAAGGAGAATATTCACGGCGGAAAAGAAATGGGCAACGTTTTTAGTAAAATTTGTAACACATTTCGCAATCTCTTCTTTTTTTTTTATGAATTTATGAATACTTAGTTTGAATCTGCGGAGCCTGATTTCCATCCGCGAAATTCAGACCTGGAACTTAAAGAGCTGTGCAACAATTTCTGGGATTCGCTTAAATTATTGTGGAAGTTGATGCCTGACACTTCTGAAGTGAACTACAGAAAACATATTTTGCCTGGATACCCTAGTTTTTATTTTAAAAAATGAAAAATATCCAGGTTTTTGCCGCCTCTCAACTCGTACGTCGTCTTCCGGGTCACGTGCGCAGTGACGTTGATGGGGTATGCACGGGCTTCCGGAAAAGTTCTCTCTTTAGAGCCATCAGTGAGCAGCGAGAACTCATCCGCTCGCGACCGCGTGACCACGTGCTGGCGGGCGCCGCGCGAACAATATGGTGAAAGGAGGAAAGTCTCATCCGGGTCCGGCCATCCCCGTCCGGCGCTGTCCCCCTCCCCCTCCGGCTTCTGGCGGCCGTTCGACGGTTTTGTGGACCTAGGATAGATGGCGCCACTAAAACTCCGTATAATGAAAGTTTTGTCGATGATACCAGGTTTTTGACGCATTTATATATATGTTGGAACGACAAGATTTATAGAAAAGTCACCTTTTATCGAGCAGGCATTCGTACAACTTGCTATCTTTCTCGAAGATTCCCCATTGACGTCACACCGCGTGTTTCTCATGGCCGCCGCTCGCGGCTGCAGGCCGGGGAATATTCTAAGTTTTGCCTCGCTATTACGCGGCGGAATCGCAACATTTCGATGAAAGGAGGTGTGTCTTCTGTCATTTGTGACAAGGTGAACAATATCAAAAGCAGAAGATGCCAATTCTTTCAACGTTAAAATCGTTGTACAGCTCCTTTAAAATCAAAACTTTCGAACTTGTACCTCGATAAACTTCGAATATTCAATTTTTCCAACTTGGATCTTAAATAAATTTTAAATGTTCGAATTTTTCGAATAATGTATAACAAAATTCGACATCTTCAACCTCGGCCTGTCAGAAACGTTAGCGAGGTTTGAAAATCTGTAAACCTTTCGATCTCGAACTTTGGGAGGTTCGTTGCATCCCTACTTTTAACCGTGCACAATAGCAAGATAGAAAACGGAATAAAACATCATAAGAGCACTCTCTAGTAGGAACCTGAGCTGACAGTATAATATTGCTTTTAGACAACACGCTTGTGTGTGTTTTTTTTTTTTTTTTTGATTTGTTTTTGTTGCAAAAGTTGTCAGCCACTGATCTTTTGAGGAAAAATACAAAGAATGGCAGGCTGATAATAACGTACATTGTCAAACAAGACAATTATTTTGACTTAAACGAAATAAACACACAAGAAGACGAAACAGACGACACGAAGGCTGTGTCGTCTATTTCGTCCTCTTGTGTGTTTCTTTGGTTTAGGTCAATTTAGATCACTAACACGCTCAAGTATTTCATAAAGACAATTATAAAGCAAAACTTATATTTTATTTCGCTGAATGTTAAGACAGTAAGTTAAGAAATCATCCTGTCATGCTGTCGTGCTGTCATGAAATCACGAAGGAGCTCTTGATCCCCCTCAGGCGGTTCTGTAGCGGAACTTTCCTTAAATAATTACCGTCTAATCTCGTACAGGGGTCACCTTTTGACCGATTGATTGCTTAAATTATTAGTTGGAAGTGGACGGATTAATCGAGTAATCGGTGGTTATTCGGTTAATTTCACAACCGTGGTGTGTAGCCATTTCCATTTATGCTCATGGGGAGGAGCGGTCGTACTGCTCCGGTAAACTTTTTTCCCCACTTTATGTAAACGCTGACTATAATGGAATTTTCTTGTTCTTATTATTATATTAGGCACGCATTGTAAATCGTACGGAGCAGCCGGCCCAGGTGGCCCAGGGCAGGGCTGAGCGCGCGGTTCACAGTAACCGGCGAAACCGCAAGGCGCGCCGCTTATAAGCACACACAACAAAACGCACGTGGGAAGAGGAGGGCGGAATGCACGTGCGCAAGTGGGTGGGGGACGGGGTGTTTCCCTCTAACTGCCCCCCGCGCTTCCCGCGCTTTTGTTTGTTTTTGTTGGCAGTGGTATTTTTGGCCCGCTACTCGCCCAAAAAGACCATTAAAAAAAGAAAAAAGAAAAATAAGAAAAATAAGAAGGATGGGCGTTGGGTTGGCGTAAGAGGGAGAGTGTCTCTGGCTCAACCGCCCGGACGACCCGGGGGCGTTAACCTTCTTTCCTACCGCCCCCCTACGGCGGTGTCAATAGACTCCCAAGAGCGAGCTGGCAAAGGGTCCGAGTAGCCGTCTAAGTAGCCGTACAGATAAACCGGAAGCGTGTGGGGGTACCGTCTGCTTGCTGCGGTCCTTTGTCGTCTGCAATCAGCTCCTGCACGGCGGCCGATTATACTATCTAGCAAGCGATGTGAAAAACATATAAATGCTAGGGTGCAAATATATATATGTATATATATATATATATATATATATATATATATATATATATATATATATATATATATATATATATATATATCTATATATATATCTATATATATATATATATATATATCAGTTAGTGTTTTGGTAGCCTAGACGCCGCCGTCTCTTCTAGGTTCTTGTTTTCGTCGTTTTATTTGCTCTTTCTTTCTTTTCATCACTACTGTTCACCGACGAGGCCAATGGCCTCCAAACACTTATTTTGCTTTCCCTTCTGAAATACTCTCACTTACTGCTCATCGCGCAACAATGTGAAACAAAGAGAAGTATATCTACGCAAAAAACACGCGCACACACTTCGAGGAAATAAAGTGCTACGGTCTTCGCTTTTTCACAAGCAGAAAATGGAGCTCTGAACGACGTTGTAGGACTTTTGGTAAATTTTGATGCTCGCCAATACCATTTCGACGTAAAACAAAACAAAACAAAAGTTGTTTTTAAGTTAACAGTGTCGCGCAGTGTACGTTGTTTCACGTGCAGTGCCAGTACTCCACTTTGGCGCAATCATAAATAACCTAATTGCATGTAAGCAAAAACAAAAACAAAAAAAAAACGATGGGAGAAAATTATTCTGCTCCCGTTCGTAGCAGTCAAAGTGGCCAGCCACATTGCCTGCTAGCCCGCTGTCTCCCAGACATCGACAGAAAGAAAGGTACAAAGAAGGCGAAACAACCAAATAACACGCACAGCGAAATTCGAAGGAGAGAGAACGAAACCGTAGGCAGGCGGCAGTGCGTTTTGTGTGTTTGCGCGTTTGCGCTACGGCGGACGAGGGTTCGGTCGGTCCCCAAGGGCGGGGTAGACAGCGCTGCGGCGCTGCTGGCGCCCGCCCTGCCATTATTTGGCCACCCATATTTTGCGAGCAGATGTTGCGAGCGCCGAGCACGCGCTCGCAAACTCACCCCTTGTTCATGATTTTTGTTTGTTTGTTCTTTATTTAAGCATTTGTCGTCGTCATAGGCTGCTCGTTGGTAGTGTGGAACTGTAGAGCTTTCTAGGTCGCTTACAGTTGCAACTCGCACGTGTCTAACGATCTCTATGTCATATAAAGGCTTCAAAAAAAAAAAGAACATAAGTGGTGTTTGTAAGTCGTAGAAAACGCAGATCGAAGCCGTCGGACTAGTGCGGTGCTTGCGCAACGGCGCTTTGGGCAGCTGATTTCGGAAGCCTGTGAAGTTCGTCCTGTCGACCAGCTGCTGTTTCTTATCTTTATTAACCGCTTTGCATAAAACTGTAAACGATCGGCGAGAACGGTCCGACAAAACAATGCTGCGCCAGTCGCCAGGGTCGGGTCTGGTTCTATTGTTCCCGACACTTGACTGGGTTCGTCGACTGGTAAACATTGAGCGAGCGCATAGATATATATACGCTACATACGATTGCAAACACTGCGCGTTAGAGAGAAAGAAAACAAAATCCGGTATCATTTTTATTGCTTTCTCCAACGTGTGGCGCGTGGCGGCAACAGCGGGCTCAATTTTCGTGCCGCCAACCACCCCGGAATGTTTGTACTACTCGGTATTTTTATTTCCTCCCCAGCGCACGCTCCCGCGCCACCCCCGAAATCCACCAACACCGAGGGGACGCGATTTCTCTTACGGGTGGGTGTTGTTCAAACTACCCGAGCTGTCCCATTGTCCCATCAGTCCCGCCTGTGAGGAACGCCTACCAAGCAACCAGCACCGCCATATTGAACACGCCTTACGCCCGCTCAGCATTTCGTATCCTTCCGCCGTGCAACGCGACCCTGCCGGTCTACCCCAATCCTCCGACAAAACACTCACTCGCATTACCTAAAACACCCGGAATTATCCGTAAATTTGTTTTTTAAAGATCACGGTAAAATATTAGTTTGATTCTTGTACGATAGTGAGTTCAATAGGGTGAGTTTGGAATGAACTACTTGCGCGAGGCGGCCGGTTCACGCCCGAACGCTTCCGCAGAGGCAGGCGGCACGGGAGGCCGCGCCGCGCTTTGCCCCTATGAAAATTGCGTGTCCCATATGGATGGCAACCCATCGCGTTGGCCCAACGAGCCCGAGTCCCTTCGGGGCTCGGCGTAAGATTCACGTGAACCCGGCTCAGGATGAGCACAGGCGCCGACCGGAGTCAGGAATCGGAATACGTCGTGCCCGCCAATAACTCACAGGTGAGTGAAAGCAGACGACCGCTCGTCTGCAAGATTTCGGGCTGGACCAAGATGGCGGTCGGATGACCTGCCCCTCGTCGCTGACCCCGCCTATGAGCGCGCGAGCGTGTGCGGTCGTGCTCGTGTGCCTAGCCGGAGTATTTTTTTTTTTTTCCTCGGGCGTGATCGAGGGTGGGGGTGGCATGCCCCCCCCCCAAGGATCGACACCCATCCTTGGCGGCTTCTCGGCTAAAACTCCTTCTCAAAGCGGCCCAAGACGCCGCCGCGGTATCATCGCATTTTCTGCGTCGCGCTGATCCTTCATTTTTCTTATTTTTTTGTTTGTTTGTTTTTGTTAAAATTGCACTGACTCTTGACTGGTGGTCGTTCTATCCGTTCATTGAGTTAACGTCTCGTTTGTGTTTGTTTCGTTCGATGTTCTTTGTTCTAAATCAGGCCGCCGCGATTCGATTTTGCACTTCGTTGTTTAGCCCTTGATAGAGCGTTGCTACGGTGCGCGTTCCGGCCTCTGGCATTTCGTTTCCCTTGGGCTCGCTCCACATAGTACATCTTTGCCTGTTGTACTGTTTTTCTGTTCGAAAAAAAAAAAATGAAAAGGCCAGTTGCACTTTACGTTTGGTGTTGCGCTTGGTTAGCTCGTGCAAGTCGGGGATGTCGCTGCGTTCAAGTGTGCGAGGAGAAAGAACCCAAGCTGTTAAGTCGTGACATTTCGTCAATAAGATTTGGGTTGTGCGTTTTTTTTTTTTTTTTTATCCAACAAATCCCAAGTCTTTTTATTGTATTATTTTCTGAGTTAAATCAGATCTCTTATAATGATAACTGCCAAGTGACTTAACTCTTCGCGGTTTGCGGTTTCTGGGCATGAGAGAGATGTTGTTTCCGACGTGACTATGTCGTGTCTGCTGTCTGATTTGTCACTTCTGCTTGTGTGTCCTGATAACAAACATGTCGGTGCCCGTTCAGCCACACGAGTCTGGCTTTCAAGGAAGCTTGCACGCTCATCCTCGAAAAACGCGTACCTTGTCATTGTTTACCCTTCCCGCACCAACAATTTTTGAGGTATTTTGATTATAATAGGTGAAAAAGGTTGAGTACCCTCTCTCTTTGTTGGTGAAGCAGTTGGAATAGATCAAAGCAGAGCACGAGTTCCTATGGAGGGGTTATGGAGACATCAGAATGCCGAGCTCTGATTGGCTGTGATTGAGGATAGTGGGCAGACTTCAAGGCAGCCTTGAGGTCTGCCCGCTATCAACCAATCAGAGCTCGGGTTTCTGACATCACCACAACCCCTGCAAAAGAAGCATACATACCGGGCTGACCGGACAATCAATTAAGTTTGATTCAACAGGTAGCACCATCTTGTCCAAATATTTTTTTTAATCATTTGGCAAACTGCAGCAGCAATCATCGGAACTGAGCTTGAACGTCGGAAAGCTCTGCCAAACTGTGACCTACCGCTCGTGCCCAATCAGTTGGTGGCATGGTCCAACATTCTTAGACCCAACACTGTTTTTGCGCAAACTTTATGTTCACCGTAAGAGCCACAAGAGGATCACTTTCTAGTGCAGGCAATCTGCACCCAACGTTCCACCGCCTTTCCTGTCCAAACGGGCGAGCCGATATAAAGCGCCTTCATGTTTCAAAAGTAGGGCAAGGTGCGTCGATGCATGAGGCACGTGCAACGTGCAGCCCTTGGGAAGATCATGGCGGCACAGCGCAGCACTCAGCTAGATTTCAGACGCCATGTTCTTCCCAGAAGTGGCGCGTGGCACGTGCCTCGAGCATTTCTACTACAATGAATGGCGTCACTTTTCCCAGGATAGAGGGGCTTTAAGCCGATAGCGTAGCAAGTGCTGCTGAGTGGATCGTGCCACGAAAATGCACCAGGCGTTCAGGAACCTTGTCAACTGACATTGATCGAGTAACGTCGGCATGGCCTGCTCAGAGTTGCCCTTTTTGACCACCAGCCGTGCTGGCTAGCAGCCGAACGGGCATTAAATGGCCCCCAAAGGGTGTTTAACTTAAAGTCGGCAAGGGCCACGCTCTGGTTTGGCAACCATTGCCACGGCTTGGCAGCGACTTGAGAGATTTTTCCCAATCATGCAATAGATGCGACGGCCGGAGAGAGCTTGGATACCACGCATGTCACGAAGCGCTTATGTTTACTACACGTCGACACTCCATTCGCAACGGCCTTCACTTGTTTCGTATGGTAACTTTAATCCTTGCTGGGCTTCATTATTCTGTTATGTATGAGTGATATGGGATGCACATTCGAGAAGAACTGCAGACTTCACAATACCACCTGTTGTTCCATCTTTCGGCGTCGCCACTTCTTTCTTGTCGCTTACCTTCACACTACTTCCCTGGTTTCGGTTCAACTTTGTTTTTCTCGGTAAACTGTGACTGTGCAGCGCATAAGTGACTGGATGGTGTCCTGACATCACATTCTAGCGCTTTAAGCTAAAATAATTAATTATATTTTCGGCCTGTCAAGCGCCCTTTAATTGCCATAATTAATGTTTTGGGTTCAGACACGCCTTATTTTATTTATTTGTAAGGGCCTACTGGCCGTTACGGGGGTGGGTTTTTGGCTAGCATATACACATTCTGTATATACACATCCACAAGCCATTATAACACACAAAATATGTTGGCATACGAACATGGATGACCTTGAATAAAAACAACAAATAACAAACGAGGAACTATTCAAATGATATTTTGTTCAGCCAACTTTTTCTGTTTGGACTCATAACCTGCAAGGATATTACATTCAAAAACACCTTGCAGCAGGCTGTTCCATTCAGTTATGTATCGTGGAAATCAATGCAGACTTTCAGTGGCATGATCATTTCAAAGATAAGGAGGGTTGTTTGATACAGCTACCATTGTTTTTTTCTTCAAAAGTCTCCTATTACACTCAGTATTGCTTTCTATGACCTCAAATTGCTTACACTCTGGTTCATAGCCATTGCATTGCTGAGGTATTGTGGAGTTTGTCAGCTTGCCAGTGTTTTTTTCTCTTTATTGTTAGTTCATGAGTTTTTGGATTCAACTTGGCATGGTTTTGTCTCTACTTGGCTACATCTTTTGGAAAAGGGAAGCTCCACAGCCTCCAGTGTCGGCTTTTGACATTTTCTACACTCAATATTTTGTAACATTTCTCGAAACTTTATTCTTGGCATTCCTTTTAGAGATTGGAGATCAGGTCCAATGGTATGCCGTTTAAGGTGTCCTTATTATTGTGGTTCATTAATTAGCAGTAAGCTATGCAGTGTGCTAATGACAGCCCATTTGCTTGCCAAAGGAAGACTCGTCGGTGAACCGGGAACATGCATCTTGTTAAGTGTTGGTGAAACTATCTTGCATAAAATAATGGCGTATTAATAGAGAGTGGCTGTTAAATGTGCGTGCTCCCCGATTCCCCAAAGCAAAGGGGTGTATGATAAAGTTTAATATAGACTGACTGGGGGGCTCTCAAAGTAAGTGAATGAATGAAAGTACCCGTTTCCTCTTTCTCCTTTCCCTTTTCTGTTTTCAGGAAAACTGGTTCTGCACCCTTGTAAGAATAACCTCTGTCCTCTACTTTATGGTATCCTTGTTCTTTTTATTTCTTCATGCTTATCCATTACACCCTTGTGCCTCCTTTGGTTCTGCTAACGAACTGCCTTCGAGATGCCTATGCGGTGTGAGGTTAGTCTGTTTTTGGGTGTGACTCATCTCCGGATAGACAATAGGGAAAATATAATGGAGAAAGAAAGGATGTGGAGAAATGGATGCGAGTTAAGAATGGGGGAAAAGTAGTGACCCTGAGCTATAGGGACATTTGGCCACGGCACAAGACCGCATTCACGAAACGCTTCCTGGGATCTCTGTCTCCTCAAACATTCATCACTCCCAGTTGGATGCCATGGTGCTAAGAGTCGCCCAAGAGCTCCCTTTGGGCTATCGAAATATTTGGTCTGCCTTGTGCAATGCCATTAATGTCTCGTGGTGTCGTGTCTGTTTTGCCGAGGTCTGCGTGTGTGCCATTGACTACAGTGAAAGGCTCTTTTAGGTTTATGTGCGGCATTAGGAGGAGGCTCTGGCAATATTTGGTCTGCTTACAAACTGTTGTAGCAAGAAGGTCAACAGAAAGTGCATCCTCTGCGACTAGAGTTACCATTGAAAGCTGCTGTCAACTGGCAGCTCTTTGCCCAACAGTGGGGCTGCAGTGACATTTCTCTGGAGCGTAGCAGTGCATAGTGCCTCAAATGTGCATATACGACTTGTTTACTGCATTATATTGATTTATTCATTTATTCACAATACGTCACATCACCTTAAAGAGCCACTGAGAAGAAAAGATGTTCTTTTTAAAACAGAGTCGTTGGGATACGTGTGTCAAAAAATAAAGTTTACGCGAAAAAAAAACATTTTTTTGAGCAGTATTGATGGCGCGAGACACAATTTATTTGGTAGTCACCTCTTTTCCACTTGTTTTCTGTCTGCATTTCGTGCGCGTGGAGGAGAGGTGGATCGGCTTGGCCATTCCAGGCCAAGCCGATCTAGGTGGAGAGAGTGTATGACCATCTCACTGAGGTGGAAAAAGCGTATGACCATTCCGTGACGTCATAGACTCTGCGAGCAAAATTTAAAATAAATCTTTTCCCGTAAAATTTATTTCTTGATATGTGTGTCCCAATCAAACTATTTAAAAAAACGTAAAATTTTATTTTTGGTGGTTTTTAAAGGAGGCAATATTGCAAGGGAGGGGTACAAATACATTTGAGAAAAATATAAAATGCAAATCCTTGAGAAGTGAGAACGCAAAAAAGAACAAAAGTCTGGGAATGCAAGATGGGTGCACAGCTGCTCGAATGTGGAAAACAATAGCATCAATTTTATAAAGCATTATTTAACACATTGTTGAAGAACAAGGTGGCAGGTGTTGTGTCGATTATTTCTTCAGGCAGCGAGTTCCAGGTTCTACATTTGTACTCAAGCACTTTTTTTTAGGGATCACGCCTCCCTGATGAGTAGAAGGGAGGCAGTGTGTATGTGGTTCTGTCAATACCGAGGTCGTTATTTTCTTTACTCGTCCACAAGTTCCGCTTGGTTACGTCACACTTTTGTATGCGATCCTTGGCAGTTTCCAGCAGTCATGGGTTGCAAGTACCTCGGAAAGAGTGATTCTTGAGTCTGCTCGTCTTCTTTGCTAGCACTTCTACATCCGTCTGCCAGGGCCACGACCATCCATAGCTGTTGGGATATTATTGATATTAAACAGCGCACGAAAAGTCGGCGGAAGAGAAAAGGACAGTAGAACGAAAGAGCGCTGTAGACAGAAGAAGGGCCCGTTGCACAAGAAATAAGCTGTAGTAAAGTGGTCATTTGAGCTTTTCTCTTCCGCCGACTTTTTGTGCACTGTTTAATATCAGTAATGTACCAACTAGCTCAAATGACCACTTTACTACAGCTGTTGGGATATATTGTTTCGTGACAGTGATGAGTGTCACAGGAGACTAACGTCACTTTGATGTAGCTTTTGTGACGTGGCATGTCAGAAGAGCATGTGTTTCAAGATGACACACTGATGCTGCCCTTAATGACAATGCAGCTCTTGTGGTACTGATGTCCTGGATGAAAAGGGTGCTAATCACATCATTCAAAGACATGTTCAAGGCACAGCATAGCTAATTTGATAGGTTTTCTACAGAACATAGTGGGAAGCCACATCTTTCCTAGCCAAACAAGAAAACAGCGCAAGAAATTGAACAAAGGACAAGTGAAAGAAGTGCACGGACAACTAGCCCAACTTACCGCCTTGTTGATCTTTCCTAGTGCTGCAAAAGAAGTAGTTATGAAGTGGAAAGAAAGGGAAGACAGATATTTCCCCGTCTTTCTTTGCCCTTAACTTGCGTAAGCATTGCCGGCACTAGGCTAGCCTCGCCAGTGTTGCACGGGAAAGTTCGCTCGGAGTATAGTGGATGCCTTGTCGGACGCACGCCCAACGTCTGCTTCTCCCTCAGGAAGTGCAGCCCTCCCCCTTGGCCCTGCTTGCGGCCACGTGCAGCAAGATCGGCTCCCCGACGGACTCTCCGGCGGACGAAAGCAGCGGCGGCGACGGTGGCAATGGCGACGCGGGCAACGGCGCCACCTCGCCTGCCAAGGCCACCACCGCCACGGTGCTGCCCTCTGGAGAACTGGTGGCGCAGTACGTACAGGCGGCCCCACAAACCGTGGGCATCCTCAACCAGGACGGCACCGTCACACAGGTGGGTTTGCCACGCGGCTGGCAGGCTGGCCAAAACGAATAATTATAATAGAATTAATGATTTGCTCTAATAATAATAATAATTATCGAGAATAGAGTGTCCAGGAATAACCACATGGCCTTCGTGCTGGCGCAGTGAAACGTACACACACTACAAATTATGCACGAAAGTTGGAAACACAAAACAAAAATGTTCAATAATAATAATAATGAAAACAAAGTAGTTATAGTAATAATATTACTATAACAATATGACGTGACAATGACATGACATGACTAGGATAGTATAAAGATATAGTAATAATAATCTGCTGTACTCGCCCACAGGATGAGAACAGCGAGAGTCTTAGCTTTTATAACACTTTGGCCTCTCACGAGCTTTGAGTGAGCGCGCAGAGCCAGAGCACGACGGAGGGCAACAAGCGCGGGCTCGAGGCATCTGGAAGAGACTTCTAGCCATTCTAACCTTGTCCACAGCTGTAGCAGAGGGTGCAGCATCTCTTTTGTGCTCGCGTAAGGTTGTCAACTCTTTCCTTGAGCGCCCAACAGGATCGGTCGTCCCCGGTCGACGATTTGCAAGCCCTGTTGCGAGGCCTCTGAATCGTTTCTGAACATCCGGTAACTAGGATAGACACCCGAGTTTCAGGTTCTGCATAGTTCATCCTTTTCCCACAAGACGGAAATTAGTTGTAACCAAGCACGCAGCAAATGAAGAGCGCTCCTCGGTGCAAACACGTCTTCCTTGCGTGGCGCGCCTCCTCGGAAGCAGTTTGAAGTATCGCGTTTTGAGAGACAGTGCGGTCGATTTTGTTCTCAATCCTAGCACCAGTGAGTGGCAAGATGACGTCGGGTGATCCAGTCCCAGTTAGGACAGCGGTGATCCGCCAAATAAATTCTGCGCAAAAGTCTGAGCGATCTGTCCTTGTTGTCAATGTAACCGGTGGTTGGATTAGACAATCTAGTTTCAGTTTCTGTATGGTTTTTTTTTTCTCCCACGAGATGACGATTTGTCGTAATCAAATGCGCAGCCGAGGAAGAGTGCTCTTCGTGCGGCACCCCCGACCGAGAGCAACAGGTCCATCGTTTGATTGCGTGAGATCCGTTTCAGATTGTAGAGGAGTCTTGCCAACGATTCGGCCGCCTTTCTTGACAGGTGTCGACGACGTCTCAAGCCGTCAAGGCGGCGCAGCAGGCGGTGTTCTCCCCCGGGACGCAGCTGGTGGCCCAGATGACCCCAAGCGGGCAGATCACGTACAACGCCATGCCCCAGATCCAGAACATCCAGATCGACGGCCAGGAGGCCATCTTCATCCCCGCGTCCTTTACGGGAGGACACCAGCAGGCAAGCGGCGTCTGTCTCTCAAGCGTACCCTTGGCGCAAATGCACCGTCGCACAAAGCGCGTCGAACGACATTACCACATGCATGGCCGAGAGGGAACGCTACTCCATACGGAAGATTTGCGTTTAGTCTTACCCCAAAAGTTTGACGCTCAGACATTCCTAGAATGTTTGAGATTGAGTGTAATAGATCTGGAGACCAACATGACCTTGCCAAGTCAGTCTCCTGAGTGTTTGACGCTTGAACGTTCTGGGCCGAATATTTGAGACCTGATTTTCTAGGCCGAATATTTGAGACCTCGAGTGTGCAGATAAGTAGCCCAGCGTGACCTTACTGGCTCACTCTCGTGCAGCTGTCACGCCGGCACATCAACACTTGCTGCCGACGCTCGTTGCCGCTTTCTTGACGCTCATTCTTTCTTTTGTTTCTGGCACATATTTCCCGATTAAACCTGTATTGTGAAATATATGTTGGCCCATCCTTTTCCATCCTTGACAATATGTGGTGCAGTTAAACCCTTAAAGTTTTGACCGTCAAGTTTTTCTTCCCCAAAAATGTTTCCCTATTGTCGAGTCTTTTTTCTTTTTTTTTTCAAAAAATGTTTTCCTATTGTCGCGTTTTTTTTTCTGGCAAAATAGTATAAAGAAAGAGTCAATGCAGGGGTGGTCCTTAATTTTCTAGCGGGAGCACGTATAGTGTTTTCAAGCTGTTCAGGTTCGGAAGCACCAAATGAAAATATTGAAGGGGAAAAGCGTAGCGTTTCAACCATTCGGTTTCATTTTGGCACGTCTGTTTCGGCGACATTCTGCTGGTTTCAGATTAAAATCTGGAGGTACTTCGCAATGCTTGTTCACTGGGTGGCAAGTTCTCATCCTTTGAATTAAATACTGAGAAGCGTTAAAAGTCTGCATCGGGAGGCCCGACACTCCAATTGCCACTGCCGCCAGCAAAACGAAAGATTGTGCAAATGTAACGTTTATGGTTCGCGAATGACATTGCAAATAGCAACGCCTCTCATGTTGCTTGCAGTTTTTGTTTAGGCAGGCACTTTCCAATGTGCAATCGCTGTAGTACATGTATGACGGCGGCAGTGAAAGGTTTAAATAAACAAGAAGTCAAAGTCCTCTAAATGGAGGCCTCATTGGTGAACCACTCTTCGATTGTGCAAACTTTCCAAATTAAGCCCCCCAGGTGGCGGGTTCGAATCCCGACCAAGGTGCCCGCAATCTGACGGAGGCTTATGTGGAGAAGGCGCCGTGTAACCGAGCTTTCGGTTGCACGTCGAAAGATCCCCAGGTGGTCGAAATGAATCCCCAGTCCTCCGCTGGGGCGTGCCAGATGCCCGTTGTAGGTTTGGCACGTAAAACCCCCAAATTTGACTTTCGAATTAAGCCGCCGCCCCCCTTTTCCTTGTTGCCCACAGGCGATCCAGCTGACGGGGGCGGGGCCCACCCTGCTGGCCAATCAGGGCTTCCTGAGGCCTCAGGCTACGGGCTTCACCCAGAACGTGGCCATCCGCCAGGGGAACATGGTGCAGACGTTGCAGCTTCCCATCGCAGCTGCGGCGCCCATGCAGCAGACCATACCCATTCAGGTAAGGTTGCTTCTTTTAAAGACCGCTTTCATCGGAGTCGCGGCTATGTGGGCACTTCACTTCCCCATCCTGAACATGTGTTCTATGCTAATTTTAAATGCGTTAACATTGATTGCCCCGGTGCATGCGTCCCGTCTTCGGTTTAGTCGGGACCAGTCTCGCGAGGTTGGGGCGCGGTTCCCGCGGTGCTTCTTCGCTCCGTTCGTTTGCCCGTTACGTCTGCTTTTCCTCTTGCGTACAAAAGGGAAAAAGTCTTCTCGCACGTTTCCAATTACGCACGCTGTTATGTTGACACACACTCCTCTTACGACAGCACCGGGGCAGAAGGCACATGGTTTCGTTTCCCCAGCATGTGGCAACGTTTTCCAGCGTGTGGCAACGTAAGCGACAATGTAACACCAAGGCGCAGCAACGACGCCATTTGCGCGAAGCCGCCGACACCCGGGAGGAGGGCTGGCCCTTTGAAGACGACAGTATGCGGACCGTGGGCAGTGATCGAGGGGAGCTGTAGCGGCTGCATACGAAATCGCCGATGCCCGGGAGAACGAACCGGCTCTCCGAAGACAACGAAGCGTAGCGACAACGGCGATTTCAGCATCATTTTTTGCGTCAAGAAGCATAGTTGGAAGGGTTGGCAGCTCTATTTTCGTTTGTTAATGTAACCTTTCCAGAACTGTTGCTCTGTGTCAAAACGTCCCCGGGTCGTCCCTCTTCCGCTTTGTGTTTTTGCGACGACTGAAAGAATCCATGGGCACACTGGCCGAGGCCAGCGAGCGTCCCGCAAAGTTACTTGCGGCCCCCCCGTTTGACAAGCGACGTGTGTGAATAGGAGCAGTTGGTTGGCAACGTGGGTGTTTGGCAGCCAGCCAACTCTGCTGCCCTCTGCATGGACAGAAAATCCAAGTTAGCTTTGGTGAGAACAAAATTCGGCTTTAAAAACAGCCTACCCTTTGCTGTACCAGCGTGGCAAAGGCAGTGGTAAAGGAGAATGTTATGCGTTAGTATGGAGACGCTGTGTGCAAATGCGGAGGCTGGATGTTGCAAAGCGGCCCCGTGTTGTGCGAGGTAAGCGCGTGAGTGCGTCGATGCTTAATGGCGGGCGCCGTCTTCCGCGGTCATGGTGTAAATGCGACTTTCTCGACTTGTTGCGGCGTGAGGTGCAGCAGACAGAGCACGAGGCTTCCGTTGCTGGCACCCAACCGCATATGGCTGTACTCCGTGTCACTAGTTGCATGCAGTACAACTGAAGGCAACACCAGGCGGGGGAGGAAGGCCAAGCACTAGGAAGACTGGGGAGGAGAGAAACCTCCTCGCCTCAAACATTCCTAGTGCTCTGTTTCTCCCATTGCCCTCCTCCCGTCCCGCCTTCCTAGTGCTCGCCCTTTCTCTCTTCGCCCGGCGTGGCCTTTGCCTACACTGCACACTAGTGACACAGAGCATAGGCGCCAGCGACGTAATACATTCCGCATTAAAAATTCTCTTTGCCTCGGCTGTATTTAGGTCGCGCAATACCTCGCTCACCGTTTCTCTTTCTTAGTAGTCGCTCGAGGAGATATGGGTTACAATTCCCTGTAATGCACTTCCCGTTATGAGGGAGCGTCGCATAAAAATTGATTGGTTACGAGAGCCAGCCGCATGCCGACGCAACTCTCGTGGCCAGTCTCTGCCCCTAGGTCGCCTCGAGTAGGGGACGTAGAGAACCTGGCACTTGTGGGATCTTGCTACCAACACAGGTACCGATAGAGTAACCAAAGAATTATCTCAACAGCGGCGATATCTCAAAGGAGACGTCAAACCTAGTAGCACGGTCCCCACATCTCCGCCGCAATATAGACGAACGTTTAGGGCTAGATTACCGCGGGTCGGTTCGATTAATTACCTCCGTCGGTGCCAATGATCGTCTACCTTGTCTCACTCTCTCGAATATAGCGGAAGAGAAGACACACGTACCAGAGTAAGGACAGAGTCCAAGAGCATTTATTGGAACACTCTTAAAATGAACTACAATGTCCCCATCCAAAATGCCCCCCGCGCCGGCAAGGTAAGAAAAGGTCCTTACCTGGCGAGACGCGGGGTTCCGGAGAGCCAAGACCGGGGAAGCATCGGAGAAGTCGCCGACACACGTCCTATCTCTTTCGCGGTCACCCGGACGAGTCCCTTTCCCGAAAGCGGGAAAACAAGAGGCGAAACCTCCTCGCCTGTCGGCAGTGATTCGCATCCGAGCGGGGGGACGGAAAGAGGTCCCCCCGGGAGAGAGTGAGAGGAGGGCCCCCCAAGCCAGGCGGCCCTCCGCCTCACGAACAGGTCGGAGCTCACGGCGAAGAAGGCCGAGCGTTCCGACCCGCGGCCGTTATCAAAGCCATCGGGGAAGGGAGACCAGAGGAATCCCCACATCCCCCCCTCCTTAAAACGGTAGGTGGGTCTCAAGAAAGAATAAAGGAGGCCCACCTGCTCTCATAAAATAATATATATCTCTCTGCGCACCCCCAACAAATACACGCGACACCCAGCGCGCGTCTTCACAGTGTCCGTCGTCAACAGCTCAGGCACCAGGCCGAAGAAAAGGAAAGTTCCAGTTCCAAGCACTTGACAGCCGCCGCCACAGCACGGCAGAGCATCACAGGCACCGCGCTGACGCCGCTGGACCCAGGTGTCGCGGTACGAGCTGGCCTGCAGTGGGGGGCAGCCAGGCCGTCGTGAAGGCGGCAGCACCAAAAAAGACCGACGACCGCCGCCCACCAGCGGAGACCAGCTGGGGAAGTCCCAGACACGCTGCCCGGGGGGTTCGGCGCCATCTCGGCCGCAGTGGGCTGGTGAAGGGGGGGTGGACGACCTCGGAGCAGACCTGCGAAGTCGTTTTGCGCCAGCAGCCAACACGCCCAGAGCCGGCCGTAGACCTCCCGAAAGGGAAGAAAGGGCGCCGCCGCCTCCAAACGAGGGGACGCGCAACCGACGCTCGCCTGCCTCAGGCCGCAAAGGCGGCAAAACGGGCAGGGGCAAACGACAAACAAAAACCACAGAAAAGGTGGCCAGTTTGTCAACGGAGACAGGAACATGCCAGAGTGACCCGATTCGACACCGGAAGAAGAAGCCATAAAAAAGGGGGCCCCTCCGTTCGAAACGCGTCCACATACCATGCAAACTAATTGAGTTCGCTTAGTGTGGGCACCGGGGAGAGAGCTTCTAGGAAACATGCCGAGTTCTCAATCCATTGCGCAGGCAGCTAACACAGAGGCTGCCTACAATACCCGGTTTTATAGTTACCGGAAGAGTCCGTTGACTATAAGTGGCCAAAAACAGATAACAGTCTGCAGCTGACCCGTCTTCGGAAGTCGAGGTAAACGGATACGGGGACTTCGAAGGGGCGGATAGAAACAAACCGCCATGCATGCGCGTCTGCGAGCGGGGAAGATGCAAGTTCCCGCGCAAAATAGCCGCCATCTTGCTCCCCACGGAGGAAGACAAAAGGGGCCGCAGCTCACACGCTCAAACCTGCCAGCTCCGCCAAATATTTGAGCTAGCTAGCTTACCGAGGCTAGAAAAACATGTCTTGCACTCGATACGGCTTGATCAAGGGCTCACAACGGTATGGACCCTTCTTTTGAGGCAAGGCCAGGTTTCAGAGCAACGTAACTGCTAAGAGTCTTAGAGTCACTCTTCCACCTGGATCACGCGAGTCTGACAGATATCGCCAAAGGGCGCTCTGGCTACATGGCGCCCGGGTTTCAGAGCAACATAACCTCCGAAAGTCTTAGAGTCACTCGTCCACCCAGATACTGTCACAGTGCGCCTCAGACCGCGTAGCGCCACCACCATGAACGCAAAACTAGTGTCGTTCCTGGAGAACAACAACAGGGTGCAGGAGTACGTTGGCATCAAGCAGATACAAACCTTTCCCGAAGAAAACCCTCCGCGCCCACTGCAATACCAGCAGTGAATCCAGCGCGCGCGTCAACAGTGTGCGAACTGCTTCTCGACGCCGACGGTTACGCGGCCCGGCTCCCGGAGCCCGTCAGTAGCAGTACCAGCTACTTATCGACGTTATTGGCAGGCGTACCGTCCGACTCTGAATGAGTGTCCGCGACTACTCCGAGTCAAAGAAAACGCGAATATTTACATTCCCAGATTGCACTGCTGATCCTTCGCTACTCTTTTCTGCAAAGCCTCGCTCCCCGCCGGACATAAATGTCCACCCGGCACTCAAAAACGTCATCAAAACTTCTATATACATTTTCCCATCAGGACAAGTTGTTGGTGGCGCGCAAGGAACCGAAATACACACAGGTGAAAGGTTCGCCTCAAGCATGGAGAACAAAGGGCCTCCCGCAACAACGAATGTTGCTTGACGCACGCCAATTCAAAACAGGAACACGCGTACGAATCACACTGCGCTCGCTCATAGGAGTGGCACAGCGGGTTGCCGACTCGGCATTAATTGCTCAACCATAAGTGGCGAGATCAGGACGCTCGTGGTACGGGGCGATCAAAGGCAAGGATGGTCGGCAAATAGGCCGGACAAAGGGACGGAGGCCAGGAGCCACGACCACAATAAAGGAGGCCGTGGCCCCACGTTGGGCGCCATTTTATGTGGGATGTTGCTAAGCTACCAACACAGGTACCGATAGAGTAACCAAAGGGTTGTCTCAACAGCGGTGGCGATCTCAAAGGAGACGTCAAACCTAGTAGCACGGTCCCCACATCTCCGCCGCAATATAGACGAACGTTTAGGGCTAGATTACCGCGGGTCGGTTCGATTAATTACCTCCGTCGGTGCCAATGATCGTCTACCTTGTCTCACTCTCTCGAATATAGCGGAAGAGAAGACACACGTACCAGAGTAAGGACAGAGTCCAAGAGCATTTATTGGAACACTCTTAAAATGAACTACAATGTCCCCATCCAAAATGCCCCCCGCGCCGGCAAGGTAAGAAAAGGTCCTTACCTGGCGAGACGCGGGGTTCCGGAGAGCCAAGACCGGGGAAGCATCGGAGAAGTCGCCGACACACGTCCTATCTCTTTCGCGGTCACCCGGACGAGTCCCTTTCCCGAAAGCGGGAAAACAAGAGGCGAAACCTCCTCGCCTGTCGGCAGTGATTCGCATCCGAGCGGGGGGACGGAAAGAGGTCCCCCCGGGAGAGAGTGAGAGGAGGGCCCCCCAAGCCAGGCGGCCCTCCGCCTCACGAACAGGTCGGAGCTCACGGCGAAGAAGGCCGAGCGTTCCGACCCGCGGCCGTTATCAAAGCCATCGGGGAAGGGAGACCAGAGGAATCCCCACACACTACAGCCTTTCTTATCTAAAAGGTGTCGAACGAGCCTGCTCTCACGTATCATGGAAAAGTGTGCTGCCAATGAAGAATTGCTCAAGTGCTAACAAACGGGGAAGACGAAGGAAAAGGTTGACAAGCGTCGGTACGCTGTCTGGAACTTGACTTCCGACTGATCCGTTTACTGCGTCCCCAAAAGCGTTCCCTCCATTTCTGCCCGACGACGACATAAAAGTGTCACGCCGCCGCCAAATGGGGGATTCTGGTGGCAGCGCAGCAGCGGTGGTGGCCAAGCCCGTTCATCGACTATGGATTGGATTCCGCCTAGATTGACCTTGCTCCTGTTTTGTGCAGGTCCCGATCTCTACGGGCAACGGGCAGACGGTGTACCAGACGATCCACGTGCCCGTGCAGACGATGCAGGCGATGGCACCCCAGGGCAACGTCTTGACGGCGCAGGGGCAACAGTTGGCCACGGCGCAGGTGGTGCAGCAGTTGGCGCAGATGCAGCCCCAGATGGCACAGGTGAACACGGTGCCTTCAGCTTTGACGCGGAATGTGTTTCATTGGCTTAACAATGTAAATAGCTTAATTGTCTCAAACTTTCTAAGATATTGATTCGGGAATATCTTGTTACCCTGCGGTAATGAATACATAGTGTACCACTCTCGGTAGTGAAAGTTTGGCCCCAGGTTTGGCATAATCTGCATAATGTCTAGCCCGCGAAAATGAAGTCGTTCACCATGATGAAAAATCGCTCGTGAAGAGACGAGGACAAAAGAGGAAGGAACACGGACAGTTGCTTGCATTGCTCACAACTCTGGTAGAGTGTTTTAAGTTAAGGAAGGAACGATGAAGCAAGATTCATACATGACAGGGGACACCAACACCAGCAGGGATGCAGTTCAGCTACAGCCAAATGGTCGCAAACGAGCAACTTCTTTTTCACTCAAAGCAACCGACGGCTGACTAACGCAGCGATCGGCCAAACCCGAGAGGGTAAACATCTCGAGCTACCTTGCGTGTTTGTTTTTCTTTGAACCGCCCTCAATTGCGTTGAGGGAAAAAGAGGTTGCCTTTTTGTTGGCTGAGACTGAACTGTATTCCTCCTGGTGCCGGTGTCCCCTGTCATGAATGAATCTTCCTTCATCTTTCCTTTCTTAACTTAATATACCAGAGTTGTGAGTATGTGCCTGTCTGTGTTCTGCACTCCTTCCTCTTATGTCCTTGTCTCTTTGTGTGCGATTTTTCATCACGTGCAACATTTACCAACTCGCCCAGCTTACCACTTTACTGAAGTCGTTCACTGTAATTATTTTTCCTGAGTGACCTTGACAGCTCTGTTGCTATGTGCTGGTGATGTATGCTGTTTGTGGCTTTGGTGCCTTGTTTTTTTATGTTTATTTATATATTTAGAACATATATGGCGAGCCACTAGCCCCTTGCGGGTGTGGGGTACAAAACTGCCAAAGAATAACTGCTGGGACTGCATAAAAAAGATCTCGGTCATTATTTTGCACCTCAGTGAACTGGCACAAGAAATGTTAAATACAAACAACAATACAATTATGTTGTAACCATGAACAATTGTCAGTCTGTTAATTGTACTGCATCGTCACAATCAGAAGGGCATTTACAAAACAAGACAGAACACCAGAAACGAAATGTCCTTTAGAATGTGTGATTATCGTGGAAAGCTTCAAATAATTGCCGCAAAAAATATCACCACGAAGGGCATTTTAATCAAATATATAGTCTGTGGCAAGGAAGAATACTAGCAAATGTTAGTTCTAGTGAACATTGGCATTGGAGTATAGTGATATTGATGTCTAGTGTTGCTGAATTTGCTACTTTCATGGAATAGTCGGTGTGATTATTAAACACACCCTCATGCTATAGTGCTTTGGTGATCCGTGGAATTTTGCGAATCAATGATGAATATATACCGTGCATTCCTGAGAAAAGCTGCAGCTCTGTGAGAATGTGATGCCAGGGGTTGGGATAAAACGCAAAAGCAAAAACATGATGTTGCCTGGATCAAGAAGGTAAAAAAAGAAAAGGAAGACAAAGTTTCTTTGTGGGCCGACGTCCACCTAAGCCTAATATCGTCGAAACAAGAAACGAGATTGTAAGTTCCTGCGGCATCTATTCCAGAAAAAACAAAAACTTGTCAGCAAGAGAGGCTGACAAGTGTCTTTCATACAAAATGTCCTCCCCCAAAAAGTGTGTTTTTTTCTTTTTGCAAAAATAAACTGTGCATCGCTGGGCGCTCATTCTCCGCTCAAATGTAGCGCTGGATGTCCGTACCAGATGCCAAAGTTTCAGCCCTAACCATTGTCTGAGTCAAAAGATATAAGTGACTTTCTTAAATTTTCAATGGGAAAACGGGGCCCATTTTTGCCCCTTTTCGGTAACTGGTGCCATAGGTCTCCGTATATTTTAAGGGGCCCATTGGCCGCCCTTTTCCCGTTGAAAATTAAAAAAAAAAAAGATTGCTTGTGACTTTTGAATGAGAAAACGGTTGGTTCCGAAACTTCGGCATCTAGTTCCTTTAGCGCTACATTTAGGTGAAGAATGAGCGTTTGGTGATGCATAGTTTTTTTATTGCTCTTTTGCAGTAGAAAAACACTTTGTAAATGCTACGTGCGGCAGAAAAAACCCCACATGCCACGTGCATCCAGAATCTTGGTTCTCGTTTCAATGATATTAAGCTAGGTGAATGTCGGCTCGTGCCGAAATATTATCTTTCCCGATTATTTTTTGGTCCAGGTAACATCACTTTCTCCCAACTTTGGCGCACTATCCCAACCGCTATTGCGCCGCATTCTCGCGGAATGTGACCTTCCCACTATACACGGGTAATTTGCGCGGGCCAAAAAACAGCGTTCTTCTCTCGCGAGGAGCACCCAACGCTCTTTCACGCACGAAGACCCGACTCACCCGAGATGCCCCGTAGTCGTGTCGTTCCTGTTTTCCGATGGCATCGTGGCCCGACTTTGCGCAGCTCACGGCACAAGGTCAGCTTCAGCAGATCCAAGTAACAGCCACGCCCACGGCCGCCCAGCAGCAGCAGGTGGTTCAGCGGCAGCAGCAGCAGCAGGCGACCCCGGTGTCCTGGGCCGGCACCCAGATGGTGATGACCTCCGGGGACACGACCATCACCACGACGAGCGGGCAGCAGCAGGGCGCCACCACGGTGCAGAGCAACAGCGGGCAGCAGCAGCAGCAGGCGGCAGCGGCTGCCGTGGCCCAAGCTCAAGCTCAGGCGCAGGCTCAGGCACAAGCGCAAGCTCAGGCCCAGGCGCAGGCTCAGGCGCAAGCTCAAGTGCAGGTAATTGTGAAATTAAAAAGGACGCGTAGCAAATTGCCGGGCAATTGCGTTGCATGCGTCTCCACTCTTCGTCGGTTAGTTTAGCGACTGGCTTAATGAGTGGCATGTATGTTCTATGGCAATTCCTGCAATGGAGATACCGGCACTAGCCCGTTTTTTTTTAAATGTGTGACAGCGTGTCGCGTTCAGATCTGCCGGACGCAGAGCGGATGCCTTGCCGGACTTTCCCGTCAGACGGCTCCTCAGTGCACGGTGATGCGTCGTGACGATGCTTGAAAGACGCTCGCTTAATAGAGGGTTTTAGTAGATTGTTCGGGTGACTCTGGTAATGATACCCGATACTCCACCGCCGCCTTTGCGCATGCATCATATTGTTGTCGGGAGTATCGGAGGTATCGGAACAATCTACTAAAACTCTCTAATAGTCTAAATAATCCTTGTTCGATGCCAGCCTGCCGCAAATACGTTTTTACTGTGTCAAGCCTCGCGGCCACGCTTTTAACCAGGCTTCACAAAATGCCTAACGCCTAATGTTTCACGTTAAAACAGCGCGAAGACGGGCGGAAGGACGAGGGGATGCGCACGGACAGGGGCAGCTTTCAGCCAACTGGGTCCCGTGGAGCGCCGGGTTTTTGTTTTCCCGCATGCCGGATGCAAATTTTGTTCTCGGTAACACCCTAGCGTGCTCTGTGAGGGATGTTCATTTATAAAAGACGCACCGTTTTATGGGCAGGGATCCGCATACCTCCAACCCCCGACGTACTTTTCCTATTGTACTTTTCGAGACGCGGTGCCGTGCAGTGGCACCTTGAGGTCGCTGTTTTGAGCGGCCTGACTCGGCCTTTGTTTGGAATTCTAACTTCCTTGTTTTCGCGATCTTTGAGTACCGAGTACATTAGTGATTTCTGATCTCGGTGTTTGCCACAAAGCGCAAGGTCGAACGACGTATAGATTCACCATTCTGTAACAGCGAAGGGGCATATCAAAACAGAAATCTCCTAAACAACAAAAAAAGTTTGATATTAAAACGTGACTTTACGAGATAAAATATTGTTTTCATCGATTGCTTATACATGACATTACAACTTTCAAAAAAAAAAAAAAAAAGAAATTCACTGTAGGTGGGAGCGGGAAGGGAGCAAACCGAAACTGAGACCACACGGGAACACGCCCAAGTATGCGTGGCACTAAATTATGCCGATCAAAGGATAGTTGTAGGGTGAATAAATGCCGAATACGTATATGCCTACCATAAAAACAGCTGGGTGTGTGCCACAAGGATGGGGGCACAGATTTTGCAAGCCTTCTTGGTCACTTTCCTGGATTGTGCTAACTGTAGGTGAAACAGAAGCACTATAAGTAGGGTTCCATTTTTCTGAGCTTACTTCTCGGAAAATTCAAAGGGCGTTTTTCGGTGTATGTTTTTGTTAGATTCCCGAGTTTCTGAAATTCTAAGTTTATTTTACTCTGTTGCCAATTTGTAAAAATTCAAAAACAAAAAAAATAAAGTTTGGATATCATGACCCGTTTTCCTGAAGGAACTTTGGCGAGCTAAAAGGCAAACCCCCCTTTGTCAGTAGTTAGACATTTCAAAGGAAACTGAAGTGCCATCCCCTCAGAAACACTGACCCCCTGTGCTCTTATAAAGTTTATTTGTAAAACACCATCTTTGCTTTTTATTTTGTCACGACCTCGAAATTTACGAGTTTCTCGGATGAATCCAAATTAACGGAAAATTTACCAACAAGTGTTTTTGGTTTTTTGGGGGGGATTTTCTTGTTCAGATTTATCCTAAAACATTGAACCCTAATTATAAGGTACCTACGTTCAGAATTTTGCAACCTTTCCTGAAACAAAAAAAAAGGGTGCTTTTTTTAAGCATAGATTTTTTTGGGTGTGTGTTTTTTTTTAGCAGTCAGCCCAAAGTTAAATGAGGTGTTTATTTATGTACCTAATGAAGGAGGCTTCTGGCATGCCCCAGTGGAGGACCGAGCGGTACCTAATTTAGGCGACCCGGGGAACCTTTTGGCGGTAAACCGAAATTTCAGTTGCCATGTCACCTTCCTCCACAATAAGCCCACACCAGATTGCGGGTACCTCGACTTCGATCCGAACCCACAGCCACCGTGGCAGCGAGTAGCCAGCCCAAACTCGGCAAGACTTTTGCGGGTTTGATGGAGCTTTTTCGCGTTTGGCGAAGCCTCTTGGGTAACGCCGTCTTGCTGTGTTCCGACACTGGGGTCACCGCCCTCTCTCGTCTGGCTTGCAGGCGCAGACGCTGGCGGTGCAGCTGCCCTCTGGCCAGGTGGTCCAGGGCCAAGTGGGCCAGCTGCTGGCTGGGGGGGCGACAGCCTGGTGGCCCATGGGGGCCATCAACATGTCCGGGCTGGCTGGGCTTAGGTCGCCCAACATTATACAGGTGAGGCCAGGGGGCACTCCCCACCGACACCGTCCCCCGCTACAACCGCGCTTCCGAGTTTACGAGCCACGTGCGACGCGGCGCGGCATAGGACGATCGGCATAGGGTCCCATTGCCGAGTAAGCTCCGTCCAACAGTGATGACGTTCCATGGGGGAAGAGGGGAATGGTCACAGGCCTCGATTATTCCAGTGGGCAGAGACGCTCAAGAGAGTATTCTGAAATGCAAATAAGTTTGTTTCAAGGTCAAAATACAGCTACTGAGATACATTTGTCTTTCATGTGGCGAGATATCCACAAGGTACTTCCTCAAAAGTGCCGAAGAAGGTATTCAGGAATAGACACGGACACATACAGAAATGCATTTTTCCCGAACAGTGGTAGACGCGGAGGGAGCGGTTCGTGGCGAACACAAATATGGCAGTGCTGGCATTTTGGTGACTGTTTGCGATATATCGGTCATTCGTTTAGGATTTTTCCCACTGTAGATGGAATTCACATATTTGTTTTTTTATTGAAAATAATAAAATTTTGATAATTTCTTTTCATAGCCGCGTGACATTGGTGTTACCAAAAGAGCTGGCCATTATCATTACCTTTGCTAAACAATAGTTTTGCTCAGGTGGCACAGTGTTTATTCTATGTACTTTTACATAACTCTTGGAAGGATAAACTTACAAACTTTAAACTGTGCACGTCATCCTCTTTCCCTGATATGAATATGCCTTGCAAATTTCGTACTATTAAAACGGTTATAAAACATTGCCTTCCTGCATAGTGTCCTTGTTCAGACATAGTCATGTTTGTTAGTGCTCCTCCTTTTGGATCCTGGAAAAACCCCTGTGTTTTTGCATTTAGTTATGTGGAACCAAACAGTTAGCATGAAGTATAGTCACGCTTCGTTGGGACGCTCAATGTTCCGTTGGCTCGGAACTAAATGAGGGCGACTCAAAAGTTCTTTACACTCTGCTTATCTTAAAACTTCTGTTTGCCACGCTGTTCTATCAGCGCTTTTTATGCGAGGTCGCTCCAGTGACTGCTGCCTAGGTTTGAACGTGTCAGTTCAGTTGGGAGCGAGGTGCAAAGAACAGCGGCTGCCCCTCGCACGATATGCGCAAGTGGGGAGCCACTTTTTATCAACCAAGGGTGCGCATCGTGACAGTATCTCTTAACAGCATAAAGGAAGTGCTTTGTCGCAAAGCAGTGCATTTAAATGAATATGGAAGTTCAAAGAAGGACACACAAATGTCAGCCGTGAAGAATGAGCCAAACGCTCTCCCACGTCCACGACTGATAACAACACTTAACATGCACGTGTACCGATTTTGTCGGATAAAGCGGTGACAGTGGACGTCGTGACTAATCATTTGCAAATCAGCCGAGGCCTTGCCAACACAATAACCCACGACAGGCTCGGGTTTAGAAAGGATCGAATGAAACAAATTGTACGGTCAGTGTGCTATAAATTTTTAATCACCCCCGTATTTGGACGCTGGCAAACTCCCGCCAGAGTCAGATTCACCTCGTGCCGCGTCAAGACGCAAAAGTCCCACTCACGGCGCGCTTGCTCCGACGCCGCGCAGGTGCAGAGCTTGCCCGCCGCCATGGCGGCGGCGACGGGGCTGCAGATGCAAGGGGCGGCGCAGCAGCAGGGTGCGGCGCAGCAGCACCTCCTGGGGGGTGCCATCCAGGCGCTGGGCATCACCCCGCAGGGCAACGTGATAACCTCTCCGCTTCAGGGGCCCCTCAGCCCCCTGCAGACGGTCCAGGCGGCCCTGGCCAACGGCCAGCTGGTCGGTGAGTGACGCCTTGTAACCGGTTCCCTATGGAGAACGTCTTTAGAGTGGATCTTCGGATAGCCGTTGAAAGTATGTACTGAACTCAGGTTCTCCTTAGAGGGACCCACTCAAATGCTTTTTGTAGAAGCTTGTTTTTGATGGCGCATTATTTGTTCAGCTTTAGTCAATAAAAATGACCAGTTGTAGACAGCAAGACGTCCTAATTAAACTGACAGCAGTAGACATATACGGGCAATATTTTCCCGTTGGGGGGGGGTCACTGGCACTCCGTGCTCCGAGTTGCCGGCACATCTGTGCTCCACATTCCACGTGCCAAGCTGCTCTTCTATCTGGTTGCGACGCTTTGTACGAATCACGGATGTCCCGGTGATTTGCGGTCGTATCTCAGCGTCAACGTGTGCAAGCTTCGTAACGTGAGAGACAATGTTGTGCGAACTGGAAGTGACGGTGGCGAAGTAAGACGTCGAGTCGCGATGCAGTGTGGCGCCGCGTCGCGTGACCACGTCGGCCTCACATCCTGGGGTGCGGGTCCTGTTCCCGTCGCGTGCCATGCAGCGCAGCAGTTCCAACAAGACCCCAACGATCCCACCAAGTGGCAGATGGTGGCAGCGCAACCCGTGGGGACTTCCGTGTCCAGCGCCACCCAGCAGCACCTGCAGGCTGGACAACAGGTGGGGCCGGCTTAAGCACCGCGTCTTTGTGCACAACCTCCGAAAAAAAGAAGAAAACAAGCCTAGCTTAGACGTTTTGTTGAATGCAATGGCACTCGATGGGGTTCTGAACAAGCAGCAACTCGTATCGGTATGTGGCGAAGGCGTTTCCCCGCTAAATTTCGCGTCCCGTGACTCTGTGACTGCGTAGCACCGTGACGTGCCACATTTTGTCAAATGCGGTGGAGGTGCGACAGCACTTGTGAGGATATTTAAACGAGCAACACATTCTATCGGTGTATAAAAGAGATGTTTTCCTGCCAAGTGCAGCGGGGATATTGTTTCACGTGGCACGGTGTTACTGGGACTTTACGTGACGCCGTGTGTGACCGAGATATTTCCTTGCTGACTCACTAGTTCGCACGACCCTCCTCTTGTTGAAACTTCTTGCGTGCAATCGACGACGGGAACCCTGATCTTGAGGCAGTTCTCGTAAAAGAAGTCTTTTATCTTTAAACATTGTCTCGTAAACAAAGTAAAATGGGTCTGTGTATATTTTTTACTATTATTCCTGAATGAACGAACTATTTACACACTTTGGTTTTTCCTATCTCCTCTGGCACATGTCCAATCTTCGTAATTTTTTTCCTTCTGTGGTAGGTGTATGTGTATAACAAAGGCAATAAAGGGTGTAAATTATTAAATATGGTATATCAGGCTCTTTTTATGTGCCCTTTAGGTATCCTGCAACAGATCAATTTGAAACTGGAAAATTCAGATGTCATAAAAAGCCTATAAATCAACCTAGAGCTCCACAGACAGAATTTGAGTTCACTGATCTATGTGTATTTTGTGATTTCAATTTGTCTTAATCTTTCTCATAATCTTTGCAAATGAAGCTTTCCATATTAACAAAACTAATTAGGTTATATCAAAACCAAGTACATATTGGTAGTGAGGCTGTAACGGCAGATAAGCTATGTAACCTTAGTTTGAATTGAATCGAAAGTTATACAAAAAAGCTATTGAAGCAGTGTTGCCCCTTTAGGCGAAACTGCTCCATTTTTATTTTTCCGAATCGTTTGTCCGTCCCAGGTCCACCTGGTGCAGGCCCAGGCGTCGGGTCTGAACCCCGGCCAGAGCTCGGCGACGCCCAGTGAGGGGGGCCTGGAGTCCCCCGACCTGGCGGAGGGGGGCTCGCCGGGGGGAGACAGCGGAGGGGCCACGCCGGGCAACAACGCTGGGCTCAGGAGGCTCCGCAGAGTTGCGTGCACCTGCCCAAACTGCAGGGAGGGGGAGGGGAGGTGAGGGGACCCTTCTTTCTCCGAGAAGACCTCGCACCCTTTCGAGAAGTGCCATCTCCTTCGAGAGTCCCCTCCTCTCAGTGGGAACACTAAAGTTACGAAGAGGGAAATGGTGTCAGAAGTAGGGAGGACAAAAAACGAGAGACCCCCGCTCTTTTTCCTCCATACTTTTGGCGCTGTTTCCCTCTTCATAATTATGTGTAACCAACTTGCCCAACTTTCAACAGAACGCTAAAATGTTTCCTCAACAGAACACTAAGTGTTTCCTAAGTTAATTCCTTTTCTCATGGATACTGTTAGTTATTATTTGGTAGCCAAGGCTGGGGCAGGCGTACCAAAAGGAAGGCAAAGGAAAACAGGGAGCAAAAAAGCAAGATCTTTCATGACATGGAGCAATAGATCAAAAACGATGTGGTCGCAACTTGATCTACGGCTTCTAAGCATTCTAAGAAACCCGAGATTGAATCGATGTGCGATCGATTTCTCCACTAAAAACAAGATCGACGACGGCAACACTCTTTTTTTTTTTTTTTCTGGGATTCGGAGCAAAAACCAGAGGCCGCCCTCGAACGTGCGATGGCCATTCACGAGCCATCGCTTACTCCGTGCAAATCGCGCACATTAAAAAATCAGTCCACCATCGTTTCGCACCCTCGTGCTTCGCTGATTGACCGTCGTGCCTCCGACAGCGCCAACGGGAAAGTTGGACGCGAATGCATCAAATCTTGGTGTTTTCTAGATTGCTTAGAGTCCCTAGGGGTTTAGTTACAAATATACTGTCAAACCCACTTATAACAATCCCACTTATCGTGTTCGTTATAACCTGTTGGTTATAAGGCTCTACCCACTAAAATTGGCCCATATAAAGCATCCATTTTTCAAAACATCATACTGCTAAAACAAAAACAAAATCCGCTTTCGAAAAGAAAAAGAAGATCACAAGAATTACATTTTGGATGGGGCACTCCAGGAGACGCTGAAGGTCATTTCCACGGGTCGCGTAGTCTGCAGGTTGCACTTGCATGGGAAGGAGAAGAGGAGGAGAAGGAGAAAGTCAGCTCTCCGCTGTGCTGCATTCGTTCGTTCTATGTTTGTAAACTCTGTATTCAACTCAAGAAAAACTCGATGCTCGTAATAAGTTGGCTGGCCCCATCACCATCGTGACCGTTGTTGTGAAAACGGAAAAGCCTTGGACCAGACCCTCCCTATCTAATCCGTCCGGCAACGGTGAACTCATTGAGTAGCATCGCCACATGGCTCCGGTCGGCTTGCCCGGAAACGAGGCGTGAGTCGACAAGGGGGTGCCGTGGGACCACCGTGTTGGCATCGCCCCACCTAGGCACGGAGCTCCGGACCCTCCTTTCTGGCTGCGTTAACGCTGGTCCGAAACGGGGTCAGCCGACTCAAGAACCGGGAGGATTACCGGGCCAGGATTCCGGGTAACGACGCGCCAGGTGCGGGACCTCCGTGAGGGTGGGATTATCCCTGGACGCCACCTGCGGATGATCCGGCCAAGCCCTTTCCCGTGCCTCAACGCCGTCTGATGGAGGGGTCAGCACTACCACGGCCAACGTCGTCACCCGGGCAAACACTGGACCCCTTGCTGTCACCTCCTCGGCGCAGCTTTCGAGGGCAAGGGTGCCTCGGCGCCGGAGTGTAAAGTCCGGCCACAGCTGCAGTGTGTGCATGTGGGTGTGTGCGTGCTCAGGGGATGAGTGGAGGCGGGGCCTGAACATGATTTGTTGGCAGCTCGGCCACCATTGGCTGCCAGCCGCGAGAGTACCGAAGAGCGACCCTATAAAAGGGGCAAACAGAATGTCGCATCTGTGCTCTCGGACGTTGTAATTACTTTGTACATATGTATTAAACAAAGTTTCGTTGCGAGAGACCCTCCCGTCTCGTCATGTTCCTGGACGGGAGTCTGCCCGCTGCTCCTTTCCTGGCCTGGCCCTGCGTGACGCTACCCGGAGAACCCCCTCGGTCCCAACACCGTCTGTTTACATTCGCCGTTTTGGTATCCGTATCGTGCACATTCTCTTGCGTCTACGGACTCGTGTCTGTCGTTTTAGATGGGGGGGAAAAAGAAAATCCACTAGGAGGCTTTATTTAAACAAAAGGGAATCACGCTGGCGGAAATAGATAACAACGGAGCAGCACCGCGTGGCCTGGCAATCCCAGCCGTTCGACAAGCTCGCAAAGTGTCGTTTGAAAGACGGCCCTGCCAGAGGCGACGGCCGCGCACTCGTACATGCGCAGGAAGCGCGGCACTTGAGACGCTTTAGGCCAAGGCAAGTAATTATCTCTGTGGGCAGTGAAGAACTATTGTCGGACTAGTGCACGGCATTTATTTTTGTTTTGGCGTGCGTTTCATAAAATCTGTTCTATGGGGTATCTGGTCAATCCATTATTTTACTGGCGCAGTAGAATCGGCAGCAATTCACTTTTTTGATTATCTGAAAGGTAAATCTGCCTTCGCGTGAGAATTGGGGCCGCGTTAGAATCGTGCAAACAGTTTCTTTAAATAAAGAGCTGGCAGAGTGAAACTACCTATACCAGCTTCATTATCCTTATTTATAATCTTTAAGAGATAATCGCAGATATAACGAACTACTAATAAAACGACCACTTTTCACGGAATTATGACGTTCGTTATAGGTGGGTTTGACTGTAAATGGGCAATCTCAGAAATCGCTCTGGCACCCTGGGGTACTCTGGCAATTTTCGAAGTTGCTGAAAACACAGAATGAGAACGAATTGGGCGTGTCACCAAATGTCCGGCCTCTACCACGTGCTCCCCCTACCTTTCTCATTCTGTCGGTAACCGTCGCATCGGTGGCGAACGACGTCGTGAGCCTTTCCCCCCTCCTTGCCCTTGCAGGAGTAGCGAGAACAAGCGTCGGCAGCACGTGTGCCACATAGCGGGCTGCCACAAGGTATATGGGAAGACGTCGCACCTGCGGGCCCACCTGCGCTGGCACACCGGCGAGCGGCCCTTCGTTTGCGAGTGGCTCTTCTGTGGAAAGCGCTTCACCCGCTCCGACGAGCTCCAGCGACACAAACGCACCCACACGGGTGAGCGGGGCTGGCCGACCACCCGCGTGCCACAAAACGTAGACCCTTTTCGAAATTGGGTCTGGCAACTTTGGTCACCATCGTCATCTCAGTGTATCCCCCACGTGCCGCGAAATTCAGTCTGACAACTTTCAAAATTCAGTCTGGTTGCTTTGATCATCTTCTCAGTGTATGGCATCTGTGCTAAACTAGTGGTGGCTTTCTTGAGGCCGACGAAGGAAGAAGTCGAAAGATACCGCTGAGCAGATATACAAAGCCTGTACGTCTTAGACGTCGCCATAGCACGAAGCATGAATTAGATACGACGATTGCGTAGGCATTTATTTCGGAGTGCGGTCCAATCGATCTCTTGCCACGAGTTCGGCTGTAACGCCTTTTGATGGTGGAGATTTAATCAAGGCACTTAAGGGTTGCCGCTTGGTACTACCGTAAAGTTCCGAAAGAACGCCCACCCAGTAGGAAGAGATAAATGGTGAAAAACGTGGGGTGGGCTGTCTTTGGGGATACCACAGCAAAACTTGATCAAAATTTAATGCTAAACGCCCCGGCACCGGCTGCAAACCACGTGACGCAGGGACTGATACCGCAGATCACGGACACTGCAGATTGCGGACACCGCCAGTTCGCGTTTCACGACGCGATGTGCATGAAAGAATTTGCTATGAACTCTTGTGTCGCAGGAAAGGTTACCGCGGGTTGCGGAGGCAGCAGATTCGCCTTTCACGGTGCGAAGGATCTGCAGAAATTTGCCAAGAACTCTCGTCTCATGGGAACAAATACTGCGAATCGCTGACGCAGCAGATTCAAGTTTTAGTGTGCAATTAACACACGGGAACACGCTACGGACTTGCCTGTTACGGGAACGTATGTCTCAGACATAGCGCAGCAATCTGCTAAAACTTGTATGTTACAGGAACAAATATCGCAGATCGCGAATGCAGCAGAATCATATTTTACGATCTAATATACACGTGGGACCAACTCGCGTGGAATCGAGATCTTGGACAAAAATGCAGGAATCCGCCACAAACTTTGTCACTGGAACGGATACTGCAGCTTGCGGACACAGCAGGTTTGCATTTCACGGTGCAACATACACGCGATAACAACTCGCATGTTACGGGAGCCGATATTGCGCACGCAGATCGGGGACAAAGACGCGGGAACTTGCTATGAATTCGCTTATCAGATGTGTTGGTACAGCAAATTGTGCGGTTGATGTGATTCCCATTGAACATCTCGGTGATGTCCGACGGGAATCGGGGGCTGGGTGATGTTTTGAAATTTTTATGTTGGAGATATTTAGCCAGAGAAACGGGATGGGCGAATCTCGGGGATGGACATTTTTTCGGAACTTTACGGTAGTCGGTTGTTATGTGCTCACCATCTAATTGAAAACGAGAAAGAAGTATGAGGTGATCGAAGAACCAAATCTCATCTGTCATTGACGCTCGAAAATGGCGGTGCCAAGCCTATTGAAATAGTTTTCATGACCGCCATTAGTTTGGCAAAAGCAAAACTGCTGCGTCTACACGAGCTGAAACAGTCCTGCATGCTCACTCGCCGTACCTGCCAGGTTAAGAAAAAGCCGCAGTCCAGTGTGGGATGCGAAATGCGAAGTTGAGGTCCCATATTTAGAAATTTTCGAGAGATTGAGAGATAATATGGCTCGTGGGCACCACAGGTGTGGAGAAAGGCCGGACGGGGCGTCCGGTTGAAAAAAAGAGACACGCTATAAACGAGCTAGCGGATGGAGTGCAGGGAAAGTGTTTCCACAAAGGTGTCTTTAGGCATTGGATCAATCACACTCGATTTTCGCTTTTGATGCTGCTCGATAGCTCTTGTTACCCCGTAACGTCGGCTGCATCTGGACATTAATCCGAAACGAGGTGTGGTCCCAGCCAGATGTTGACGGAGCTCTCGCATCCAACCTATGCCCTGTGCTGGCCGGCCGTGGCTGACGTAGGAAGTCCGGCGCAGTGATCTTGTTATCGAGGAGACGTTGCAAAGCCAACTGGTAGCTCGGTGCTCCCTAAACTCCGCCACGGCGCGGCCCCTGAGAACTATAGAACAATGTGCCGCAACCCCTTCCCTAAATGCCTTGTGCGCAGAAGGTAACTCCAGCTTCCTGGAAAGTGCCCTTAAAATGCGAAGCTATAGAGCAGTCATCAGTAGCCAATGGAATAGTACATTCAAGTATGAGCTGCTCAAAAATTGATGATCTCCCCCCCCCCAAACGCGCGGCTAAAGCTTGCCGCCCCGTCTCGTGCAGGTGAGAAGCGCTTCCAGTGCGCAGAGTGTCTGAAGCGCTTCATGCGCAGCGACCACCTGTCGAAGCACCTGAAGACCCACCTGAGCAAGAAGGGCGCGGTCCCCGGCGGGAGCGCAGACGCCGCAGCGACGCAGCAGGACGAGTTTGCCCCGGACTCGTGCGACCTCGAGATGTCTGTGGACGTGTCCGACCACGACTTGTCCATCAACGAGTCGGCCGTGGCGGACAACAACAACGCCGCCGCCGCCACCCACATTCTCCCGGCGTGATCGCGGGGGGACGCCGTCCGGCGTCTCCGAAACCGACCCGCCTTCCAGACGGCGGCAGCGTAGTGCCGGATTTTTCCGTCGGGAAATTCCCTGGGTGGACTGGCGCGTCCACCGGGCAACGAGGTACCAGAGCTTGAACCTTTGGTACGGTAAATGCAAGCGCGCGCTTGAACGCGCGAAATGCCAGCACAAAAGCGCTCCAAAGCTGCTCCAGATCCTCCGGGGGAATTGCCCTAGTACACTTGCTGGAGGCGGCGTAGATAATCCGGCAGTGCGACCCTGCCGTTTAGGAGGTCTTCGAATCGCTTTCTCGAAGCTTACGCTACCCTCTCCTCCCCGTTCCAATGCCATGAAGTGGCACCGGAGAACCGTAGTCTCAAAACCGACATCTGCTGGCGCCGTCACTGCCATACGAACCGGCCTATACGGCGCTGTAATCGGACGAAACGGCAAACGTCGCCTTTCTCGAACGTCAAAGCCGTTGTATTCCGTCGATCTTGGGAAGAAACCTTTCCGGCGCTAAGTTCTTGAGAGCGGTGTCAATAGAGTTAGTCGAGTAGTTCCATCAAAATCTTCAAAGTGATGTCGCCATTTATTTATATTTTGTTTCTTCTTTCGTTGATGCCAACTTTATTGAGGAGGTGGAGGAGAGGAAAGGCGTTCGCGGTCTTGACGCATTCTTCTTGAAACACGCCTCCAGATGCACAACCGTAAATCGGGAACAGCGCAGGTGGCTGGCGGAAACTTCGTCGAGATTGGCGAGAGGTACTGCTTGCAAGCGAGTCTGTGCACGTGAAAGGAACGGATACTTTCCTCGACATTAACAAATTAATCGGTCGGAAAACTTTTATTTTGCGTGAAAATGAGGTTTCTCATCTATGGGTTGTGTGTTTGTAAGGTGGGGTGAATGAATCCCGGACTTTCCGATGAACTCCCCTTGGGAATCCAGGATTTCCTTTCGGTGGCGTTCTTCGCCTCTCTAGTGAGCCCAGGCATCTGGACTTCGTCTGCATCGTGGTTTTTAGTCCCCATCCGTCGGCGCACCTGGAAAAAAAAGATGGCAGTGGAACGGCAAAAACGGCGACACTCGAGTGGCTTTCTAAAGTGACCTAAAGACATTCAAGCCCGTCGGGAGAGCTAATTCATTTGTTTAGTAGGGTACGTTGTTGGGCTAGATGGTTCATCTTAGTTAAGGGGAGACGCTGCTCTTTGAGGCCAAAAGTTTACTAAGAAAACACATCTTTAAAAATGTGTTCTTGAACTTTGGCAAGCACTTAGCATCTTGTCCTGAAGGATTTTCGTTAAATAAGTCTCTCTTCTCTTGAAGTATTGTCTAGGAAACAAAGTAAAATGGGTCTGTGGATTTTTTCAAATATTATTTCTGAGTGAACTATTTACACCCTTTACTATTTTATGGAAGCCATATCTCCACTTGCACATATCTCATTTTCATATTGTTTTCTTTCTCTCCTAGCTGTATGCGTGACATATGCAATAAGGGGTACTAATATATTAAATAGGCTGTCAGGGTTTTTGTAGGTGCCTTTTAGGCATCCTGCAAAAAAACGATTTTGATACTGGAAAGTTCAAAAGTGTCATAAGAAGTTTATAAATCATCCTAGAGCTTTCATTTATCCTTATTGGATTGCACATACCTCTTAGTTCACTGATCTATGTTTATTTTCTTATCTCAGTATTTCAATTTGCCTTAATCCTTCCCATAATCTTTGCAAATTAAATTTTCAATATTAAGGGGAGACACTGCCCAGAAAAAAAATTTTCTGCAAAAAAAGTTGATTTTAAAAAATGACATCTTTACATCCACCAACATCTAGAGAGTATTCCCAAAAAGTTTCATTAATTTTCACTGTATAGTTAATTTTTTTTATAAATTATTTTCTGTCCACCAAAGCTATAGAAAAGGTAGGGTTTGGAGCACTTTGAACACATTTTTCTCCGTTCCACTTTTTGGTATAAATTCCATTTTAGTCAATCTATCGTTTGATAATAACAAAACGGGGAAGGCTCATTCTTCCCTTTTCCTGACTGAAATCTAATAAGGAGTGCGGCTATGGAACTTTTTTGTCACTTTACGGATGTCTTTTCTAAAAAATGTTGACATTTTGTCGAAGGCACAGAAGACCAAAAAGTTAACCAATTTTGCAAAAGAGAAAATTTATAGAAATTACTTTTTAGAAAAAATGTTCCATAGCCGCACCCTCTAGGCATTCTGCTACATATCTAGCAAATAAAAATATTTAATATCGCAATAGTTTTCTGACGATAGATTAACTAAACAACTTAGGCTTGTTGCTGATAGAAGCTACTCTTATTTCCTTCTCGTTTAACTGACAGACCTGAAATTTTGTCATACACCCTCTAGCATGACCACCAGCCTACCCTGTAAATTTTATTAATTTTAATACAAGAGTTCAAAAGTTGACCCCCTAGGGGGTGTGCCCCCTTAATAAAACTAATTAGGTTATGTCAAAACAAAGTACATATTTGTAGTCAGATTGTAATGCAAATAAGCCATGTAAATTCCATTTTAATAGAATCACAAGTTATATAAAAAATCTCTAGAAGCAGTGCTCCCCTTAAACATATAAAATAGTGCAAATTGCGCTATTTTATATGTTTAAATAATCCAGTTGTACTTGGAGTGAAGAATCTCCAACGAGACAATGATGTATGCGCAAATGTTTACAGAAACGTCGCCTACGAGAGCTCTACTATAGAGGAAACAGGTTTAAGGTTCGAAATCTACTTGTTTTTTTTAACTTGAAAACATTAACTGTTCCATGGAGCAAACCGGTGTCATCAGCTTTTGAAGCCTCGTCAAACCGCACCTAAACTTCCCTGTCCCATGGAGCGAAGCCTGTAGTCTGTACCAGCAAATTGATAGATTAGATAAATTCCCATTGGCTGCCGCACTTTGTAGTTTCAAGGAATGCCACCCCACAGAGAAGCCCTCTCAAATGGCGCTGGGGTGCCAAGGATGGCACGCGCCCGGCCGCCACTCTCGTATCGGAGGCGTCGCCAGAGATGGGGGCTGCCACTTCTGCTCCTCTCGACGCCGAGGAACATGGCTGTGCTCGAAGCATCTATATCGTCGGCGGCCTCAACCTCGGCAGTAGTGAAACGTGGCCGTCCACGCCAGTACACCGCAGACAAACTAAGGGAGCGGAAGAACGACATTCATGCTTTCGCATGCACAACTCGTAAGAACTGTTTATTGGTTCTCCCACTGAAAACCACTAGTCATGGCTGCCTCTCCTTTTTTTTCTAAACTCCCAACTCATTTCTAAAGAAACGAGTTGGGAGGCTGAGCCGAGCTAATCCTTGAAGTCGCTTTCCCGTCGTTTCAATTCCGACCAATGGGAGCAGAGTTGCACAGACGACTTGCAAGCCGTACCGTCCAATGTTGAGCCCTGGTGTTTGGAGAAGTTGTCGTCTGCACATATTCTTCTTATCTCTTTTGCTGTTGCCGCGGCTGGTTGGGCCCCGTCGCCGTCTCTTCTGAGAAAGCGAGAATATTTTTGTTGCACGATTTGCATTGGTCAGAAGACGACGACGACAAAGCTCCGCCGCCCAAGCCTTGCGGCACTGAGGAGGTTCTTGTGCCGCATTGTTTACTTTCTACGCAACTTTATGCTTGTCGAGAATGAAGGATTGCCCCAATTGTGCTAGTACTACCTAATATATAAGTGAGGAGATTAGCCTCGAGCCCTCTTTTTGACGGTCGTGGTTTGCGAACGATTCGGAGCGTTAAACAAGCGCTTCTCTTTGGGTGTTTTTGTTTACATCTGTGTGCGCGTAACTCTGTGCCAGCATTTGCAGTGTCGCGAGCAATCCTCGTTGCATCGGGGTTCATTGACACCAAGATTCTCATCAAATATCGTACAGTTCACAAAGAATAAAAAAAAAAAAAGCTTCCTCGCTAGAAAGTTTAGTTACACGAAAGACATTGAGCCTTGAAAAGTTTTTCACTGTTGACGCGTAAGCACGTTCGACGGGCGTCTTTTGCACGAGCAGCGAGCGATCAGCACGAAATGTATATAAGCCCAGACTCTATTAAGACTGTATCAATGAAGCAGTGACCTGATGGCCGGCAGAAGTCGGTCAACATTGTTCCAAATGCCACCAACCTCACAAAGCTCGTTTATGAAGAAGTTGTGCTCGCGTACGAGTGACATTGCGCATTGTTCCGAGCACGCTTGTGCAAAGGAAGAAAATCACTTGCTCTGTGTGTGTGTGTGTGTCATTTTAGCGCCAAGCAAAGCGTTTCTTTGTTTCTTCCATCGACATACGAGGACGTTGTCCATTCTCAGCGAGATCACCGGCATAAGCGTGCATGTCCACCCTTTTCATCGGATTCAAGCTGGCACTGTTTGGCATGCTGCCATCTAGATCCGACTTGTTGCAGAGCACTTTTATATATCTGAGCAGGGAGAAGTGTGCCTCGCTTCGGCGTTGCACAGTGTCGCGAACTCAGAATAAAGAAAAGAATGTTGAAACTCTCGAGTGTGTGGTGCAAGTTTTTCTTGTACAGTTTCCACCAATATGAAAGACCTACCGGGGTGTGTGCCCAAGACGGTGGCTGGCGAAGGTGCGCTGTGCGTTGTGGGCAATCCTATACTGCTCCGAGGGGAGTGATGAATCGCTACCCCTCTGAAGGTGAAAATGAATGCCGGTTCCCACTAGAACTTCTCATGTCAAACAGTTCATCTTCTATACTCTATTATAACTAACTTGGCAAAGGCTATTAGCTCCCCACAAACCAATCGGAGCATTGAAGAGAGACGGGTGACAGGATACCGTTGGAGTGTACTCCTCCCATGAAAAGACGCGTGCTTCTCCCGGTCACTAGCTCTTGTCCTCTGCGAAGTTCTGTCGGAACGGTATACAGTTTAGGAAAGGAGAATGCAAACTCTTTTTCCTGGTTGCACGCAGGTTCTTCTCAGGGTTGGCTGTCTTGGTTATATTCGGTGCAGGGCAGCCACGTTGCTGTTATTGATATCAGTGCCGTGACATGGTATGGGTACTTCGAGGACGCGCAAGGCTCCTGTTAGATTGATGGCTACGGTGCCACTCTAATGTTTAATGCCATGGTAGCATTCAGCTTTGGAGAGCAATAGGGCTTGCCTTGATAATATTCTTTATTCAGCCTTAAGGGCTGCGACACCACAGAGAGGCCCTTGGCCTCTACCTGAGGCCTGCAGTGCCGCATTACTACAAACAAAAAAGATTTTCGCATGAAATGTATGCACATACACAACACATATGCCCTCACTCAAACGTACACACATGGGGGAGGGGAAGAGAAAGGGAGGGTAAATTGTTGTTGGAGGTGGCCTGATGCCTCCTTGCTCCAGGCTTTGACGTCTTGCCACTTGAGGGGCGGACACTCCGTCAGCTCCCTTGGCAGAGAACTCCAGAGTGCCACAGCCCTTAGCAAAAAAGAGTTTCGATGCCGCTCGGTCCAGCTGAACAGCGGCTGCAGACCACCAGAACTAGTCCTGCGCAGATGCTGCACCAGTGAAAGCTCAGAGCCCCTTGGTAGGAGGCAGGTGGCCAGGAGCTGGACGGATGCCATCTGGCGACGAAGAGTGAATGGATTCCATCCCACCAAACCGAAAAGTTCCTGTGTGGTTGTGTCACGGTAACGCGGGAGATTGAAAGAGGCCTGCCACCGCAGAACTGTAGGCAGCACGTCGCTGCACACTCTCGAGGGATGCCGACGGAGAGTTGGTGGGGGTCCCGGATTGCGGCGCAGTATTCTAAGTGTGGGAGGACGAGAGCAGTGTAGAGGTGCCGTACCACACCAGCTCCAGCTCCGCGGGCGACTGTTAGCACGAACCCCAGCATACAACGGGCTCTGGAAGTCACCTCGCTGATATGAGTTGAGAAGGTTAGCTTGGTGACGATCGTCACACCAAGGAGCCTTGCACGGCTGGTCATAGGAAGTGCCGTCCCGTTCAGGTGAAGTCTGCTCTCACCGGTAGCATGCCTCCTTGACGTAGTGATGAGGGTCGATGAACACTTGGATGTTGAGGGGTAGCTTGTTTTGGACAGGCCAATTGTGTACAGTGGTCAGGTCGTCCTGCAGTTTCTGATATTGGGGGGGGGGGGGGGGGGGGGGGGGGTTCTGGACAGGCTGAATGATTGTTAAATCATCAGCATACACAGGAGGGGGGTTCAATTCGTGGAGGATGTGATGTCATTTATGAATATATTAAAGAGGGTGGGTCCCAGGACACTGCTCCGAGGGATTCCTGATAAGATGCATTTTGCTGCTGAGATTGCCCCTCGGAATACCACTCGTTGCAAGCGATTCAGTAGAAAGTCTGCAATCCACCCCTCGAGATAGCTTGTTGTTTCCATCTTGACAAGCTTCTGGCGAAGAATTCCGTGGTACACCCTGTCAAACACCTGTTTGAAGTCGAGCTGCACAACTTCACAGAGGGTGTGGGCATCAAGAAATGAGCAACATGTGAACAGTGGTAGCCAAGGCTGACTCGCAACTCCAGCCGGGTTGGAATCCATACTGGCAGGGCGAGAGAAGCTGATGCTGCTCCAGGTGTTGGAGGAGCTTTTTGTTGTTGATCTGCTCTATCGTTCTACACATGACCGAGGTAGACGAAATGGGCCTGTAGGAGGCAACCGATTACGTTGAAGATCCATTTCCCTTATTTACTGGCGTAACGAGGGCCAGTTTCCACTGGTAGGGAACCGAGCCGGCTTGCGAAAAGTTGGTAAACAGCCGCGTGAACACTGGACCCATCCGGGCCTGCACTTTGGGAGGGTTTCAGGTGCCTCGGGGCCTTACGAACATCATCTACTTCTACGTCTATGCGTCCGAGCGGCACAACGTTTGAGGAGGGAGGAATGTTGGCGGTCTGGGGGGTGTCGGGGAAAGCCCATGACGAGGACAAGTGGCGCAAAAAAGTTCAGCAATGGCTTGGGGATTCTGCAAGGTGACCCCGCCAACTGTACCAAGGTAGACCAATTGTGGACAGTGGTCAGGTCGTCCTGCAGTTTCTGATATTGGAGGGGGTTCTGGACAGGCTGAATGATTGTTACATCATCAGCATACAGGAGAGGGGTGCAATGCATGGAGGACGTGATATGTCATTAATGAATGTATTAAAGAGGGTGGGTCCCAGGATTGGTGGAATGAATATGGCTGGAAGAAAACTGGTGAGCATTGGTCTTACTTGTAGTGCAAAATGCATGAACCTGTGTGCATTAAAGCTACACTTTTCTGTTTGCCTCAAATTTAAAGCCCCTACAAGTGGCACGGCTAAAACAGGAAACATGAGCGACAAAAACGGGCGCCGCAGGGCAGTTTCCATGGCAACTTGTGCGCAAGCTGCGACCCTGTGACGGCGGCTTGGCATAGGTCCACGTCACCGCGTCCAGGGTTGTTGCTATGGGAATCAGCGCGCGGCGCTTGGTAGTCCTGAATTAACCCAGCCATTTGTTCCACATGCGCTTTGAAGCGTTCGGTAGGAACTAGAGTAGCTCTGTATGGTGCACGCTACAGGCCCATGTTTCGAGTAGCGCTTATCACATCAGCAAACAAAACGGCTCCTCGGTATATCGCCCACGGATAGGTTATATTTAAAAGTAGAAGCGCCAATTAAACCTCTAACGTACGAATTAGAGCTAAGGTTATGAGCTCCACAAGTGCGTCGCTCGCTACACTAAAAAGTTTAGCACTTCTATCTGAAATCTGAACCAAACAAAAAAATATGGCGCCTTGTGGCAATGACACAACGCCAGCCCGCGGACGCCGGAAAAAACTTCTGCATGAAATCGGAGCCAGCGCAGGCGAGTAGCAGTTAGAACGTTCAAGTATTCTGCAATCAAAATAACGGAAGCACACGCAGCACCAAAAGCGAAAATGGCGGCCCAAGATCGACTTCGCTAGCCCCCTGGCGGTGCCGAGGCTCTTTGAGTCGCCATTGGTCCGGGAGGATCACGTGGTGTCTAAAATTACCCAGGGAAGCGCAAAAGCGGTTGGCATCCATCTTGGCATCGTCGTTCGCGTAGTCCGCGTAACGAAATGGTGAATACGTGCTGCATTCGGAATTGCAAGACGAACAAAATTAAGTCGAGCGAAATCTCCTTCTTCAAGTTTCCAACGTCCGAGAGACTCCGGAAGGTATGGGAGGACCGTGTGGGCCCCAAGGGCTTCAAAGCGGACGCCAATACGCTTCTGTGCTCCCGACATTTTGTCAAGGGTCGTGTTCACACTTTGGGAGATCGTCGGGTCCTCCTGAAAAATTCGATACCTACGCAATGTCTAGGCAACGGAGACGTCGAAATGGACGCGTGTGTTGCAGGTAAGTCCTAAAATATGTAAGCGACCTGGGTGGTAGCTTTCGGTTGTCTCCGCGCCCATACTTATACGGATTTCTTTTCCTTCTCTCCCCTATGGCGCACAGACACCGAGGAGCCTAAGGACACCGGAAAAAGTACGGTATTACTACTAAAATTGATTACTGCAGCTTCTTTCTTTTTTGCATTTTTTTTAATTTTTAAACGAATAGTTTTTGCTGTATTCCTTCGAATATACCAGGGGTGGCCAAGCTGCGGCTCTTCGCGTATTAAAGTGCGGTGATAAGTTTCTTAACTTATCACGCTGGCATTTATTATTACAAAGGTGCTCGAAAGTGGTGCATTCATTAATTGAGAGTATAACTACATAAAAAAATAAAGTAAAAAAAAAAACTGGTCTTGTTTGTAAAAAAAGGTATCGCCAAGCCTTTTTCTCAAAATCATCAGTAAATTGTTGTAGGCTATTCTGGCATTTATTACAACCAAAAAATTGATAAAATAGGGAAAAAAAAATCGGCGTACCTATTTTTCACTTTATTTGGCCCAAGTGAGTGCCACAGTGACAGAAAATATTTAAGTGTACATGCTAAGTGTACACACACTCATAGAGTTATTATAATGTACGCTAGAGGTTCAACTGGCGCTAGTGTCTATGCAACTTCCGTGACGCAAATTGAAGCAGACAGCAACCGTCTACTTTTGCGGTGCTCATGTGCATTCCTATGGGAAAACGCGCGTGCATTTTGTCTCTTCGCCGAAAAATAACACGGAACACTGTGGTTATTTGGGCCGTACCCAATAATATATACCTTGATTAGGCACTGTAAAAGTGTAATTGCTTTAGTTAGCGCATTTTTCTTCATAAATGTACAAAGTTTAACTTCGCTACATTTGAGTCCCAAACGTGGGTTCCGCAGCAGTTGTGTAAAAACAAGCGACGATTCAAAGCAAAATTACAATCGAAAGGAATATAGAGTGTGTTCAAGGCTCGCCAGCATTCCGGTGACGCTTATATATTGATAATATGCCAGTCCTGTCACTATATGAAAATGACTCCCCATCGTGCATGAGCGGATAAAAACATTCAAAACATAGAATATAAAGTCCGTGGGCTATGAAAGGTGTCTCTCTGTATTGTTTTCTCCGCCGGACAGCTTTTATCGGGCACTCGTTCTCAAAGATTTCGAGCGTGCGGGTGATATTTTGAACGTAAAACAAGCAGCTTCGCTCAGAGCAGAAAGAATAAAGCTTTATGTTACTTATTGAAAATCGGAATAGATTACGTGGCATTCAATTTATTTTTATCGTACATGCACGGGTAGTTACTGATCCAGTGTTACTGCGTAGTTCTCGCCGTCCCTCTTAATTTCCAAATGTACTTCGTTTGTTTGGCACGTATATCCCTCATGCTGAAAAGCGCCAACGTCGTGTTAGCGCTAACAGTGTCCGACAGTGCACATAAATGCACGTACGGAGCCATTAAAGCACCGTTTTTAATGCGATGAATTTGAAAGAAAAAGGCCGTAACTGACCAATTATTTCATCGGTCGGACTGAGAAATGTTCCAAGCTACCTAGTATGTACGAATTATCTAAGATATTTGCTCTTATGATCGAGCGCTGAGAGAAAATGCACTCACTTTTTCCCATAGAAATGCATTACCGGAAGTCAATTTTCGACTGGTTGCTGTCTGCTTCAATTTGTGTCAGCACACTAGCGCCACTTGAACCTCTAGTGTACATTATAATAACTCTATGCACACACTCATCTCTGTTACGTCACGGCGCGGTGGTGGCACGTCGGTCGCACTTCCGGTCTGAGGCTGTGGGCAGAAGTCTCCATGTGAGACGTGTATTCCTGCGTTGTTTTGAAAAAGACCAGACAAAAACCTGCCTTCTCGTCAAAACGCCGCGACTGGGGCTGTACCAAAAGCGTCGAGAAAGGTTTGAGGGCCAGTTTTCATGTGCTTGGTTCGTCCGAGAACGGGGATACGTGCCATGAAAAGGGAAAACCAGACGCCGTCGGACCACGCTTGCTTGGGCGGGAGGCACTTTGGGTTGAATTCACGGATACTTGTGGTCATCAGATTTATTTGTTTTGTTCTAACATGAACGCCGGAAAACCGCCAAATCGTACGGACCACCTGCGGACTATGTTCAGTGCATCTTCAAGTTCAAACGGCCGCCTGATCGTTCGAACTGTCGCCTGCTCTTTCAAACGTTTCTGCTTGTCGTCTGCTCTTTCAGACGACACCGGCCCAAAGACCAAACGTTGGCCCGGTAATTGCGATAAGAAGAAAGTGTGGGCCTCAAAAGACTTCTATGTTTGAAGGTTGGTAAGGAGGCTCGGTGTAAACAGTGGATACAATAATATATTGATCATTTTTACCAGTGGCCATCACCGACTTGTTATGCCTGATTCACTTGGTCCGATTCTGCTTGAGATTTTCTGTATAGACGTCGACCATCTCAGCTACGGTTCATGCTTTTGCAGCCCGAGCGACGAGGCGACTGAAAATTGCGAGCAAAATCTGATCATGCGAATCGGGCTTTAGCGTACATTCTGCAGCTTCCACACGGAATGAATATCTCCGCATGTCACATTATTCACGCAAAGTTTTGCGGTGTAACGAGCCTCATTAATTTTGCTGAGGCAGCTGAAGTAGTCAGGCATTGCCAGGAAGACGTAGAATCAACAATTCGAACGCGAAAAAGGGCAGCGGGACTCACACCGACGCCGACAGCATCGCATTTCAATGGTTTGTTTTTGGGCGACAGCGAGCTTCTTGCCCACACCCCCATCGCACATGCGCGCCGCCGGTGGCGTCCGCTAGGGGCGCTCCGGTTTGTTTGTAAACATGAGTTGGTGTATGGGGAAAACGGTTTTTGGTTTTTCATGATTTACTCGGGTGAGCAAATCCTTCTACAATTTTAGCGAATGCTTCCACCACCTTCGGGCACCTCTCTAGTAAATCCTAGCGCGATACATTAAGAAACCGATTTATGTCGTCCCTCCAAGCAGCCATCGATCGCTTTGACTCGCGCAGTACAGGTAGCGCAAGTTGCCGTTCGATTGAAAGATTTCAGCCGTACGCATCCATCAATACAACACTGCTTCTTCAGCCGCCTCGGAGGCAAAACGCCGGCCCACGGATTCCTCCACGCCGGGTTCAAATCCCGTTCGAGGCCCCCACAATCCGACGAAGGTTTATTACAGAGAAGGCAGTGCAACCGAGCTCTCAGTTGCACGTCAAAAGATTCCCCAGGCGGTCTAAATTAATCTTCGGTCCTTCGCCGGGGCGTGCCGACGGCCTTCATCGGTTTGGCTTGTAAGAGTCCCCCGAATTCGATTCGAACACCGCTCGTCCCACACTGTTCCAAAGTCGGTGTCGGACGGCAAAAACAAAATGCGAAAGCACCGTTGCCGGATGGGTCGTGCACTCACTGCGCACGTTTCTCTTGGCTCCTCCGCAGAGAGCGGGTACAAGTGCCTCGTCTGCCACGAGATGGTGCACCGCATGTATGAGTTCCTCACGGATGCCCACGCGCACCGCTGCTTCTCGCAGCGCCAGCTCATCTGCGGCCACTGCCTGGTCGGGTTCCCCAACTTCAGCGACCTCATGTCCCACGTGACGCAGATCGGAGCGGATCGCCGCTACGTGCCCGAGGCGTCCGCATCGCCCGGCGTCAAGATCTCGAATTACACCCGCTTTCCGTGCTCCCTCTGCTCCGCCTACTTCACCTCTAGCTCCGCACGAGACGTCCACGAGGCGCGTCACGCGAGGAAGAACGTGCCCGTGCCGGTGCCGACTCCGCAGTCCATGGAAGTTCGGAGTGCGGAAGGGGCCAGAGCGCAGGCAGGTGGAGAGCAGACAACACAGAACGGCGCCCAGCGAAAGCCGCCCGGCATTGCACCCAGCAGGAGGGAGCTCTCTCATTACGCCACGACTGTCGTCTGCAGCCTGTGTAATTATTCGTTCGTGAACCTGCGCAGGCTGGACGAACACTACCGGTCGTGTCACGGGGCCGCGCCACTTCCGTTGGACCTCGTCTTTGAGGAAGACTTCGAGTACACCCTGCGGCCAGAGACGCTGTGCTCGGTGTGCGTTAAGCGGAGATCCTGCGTCGACACGATTCAGCGGTTGCTTGAGGAGGCGACCAAGGACGGCATCTGATGTGGCGAGACCTTTTCCGCAACAGTTTTTTTGTGCGTGCTAAGGGACACCTTGTAGTGAATCCTTCCATTCATGGGCCGTTTTCCAGCGTCTGAAAGCCTATGTGTCTAGCGTCTTTATACTTGGCATCAACTCTTGTGTGCCACATTGTGGAGGCTGGCATAGCTTCTGCAGCGCTTTGACCCCACACTGCTGCGAGAGCATGTGTTTTCGTGTTCTTTCTCATTTGCAGCTGAGAGTGACTGTTGGACTACTGCGTAAGGTATGCTAGCCTTGGCAACATAGTGTAAAAGAGTTGACACCGAGTATGGTTCTCGGAAGAAATTAAGTCACTGCCAAACATTGGCCATAACCTGGTGTAAAAAGATATACATATCGAGGAAGCGCAGTGTTGTTGGTCTGCATAGTGATGGTACCGAGGAAAAACGGAACTAAGCGGTCTTGCAGTTCTTTTCGCGATTCTTTTGGAGACATTTATGAAAAATCACGGTTTGCTTTTAAATTTTTATTTGATGGCCAACCTTTTCGTCCTAGAATTGGGCATGCAGTTATTGTGCATAACATTTGATTCCTTGCACAATTTCAGAGGTGTGAAGATCGCTGAATTTTTAGGGTGTGGCACATTGTTTCGGTGGTTGCGGATCCGCAGTCAAAAACTGCTCGGCGGAAGTACTGATCCGGTTGCGGAACATTGCTAGCCGCTCGCAGCTATTCGACACCAAGCGTTGCGGAAGTGTGTGTTGAAACAACGCACGGTGCTTGTCAGAGAAGTATGCTGTGGCTTGTGCGAGCAAACAGATTTTTGTGCTGTGATCCAGGATGCTTCCGGAATGAGGATTAAAATGACAACGCCCCACCAACATGCTGGCATTTTTAATAGAACAAGTACACTGTCATTCCCGTTGCCCTATTTACCCAGGAATTAACCAAGTTCAACATGTCTCTAAAAACAATCAGTTAATATGACGATTTTATTACAAAACTCCGGCAAATACTTGTCTTTTAATGGTGATATCTTTTGGAAGCCGAGAATCCCGAGCTCGGAGCTTTATCTTTAGCAGTTGCTCCTGCTCTTTGAGAGTTTGCAGAGCCGAAATGCATCCTTCTGCATATGGCTTGCGCTTGCAGCCTAGTGGCGTAATTGTTGTTCCTTACAAAAAGCTGGGAAACAAAATATAAAGTGAAACAAAGTGCAAATGAATACAGATAGTGTAAACTATCTGTGTTCATTTGCAGGGCTACTTTTTGAGCGAAAAGTAATCGACGAGATGAGATCACGATGGCGCGTGCCATCTTTAGCGCTGAAGACACGGTAACCTGGACTCGTAGCCAGTTGCGTGCGGGACGCATACCAGCGAGTTACGGGCCGCATGTTTGAGATCCCTGGTGTAGGCAAGCGGGTCTTTCATGTTGTGGGAGACTTAAGTGCCGTGAGCATATCGTCGAGCCACCCCCCAAGCACCTTGATAGAGTAAGCCGTGTACCACAGTTACGACGGCGATTGCAGGTGCAGCGACGGATTCGCTCGGTCAGATTGGTGTCTTGCAACGCCTGTACTGTTGTGAAGCATCATCGCAGGTATAAAACTGTTCATAACACGCACCTCTCGGATCTGTATTTGACACCCTCGCATGTGGCTGTAAATAAATCCCCTTGCGGGCAAGTACAAAATATGCCGCTTTCCCTCTTTATCGTGGCAAAGGTCGTGGGAAGAATGTATTTTGCGTTGCTTCGCGCTGTTGTTGCGCAAAGGAACTTTGCATGCATTTCCTGTCTTGGCGGTGTAAAGCCTCCAAAAGAAAGCCCTGTTAAAAGCTAGCACCCCAGCAAGAGTGGAATGCAAAGTTTGAATCTCTTGCAGTCATACACTTTGGCTTTGACACTATTTAATTTCTCACTGTGTACTCAAGGCGTGGGCTTGTTGTCTTCTCCCTTGTCTCCTGCATACTTGCACCAGATGTGCCGGCCTGCTCACCAGTATGTACAGTCTGTCCCAAACAAAAATTTTACAGAGTGCCTTTTTTTACTGCAAAAATCAACTACGCATTGCCGAAGGCTCATTCTCCGCCCAAAATATAGCACTAGCAATCCAAATCGGATGTTAGTTTCGGAACTAACCGTTATATTGTTAAAAAGTTGTAAGCGATTTTCTGAAGTTTTCAATGGGAAAATGGCGGTCGATGGAGACCTCGAATGCACGGAGCCAAACTGCCAGGAACTGGCCACATCTTCCCATTGAAATTTTCAGAAACTATCTTACCTTTTGGCTAAGATTACGTATGAAACTTTGGCATCTGGTTTGAACTGCTGGCACCATTATTTGGGCGAAAAATGAGCGTTCGGTGATGCATAGTTCATTTTTGTGGTGGAAAAAACCCGGTAAATATCTTTTTTGTGGGACACGCTGTAGATAAGGCCACGGGAGGTCAGTGCCAAGCACGGATTGTGCGCGAGTGCTGCACCAACATTCTTCGCTCGTATTTAATCGGCGACGACACGAGGTTCAGTTAAATGCTGACACAGCACTCGCGTTAGATCTGCGCCCTTTGCAACTCTTCTGTCGCAGGAAGTGGCTTGGAGTCGGCCATGTAATGGGGAATTCTCAGGTGGATTTGGGGCAATCCAAAAGCACGAGCTCATTTATTTATGTTGGAATCTTGATCTACAGGCTGTAAGCAACCTAAAGAAACTTTGAAATTACTTGTGGGTACCAATTTCCCAATTAAAACGAAGATTGGGACATGCATCTCTTTCTGTGCCCTGGAGCAGACACCAGGGGGCGTCGTCAGACAGTTTTCTAGCAGTAATCGCTGTATTGCATCTCCTACACAGAAAGATTTGAAGTTTTTGTCGAAATGCAATACACAACGCACCTAAAGAGAGTAATAATAGTAAGGTTCGGAATCTCCACGCAACTAACTATTTTTGTCGGCCAAACTTTATGGAGTTGGGGGAGACCTAATGAGCACTTCCCCCCCCCCTCTCAAGAGAAAATACCTAGTGCCCGTGTATTTCTATTGCTGCAAGTTTGTTTACAAGGATGTCCTGCCATCTAGAACCGGTCATTTTTATTGACTAAAGTCCAAGGAACAATGCGTCGTCAAAACATTACAGGAGGACATTCGAGACTGCTTACGTGTAGGAAGGCGAAAGCATTATAGTCCCGCGGGGGAAATGTTTTCGACTTATGTTTCTACACATATTGAAGTTTAGGACGACGTCCTAGAGATCGACGCCACATAGGGCGTCTACGATGACGTCAAGGACGGCGTTGAGAACAACGCTTAGAGTAAGGACACTTAAGCAGGCTGTGGCGTACTTGCGTGGGCGGCCATGTTTGCCTGCAGAAGCCGCCGTAGTTGTAGACTCTGTCCCCTCACAGTCTATTGCATGAAGCACACGACGAGCACCTTTTGCACACGGCGCTCCGGCGGTGACATCATGCTCACGCACTTGAGCGCGAGCAGTGCGCATACCTCGGCAAACCTCACTCATGATAGCCCTTATTCACCCTCACTTACCCTCATCTTCACAGGTGAGGTGAGGGTGAGAGGTTGAGGGGTGTGAGGGTGCAAAGGCTGTAAGGACTGAGTGTGCAAGGGGTGTGAGGGCTATAAGGCATGTGAGAACCGTGAGGGGTACGAGGCTAGTGAGGGCGGGCAGGTGTCGGGAAGACCATAAGTGTGTGAGGGGTGTAAAGGCCGTGGGTGGAGTAGGGGCATCAGTTTGCGAGGGATCCGAGCTCAAATGAAGCGTTTGCATGTGGGGCTTGTGCGAGACTGAGTTCTCAGTGAGGCCCGATTTCGCTTGAAGGCGTAGAAAATTTGTGAGGGGATGCGCGGGCATTGTAAAGCCCCTCTAACTTGGGAAAAGTGGCTCCATTCATTGTTGTGGAAATGCTCGAGACATGTGCCGTGCTGCATTTCTGGGAAGAACATGGCGTCTGAAATCTACCTCAATGCTGCGCTGTGCCGCCATGATCGTCCCAAGGATGCACGTTGCATGTGCCTCTTTGCACAGATGCACCTTCTGCTACTTTTAAAACGTGAAGGGGCTTTAGGGTGTTGTAACCTCTCGTGGCATCTCCCGGGAAATTGGGCCGATGCTCGCTTCGCAACAAGTTTGCCATGCAGATGCTTGGTGTGATTTGATTATTGGGTGTGGGCATACCTGGGCAAACCTCTCATAAGGGCCCTCATTACCCTCACTTACCCTCAGCTTCACAGGTGAGGTGAGGGTGAGAGGTTCTGAACCCTGAACATTCATGACTGCGAGCACTGTGAGGACCATGAGAGCAGCGAGTGTGCAAGTGGTGTGAGGTTGAGCAAGTGAGGATGAATGAGGAACTGCGGTGAGGGTGGCTGTGAGGGTGAAGGAGGGCGACCTAAAATGTCATCAAGCACGTGCTTGATGACATATTTTGATGGCTATCTTTCGGACACGACACCACTTTTTTGCATAATCAGGGAAGTAAGGTCATCCTAGAGGTCCAGGACAACGCCAAGGACAGCGTCGTCCTTGAGCATACGATTGAGTGGCGCAGGCCGCTCAATCCTTTTTATGGCCGTATATGCCTCTTTTTCGCTCAATGGGACAAGTGAGGCTTTCGCCTTCAAAGCAAACTTCTACGAAAAGCACTTGAGTGTTACTTTAAAACGTCGGAATGCATGGTGTCCGGGACAGGTTCCCAGCTGGAGTGCTTAGTGCCCCATGCCACTGATGAACTGGACTATGCAAAATGCCAACAAACTGTCCGAGGAGCCAGCAAATAACGCTACACACTGCGATTCCGGTCGTGAAAGTGACTGCATACAGAGCAGGCAAATGGCCGTTGGCATCTCTGCAGCCAAATTCGTGGCTAGCAAAGTTTGTCGACCGACCTGCTACAGAGCGGGCAACAAAGGAACAGGCATCGATAATAATGGTACTTCGCATCGTCAATACATTCGCGTAGCTGTACTGCAAGACCATATTTTCAAAGAAGGAACAGTCTTTATTTGGCTTACTTTGGGGAGCTGAGGGGGGGGAATCCAGTAACTTTCGTAAAATAATCTTGCACTGGACACGCAATGGGAGTATTGAGGTCCGAAGAAAAAAATAAAAAGTCCCAAAGAGAATAGTACGAGTCAATCTTTGGTTGTTTGGTTAAAGTCCTTTCGGCTAAATCTGCTTTTCGTTGTTTCTGTCTTTTTTTTTTTTTCGTGCAGTTTCTTGTTTTTGTCGTTTTCTTTCTAGAAGAGTCCCACTTTCTTCTTGAGGTCCAGCTTCTTCCACTTGGGGAGTCCCTCAAACTCCTCGTATGCCATGGAAAAGATCCGCAGGAATTCTTCGTCGTTGAGGTACAGCTGCAATTTTTCAAACAAAATTGTTTCTGTCACAATAAGTCCTACAGTCGGTGACGGGTGAAGAATTCGGTAGATGCTCCTCACCTCTGTCGCGACATTTGTGCCTTTGATAATGCTCTGCGTGCTCGGCTAAAGTTTGTGAGAATGTTTTGTTTTACAATTGGCGACGAGAATTTGAAGTGCTGCGAGAATGATTAACTGGACCAATGATATTAAAGACTAAAAGAAGTGGTTACCTTTACAACCAGTAAAGGAGCTATATGTTGTTGGGGTTAGCCTCACAGGTGAGTTCATTGTGTACCTTTGGTGTTGCTGACTTGCCCAATGAAAAGTGTCCCCCCCCCCCCCCCCCCCCCCGTCCCCCCTACATTCTTCATTGTTTGTTAATAGGGGCATTAAAGGGAAGGTGAAGAGCTTCTTCAGATTTTTAACCTTTGAATCTGAATATCACGTTCGTTTTCTCCAAAAGCGTACCCAAACACGAAAAACCTCTAACCAGTCGTTACGTCATACCTAGATCTTTCGGCAACCAAGCGCGTGTCGCTCGCGTGGGCGGAATGTGCAACTGAAAGCTTGCCAGGTATATCCCCCTGCACCGACATTATCCGTGACATCTTTTTTTTTTTTTAGAGCGCAGCTCTTAGGGGCCGTTCCCGGCTTAAGCGGCGTCGGCGTAACCAAGGTCACCCCAAGGTCACGTGACCCCTCCCTTAGGGTCACGTGGCCCACAAGGTCACGTGACCCTAAGGGAGACACCCAAAGTCACGTGACCCCCCACCGAGGTCACGTGACCACCCCGAGGTCACGTGACACACCCCAGGGTCACGTGACCTCCCCAATGACGTCATGGTCACTGATGACGTCACTGGCATCCGCATCGTCATCATCACAGATGACGTCATCAGTGACATCAGTGACGTCACCGACATCCGCATCGTCATCGTCATCATCGCTGATGACGTCATCGGAGTCCGCATCGTCATCGTCACTGATGACATCATCGGCATCGTCACATGACCCCCCAAGGTCACGTGACCCCCCCCCACCAGGTCACTTCACCCACCCAGTACCCTTCCCTCCTCAAGAGCTGCGCTCTAATTCGGTGTTACAGGGAGTTGTAAACGGCTTTCACTTTTTTTTACCTTCTTGAAAAAAAGCAAGAGCGCACGTCATAGCTTTGATGGACGCCAAAGACGCGCGAGAGTGGAGATACCGAAAACTAGATATGACGTCATGCTGGTGGCTTCGGCGGTACTTTGAAAATGATTTTCCGCAGCCTCTGTGCACCAAATTGAAAAAAATAATCCTGATATCCATGATCCTGGAGACCAAATGAAGATGATTTATGGGTTTTTCCTCAAACACAGAACTGCTTCAGCTTCTTCTTAAACAATTCCTTTAAAATAACTATCTGGTCATTGCAATAAACGCTCAACATTTGTAGCGACTTAAAGTTACGCCAAGTGTGTTAACACATCGCAGTTCGGAGCACGTAGAGCAAAAACCCGCATTGCAGAACCCCCTAATCCTGGGTTCAATCCCCACCCTTGCCTGTTTCAATTTGGACGAGCGTCGTGTCGATGGGCAGTTGTGCATTGTTACTGCGAGATGCATGTTAAAGGCCCGGGCCAGCAGTGGTATTGCACCGGCTAAATCTCGTCTACAGCAGATGCCAGACACATTGGGGTCGACCTCTGTTTAGTGCCAGCTGAACATAAAGGATTAGAGGAAGAGAGAGATAGAAAAGGCACACACACCACTGGTGTGCATGCCTTTTTTCTCTATAATCCTTCATTTATGTTCAGCTGGCACTGTATACAGCAATGAACCAACTAGCTCAGCTTCAAGCCGTCTAACATTTACTCGCCTCCTTGTTCGCAGGATCGACGCAGGTTGGGAGCTGGTCCGGGTTCTTGACGTTGAGCGCGTCGAATGTAAACTTCTCGACCTCGGACCTCGAGTTCCGGTACAGCGCCGCTTGTTGCTGCGGAGGTAGAGGGTAATGTCGTTAGGGCAGAAGTTCTAGAATTGCAAGATCCCATGGCACGACGCTCTGGTTTTTGTGCTGTCATTGGCTGCTGCTTCGGGGCGGCCACTTTCGACGTGTTGAAGGGAACGGGATGCTAAGCGCACCAATCGAAGGCACACCCCACGCACCATACGGGGTGGAACTACGGTGCGAGATGGCGAAACGCAGCTTTCCTTGATACCTGCATCCCGACAGTGGCCATGAGATTACGGCGCCAAATTCGACTTCCCCTTGTCGAACGAAAAGAATCCGGCAAATGCGGCCCGGTGCATGAATCTAGAACCGACGGTCCTTTCCTGCACAGCATTCTGAGAGCCCATTGTTGCTATGTGCTCGGCTCTGCGAAAAATGTTCCCACCCAAAAAATGTGAAAGTCTGCCATCTGCTATCATGCTCGCACTGTGCCCACTTTCACGTTGCAGACTTTGTTTTTGGGTCGAAAGCGTTTTCCACCCCCGTCGTTTTCCAAACTTGCGCAGCAGATTGCCCTGCAGCAAACTAGACGCGTGAGAATTTCTTTTTACGGCATATGGGCGCTACCTTGTTTACTCAAAAAACCGTTCGTCGAAAGACAATTCGTCACGGGGCAATTCGTAGCAGGGCTATTGGTCGCATAGGGCAATTCGTCAGAGGCTATTCGTCGCTAGGGCATCTGGTCGAAAAATGGGTTTCTTTTTTTAGTTTACGTTTCTTTAAGAAAGTTTAGAACCAACTTTTAAATGATTACAGCTTACCGGAATTTGGGAAGGAGAGTGGAGGGAGGGGGAATGGAACGTGTATGTATAAAAGAGAAAGTTCAGGAGCGTTCCAAGAAAAGTTCGAACACGGCCTTGTTTTCCGCGTTCTTTTGGAGTTTCGGAAAGGTCGGAGGCTTTTCTTCTAAACATGCATGCTGTGTTGTATCCTGTTTAAATAGTTCACAATCCTTTGTCCGTTTTCTGTTCGCAACTCCAGCCCGCCGCTCGCCCTCTCGCGGACGAACGGAGAAACAGAAGAACGGGAGCGGCGGCGGCGCGGACACGGTGGCAGGGGCTGTCGGCCTTGATGCGTGAAGCCATTTTAACAAAGAAAATTGAGCGCGTTAAAATAGGAATTCTTGTGCTCCACCTTGCAACAGCCTTACACGAAAAACTGGGATGTCTAATTTCATTAGAGACTTTTCGTATATTGCATGCGCTGCGGATTTCTGGTCATGTGCATTGCCGCCAACTCAATCTGTGCTCAACGTGACGGCGAACGCTCCCGCTATAATGTATAGAGCTCTAGCGTACGGTCTACGAAAAGTCTATTCTTTGCCCTAAGTAGGAGAAAACTGGTCGCGCAACGATATGTCGAGCAATACACATCGGGAATGGGTTCGCGGTTTAAGGCCGTTACAAGCACGTTTAAGAGCTAGCACACGCATACTTGCTTTCAGGTAATTACAAAGTAAATAAAAATTACAAGAAGGATTTTAAGCGCGTCTTTGTTAGCCAGCCGTTCGTGACGAAAGCTTAGAACGGGCAGTTTTGGTGAGAGAGGCCGCAATGTTGCAAATAACACGGTATAAAAAATGTACAATATATTAAAATATCTTTTTTGATAGAGCAATAAAAAAAAATCCTAAACACGTCGATTATGTTAATAGGCAGTTTTAGCATAGCTTTACCACAGGCTACCGTAGGCTACCGTGAGCATGGCAACGCTCCTGGCACGCGCTGAAAATTGTGCTTCAAAGCGCAGCGCGAGCCTCCGGTTGTAATGCTACACCGCATGGTAGCCTGCAATTACAAACTTCCTATCAATAACCAGAGAGCAGTTTTATCACGTGTTGCAATGCACTAAAACCGAGACAGTGAGCAGCGAGTTGCGAGCCTGTGACAACGCTGCTCTTCCGAAGCTTGACGGTCACCGTGCCCGGCTCACTTCTTAGAACACCAATGGCCAGGCAAAGCACAAACACAATATCTTCATCACCCTCAAAATATATTCTGCCACAAACGGTAACGTGGCCGGTGCCTAAAACGTGCTCGCCCATCACAAAGCTTCGCAAGTTCAAGGTTCTGCAACTTTTAAATATCAGCATGCTCATTTTGCTAAGGTGCATCAACATCTCCATCACCTGTACTATGATCCTACCTTAACCACTGCACGTTTATAGACAAAAAAATCATTTTTAGCGCGCTGACCAGCGTCAGCAAGCAGGCACACGTATAATCCTGGAGAATCTATCCCCGTCCCTTCCGCCATCTTGGAACTACCGCCCCGCCCACCGGAGTTGCAAATATTCTATTCACCTTTAAGCTGACAGTATACGGGAGACTGCATGTTCGCTGGGACAATCTTATCACTGAAGACCAACAGTTTGAATGGTTCAGCAAGCAATGCAAATAAAACTTTTCGTGAACTGACACCTGTGTGGCTATCCTATCAAAATAACTGAAACATATTTATAACTCGGCTGTTGCGTACACCCACAGATGTAGACAGCATCTACTGCGAAAGTAGAGCATCTAATCCAAATCTTAAAGGGGTCATGAAACGCTTTACCAACTTTTTCCTGTTTAGCTTTCCTCCTCAACTTATAAATCGCGCATTCCACCCAACAGTTCAAGAAGACGAAAAGAAGGGAGGCCCCTCTCGCTCGGAATCTGGATTGTGTACCCGGACAGAGCCATTGTCCCCATAGAAGATTAGCCCGTCGCTCAAAATTCAGACAAAAGTTGCTTTCCCCAACCCGTTCACCCCGAAGCTGGCAGTGCTGTGGAAGCTACGTGCTCGTTGGGCCAGCCACACTTGGCGTGCGAGCGTGGCAAATGTGGCTGCAGAGAATCAGGTCAGGTGATGAAAGGGAGGCGGCTGATTGGTCCGGCAAGCGCGTAGCTTCCACCACAATATCAGCTTAGGGGTGAAGAGAATAAGTGAGGTCCGGTGGTGTGTGACGTCAGTTTGGACCCGATGACGTGCTTTTGGGACCGCGGATGTATCACAGTGAAAAGGCTTACGAAGGGGAGGAGGTACGAAATAGTCCGCTGTGTTTTCAGATTTTTGCACTGAAAGCCAGGCTTTTGACTTCCTACCTTTTTTTTCTTTTGGCCCACTGAACGATGTGCTATTAGTAAAATACCACTCTAAAATGATTTATCCCAACCCAAAAATCGTTTCATGGGCCTTTTAAACATTCTGCTATAAAGCTAAGTATCAAATGAGGGAGAACCTTCATTCGTACTTAATGATATTGAAGCAATATACACGTTAACGAAATGTCACCTGGACAAATTGCCCTATGCAACGAACTGCCCTGCTACAAGTTGCCCTGCTACAAATTGTCTTTCGACAAATAGTCCTACAGCCTAAAAAAACAGATCGACCTCCTCACAAACAAAGACCTTGCAAAAACTTTCGCAACCGCAATAGAATTGCGAATCGTTGCAATTTACACAATAATAAAGCACTGATGACGCCCAGGCTCAGAAATGACATATCCACTGACAATCTAAGCACGTGAATGTGAATACGACCCGCACTGGGACACCGACCGTGTCACAGTGCAGGCCATGTTTCTGAACCCGAACATTACCTCAGCTTCTGCACTCTTAAACGCCCGTCCACGCACTTGCGACTTTTTAGAACCGAGTGTTTTGAAACCTCTTAAAATCTCTTTTGACGATGGGACACACTGGTACTGCCTGGCGGGGGTAGCAGTCGAAAGAACACTTGGCAGTCCCGTATATTTCCTTTTTCTTTTGCGCATAATTCATTCTTTCTTGCCTTGAAGAACTTTTGTCAATGTTACAAACAAAAGTTTATCAGTAGTACATACATTTGACCTCGCAAATAGCACCAAACCTTCGCTCTTGTGAAATGCAGTTCCATGGTCACCGCATAGATGGCGCCAGTGTGTCAGTGTGTTCTCTTGTCGTAAGAGATTTTAAGAGCTTTTAAGGCACTCAGTTCTATGGAATCTCACGTGTGTGAACGGACTTGCTCAAGTAACGTAAGTTTCGATGGATGGCTCTGCAGGAGTGTAGACACTTCACAAGAACTTTGACTAACTTTCAAGCGAATAAGGTAGCACCTTCAAAATTCCGACATCTGCGATAAAGTGGTTTTTACTATAGGGTATTTGCTATGCGAAAAAGGCTTGAATTGGCATTTTTTCCGGGGGTTAATACGTCTTTATACCCAGAAAATTAAAAAGGGATGAAATAAAAGTAGACTTGCATCCTTTTGTTTCCCCAGAGAAAAGATGAGACATGTTTTTAGCCCCTACTCCTGATTTGAGAAAAATGTTGAATTCTTAATACTATGTAATCGTTATGGAGTTTTTACCAAAAAGGAAACGTTGGAGGAAAAACAAGCGTGGTTCACCTGCATTGCAAGCAGAGTTTGGTTGCTGTCCTCGATCTCATTCTTGATGCTTTCATAGGTCGGCAGAGTCTGCAAAAGGTGTCGGTTGTAGGGGTCAGCAGTTAGACCTTTGAGAATCACAATAATCACCCACGCTATGGAGCTAAACCAGTGCTATCTTGTTTGACGCAGGGTCAGCAAATGGAAATTCGGTTAATTTAGTTTTTAGTAATAGATGAACGGGGCTGGAAAAATTTTTAAAAAGCTGCAGTGGGATTGTTTGAAGAATACTAACATAGCAGTCAACTACTTACTAACGTAAAATACATTTTTGCTGAGAGGAATTCTACGATAACGTAGAACACATAAGCCTTATGACCAAGAGAACGATACTAGTATATGTGCCGCTACCGCAGCAGGCTTCCCTTGCGGGTGGCACTTCGCTCCCATTGGGAGGCGTAACTGATCATGTGACCATAGCGACAACCAATAGCATTCATGTCGGAAGTCACGGTATGACTCTTGGTACATCGATGACTGCAGCAAGATTTACTGACTTAGAAACATATTTTTGACAATCTTGTTAGACGTGGCCAAAGTAGTCTTCCACAAATTGTCACACAAAAATCAATATACAGACAAATATTAGAAACAAGTGCTGAAGCCAAACACATACGTCACAACAAAAAAAAGCTTTTACTAAAAATAAAGTTGTTTTTGTACAGTTTTTACAATTTGATAACCTTGGAGGTACACTGAACTTGTTGCAAATGAGCTGGGCACATGCCGGGTGTGTGAAGTTGTGACAAGTTCAGATGTTGCGACGACGCGTCATAGTGCGACGTGATGCAGTCGTGCCTCATTAATATGAACGCCGTTAATAGGAATACCCCGTTACATAAAGACGTTTTAAGGTGCTGACTGGGCTAACTCGTGCATTTTTGTCTCATTACTAAAGGGGCACTCAAATGGATTCTAAGATTGTCTATTTATAGTGATAACTCAATCTACGGGCTCTAAGCATCCTAAAACAAAGGAAATTACACTTGTGGCCGGCCGATTTCCTCATTAAAAATCTAATCAAAGATCGTAACAAGTCCCTCTTTCTGCGGCTCGGAGCAGACACCAGAAGACCGCCATCGGACGACGTTTTCAAACGATAATTGCTGTATTACGTCGCCTATACCTCAAGATTTGAAGTTCTTGTCAAAATATAATGCGCATTGCGCCTAAAAAGAGCAATAATAGTGACGTTGGGAATATCCACGCAATCGACTATTTTCGCTACTCAAATTTTACAAAGGTGGGGGGATCCAAGAGAAAATAGTGTCCGTGCATTTCTACTGTCGCAAGTTTACTGGACGTCTTGCAGTTTAGAAATGGTTATTTTTATTGACCAAAGCCCAACAAACAATATGTATTCAAAAACAAGCTTCTACAAAAAGCACTCGAGCGCCCCTTTCAAGGACGACTCGCATTGTTGGTGCGTTTTGGAGGAAACGGAGCTGTCCATACTAGAGAGACATCACCGTACCACTTGACACCTTGACCCGTGTGTGGGTTTAGCGCAACATGTCGCTTTTTTCTTGAAACCCGGCCTTGCGACGCATTTCGTGTTAAAACTTATATCTTTCTAAAGTTTTTTTTTTTTTTAGCAGTCTTTTTGCAAAAATGTCGAACGGGGTGGCGGGGGGACTTCACCTTCCAAAATTCATTGTCCCAGGAGGTGAAGAAGCCCGTGAAGTTTGGCGGCTCGAGTCCCTGCTTGACCCAGATCACCGGCGTCCCCAAGTCCCTGCAACTGGGGTCGTCCTGAAGGTAATCCTGAAGGGACGTGCAAGCAGGCCTGAGCAGTTGTTGAAATTTCTGACACATGATTTAGACTGGTATGTAGTAAGGCTGGGAGTTTCGTGATCTCATAGTACAGTATAGACCACTTACAACGTAACCGCTTATAGTGCAGGACCGGGTATAACGCGGTTTTTTTAAACCACCGGTTCGTCTCCCATAGAACTCCATGTAATTACATACCGCTTAAAATGCAGGCGCGCGAAGGGAAATACCAGTTATAGTGCGGTTTCTGGCACAGCCCGCTGGCCGCACCGACGGCCGGAGCAGCGAGCACGCTTCCCTGTGCGACACTAGATAACGGCGCTGACGGCGCGAGCAGCAAGCGGCACTTGCGTAGCAGTTGCTCCAGAGCCGAGTTGCTCGAAGAAGCGGGAAGAAGCGAAAGGCTTCAGTTGCCATAGTGACGCAGGGACGCACGCACATGTCGTTCACGTGCGTGCGTCCCTCCGCTGCGTTGGAAACAAACAACCGCAGCGACAGACCAATCGCAGGTCGAGGAGACGTGTTCGCGCGCGTTGCATGCCGGTTGCGGGCCGGCTGCTTCTATCCACAAACACGGCGTCGGTTGTGATCGTCGTCGTAGACGGCGTTCATCTCATCGTTCCGCATAAAAGCGCTATCCTTGACTGTGAATTTTCGTTGTGTGTCGCTATGATAACCCAGCACGTACTAGAAGGGAAGATCCACCTACTCGTGCGGCGATGTCGTGGCGACGCTCTCAAGACGGCAGAAACGCATGTGTCGTCGTGTTTGCTTACTTCGACTACAGTGGTGATTTCTAAGCATTTGTGTCCTTGAACATTGCCCGGGCTTCTTATTTGGTGCATTTCATGCGTGTGCTCAAGTTCAAGGTATTACTGGCGCGTACCGTATGAAGGATGCGAATTTTCACGCGTTTTCATCTCCGGAGAAAAGTGATTAAGGTTAGCAATCCCGAACGCTCGCAACGTCCGTCCGCAACCCGCGATGCCGTTAAAAGGCTGCGCCAGGCAAAAGCCGCTCATTTCTTTCAAAATGTGTGACACACTTGAGAGAGAAGTGTACTAGTCTGGTGAAATAAAGACTTTCCTCAAACTAAGCTTTAGTTTTCATCTAACATAAAATAAATTCTTTTACAAGTGTAAGTTGTCTGACGACATGTATTTTGGCCTGAAGAATTGATGTTTTGGTTATAGCGCGGTACCGCTTATAGCGCGGATTTTCGCGACTCCCACGACATACGTTGTATGCGGTCTACACTGTAGACCAATTAGACTCGTGCAGAGCATTTCCAGTAACTGTATCACTCAAAAGCCTAGGGAGGCACAATTTACTTCTACAAGAGAGAAGGCAAAAAGACATCGACAAAGTGTTTACGTGCCCTTCACCTACCGACGGGAAAGCTTGACCACGGCAATGCTGTCGGTCGTGCACATTGGCAATAGCAGTGATACAGCGCCGAATCTGTGCTACACCGGTGCCAGCTCAGCACCAAGCTGCACTGAGAACCGGCCTGGCCCGTTTGCACATGCAGCAGAGCACTGTGTCTCAGCTACTAGTGCTGAAAAGAATGACTTTATGCCGACGCAGCACCGACTTTGTGCTGTACTACATCGGTGTGAGAACTACTCAGCAATCATACATTGGAGTGAGGTAGTGTCCGGTGTGTGTTGGTATTCTGTGCACCATAAACTGATCTTAATCTTGTCGGTTCACCAGCACATCGAGGAACGGCAGGGTGTCATCCATCTCACATTCCACAGTCAACTGAACTGCCGGATCAATAAAATTGAGATGTGCAAAAAAGAAAAAGCGAGATGGATGGCGTTTTGCATTTTCTCGATGGGTGAACCAGCGAAGGCAAGATAGGAAGTTTATCGTGTACAGAAAACAAACACACACCGGATGCTACCTCGATTTTGACTCCAACCACCCAACAAGTCATAAGGCGTCAGTGGTTTTGACACTCCTGCGTAGGGCAACAACCATCTGCTCGTTGGAAACCATTAAAAGGAAGGAGATAGAGACCATAATTGTAGACCTTAAGAAAAATGGCAACTCTAGTAGCTTCATCGAACGCATCGCCAGATGCCAAGGTCTCGCCAGACAAAAGCAGAAGCCACTAGAAGGAAGGCAGCCCTATCAAGTCGTGCACATCAGCGTCCCCTACGTAAAGGAGACCAGCGAAGCGCTGGCACGAATACTGGGAAAAGGAGGAATTTTGGTGTCCCACAAGCCTGCGATTACACTGAAAAGGTTCGGGCCAAGACCCAAAGATTGTCTACCAAAGGAAAGAGCACAGGGTGCGGTTCACACCATTCCGCGTGAAGAGTGCCCCGCAACCTACATCGGCGAGACAAAGAACTTTCCGGAGCGACTCCGCCAACACAAGAACGACGTGCAGAAGTTCGACAGTGAGCATCGCACCACTGTCGAACGTTGCGATACCTTAGACCATCGCATTGAATTTGCGAACGCGCACGTGATTGATGCCGAGCCAAATATCCGAAGAAGTCTTATCTTGGAGTCATGGCAAATCCAGCATACACCAGGAAACCTAAACAGGTCTCTGGGCGCCTTGCCCTCTTTGCACGCGCATGACCTCCGTGACCTGATAAGGAATCTAAAGAGATGATTGTCTCCATAACCAAAAAGCTGATTTTTAAATTTTTACAATTTTTAGTTTTTGTTTTGAAGACGAAGAGGTTAGGAGCTGCTGCTGCTCCACGTGCTTTCAGTCGCCATTGAAGAAGAAACCAACCTGGTTTCGAAACATCGGGTTTCCTTTCGAGATTTGGTTAGAGCTACTTTTTTCGGACTTTAGGTAATTCTCACTGAACCAGGCAGATTTCTGCCGAATATGTTTATCTTCAAATCAAAAGTAGGAAGCCCGCACTGGAGGCCCAACAGCAGAAACTTCCGTTCTCATCTTGCCAGTGCCTATAGTGTTGAGTCAGTGCCTCGCTTCACGCGAGAAGTGGCTGTTAGCCCTTTGACAGTCCCTGCCATACGTGTACGGCTGCGTTTACGTATTTGGAAGTGCCAGCCTGAATGCGAAAACCGTGTGCACTGCGGGAAGTATTGCTATTTGTTACATGTCTCTGGCAAACTATAGACGTCGTATTTGCACGTTTCACTTTGCTGGGGCCACTTAGGTAATAGTTTTAAAGTTTAACGGGGCAATCTATAGTTTCGAAATGGGATGCTCCGCGCAAGTGACACACTCGAGATGGTCGCTTCGCGTGTTGGCTGCTCCGGTGGTAGTGGCAATCGGAGCACCTGCTCTTACAATTCAGATTTTCAAACACTTTTCGGAAACAAATTTGCAGAGGGCTACTCGCTGAGACGAAACCAATTAGAAAAAAAGGGGCAACTTTTCGCCTTCGATATTTCCACATGACGCTTCTAAAGCTGAACGGCTTGCAAAAATTATGACAACTGAGAAAAGTCCCGTGCATTGACCCTTTCTTTCTACCATTCCCCTAGAAGCGGACCCGACCGCCGTAAAACACACTTTTGTAGAAAAAACTTGACCGTTAAGGGCAGGCACGTATCCAGGATTTTATTTCGGGGGGGGGGGGGGGGGGGGGGGGGGGGGGGCCGCCCATGACAAAATGATGTATGAGGGGGAGGGGGGGAGAGGAGGTCCCAGCAAAAACAAAGATTTCGGGGGGGGGGGGGGGCCGGGCCCCATGGGCTACCCCCCTGGCTACGTGCCTGATCAAGGGGTCACTGAAACATGCCCTACCTCTGCGGCGTGGTTAGCGAGCTTGGCGAGCTCCTTGCCAGCATCCTTTCCGATCCAAAGAAAGATGGAGTGCCAGGCGTCCAGCAGCATCACCTCATCCTCCACCAGGTCGCACTGGTTAAAGTCCACCACCTCCCGGGGTGCCAGGCGCCCCACGCGGTCGCGTAGGTGGAACAGGCGGGCTGCGCGCGTGCCAGTGTCTTCCTGCAACCGGCGATGGGGGTTCTGGTCGGGGTGCTCGAAAACTTAATGACCCTTAAAGAGACACTCAACTTTAAAAATACATTTTTTTAAGCGCCTGAATTACAGTAACAATTGCACAGATAGAAATTGGGGGAGAGGATTCTGTCCGTATAATCGTAATATTAATTTACAAAGATTTTTTCCAAAAGGTCGCAAAGATTGTATGGCAAATCGCTGGGCAATTGTGTTGCATACATACAACTATCTAGCATCACAAATGTTTATATTGTCATTTAGTAGCATGTCTAGCCTGTTCAGCCAGACGCCTACATTTGTTGCGCTCTTCATCGGATAATTTAGGCGGGCCATGAAACAATTTTTTTTTTTTTTTTTTTTTAGCTTTATTCCTCAACTCACAAATCGTGCATTGTACTAAACATTTCAAGAAAACGTACAGGAGGTAGTCCCTCTTGCTCGGACCCTCGTTTGTGTACCGGGACACAGCCATTCTCCTCCTAGAAGATTAGCCTGTTGCTCAAAACTCAAACAAAAGTTGCTTTCCCCACTATGTTCATCATAAAGCTGACAGTGCTGTGGAAGCTATGTGCTTGTTAGGCCGGCCACACTTTTGCCACGTGATCACGCTCCCTCGCGCATACAAACATGCAGAGAATGAGGTCAGGTGATGAAAGGGAGGTGGCTGATTGGTCCGCCAAGCACATAGCTTCCACCACACTGTCAGCTTAGGGGTGAAGGGAATAAATGAGGTCGGGTGTCGTGCGATGTGCGTTTGGGCCAGGTGTCGCGCCTTGGGTACCGCGGATGTATCGCAGTGAAAAGGCAGGGAGGGAGCTTTCGAAGGGAAGGAGGTACGAAATAGTCCGGTGTGTTTTTAAATTTCCCTTTGATGCGTGGTATGTGTACACTTGAAATGATAAACCTGGTGATCTTCCAGAACCTTCTGACCCACTCCTACCTTACCCCCCCTCCCCACTCGACCCCTGCTCACATGACATCCCCGTTAACCAATCACCATTGAGCACTTCACTCCTCCTCTCCCACCCAACAACCAATCAGTGTCGAGCCTTGCGACCACGCTTTTATCCAGGCTTTACTTTTGGGCTTTACAAAATGCCGAACACCTAGCCAAAAGAATGCTTTGCATTGTTAAATGCACTGCACTACTACAGCGGAGCTGTTAAGGGCTAGGTTCCCCAGGGTCATGTCCGGTATGTCGACACAAACCTACCTGGACAGCCACCGCCATCTCTAAGCGACGGCGGCAAGCACAGAACCAGTATGGTTTCCGCCGTCGCTCGTAGATGGCGCCAACCTTTCCAGCTATAATAGAAGAATGGATAGTTGGGCGCGCTGGTGGGAATTCATTGTAGGAAACAGCACGAAAAACAGACGACGACGAAGAAGCCCACGGTGTATTGAGTAGAGCTCCGCTGGTCTTCCTTCTTCACGAGAGTGGAAAGGCTGTTTTTTTAGAAAACGTATGACATAAATCATCACAGTAAAACTAGAGTACTTCAAATCACGATGTAAATTCTGCTTAAAACCACAATTAAAACTATTTACATTGCGAGACATATTTTTAGTTTGAGGCGATTTCAACATCCTTTTATGCAAGCTGTTTTTTTTTTTTTTTTTTTTTTTTTTTTTTCAGGTTGTAATGAATTGGGCAAAAGGACCAAAGTGATGAAAAATCTTTTAGTAGATACATAGTACTCCAGCTAATTCTCTACATAATCATCACAAAGATTTAGGTAGTTATGTATTTATGGCACAAGCTTTTGAATAGCCCTCCCAAAGAAAATTGTCGCCCGGGTTCCCAGTCACTCATCATCACGCATTGAAAAGACTGTCAGTTGCCACAGACATTCTTTCCTGACCCCCATCATCAAGGACATCTCTCCGTCCTTTCAAAAGAGTCATGCAGTTTCCTTCATATACACTGCACAAACGTGAGGAGCAACGGTCTGACTGATGCACAATGGAATGACTAAGAACCCCGGCAGCAACCCTCTTTGGGGAGGGCATATAAAAGTTTGTGTTGCATCACAATAAGTGCCTTTGTAATTGAAAGGTTTTTTAACACTTTCATCAGATTGAAATAATAAAAGGTTTTTCATCCCTTTCGTTTTTTGTACCTGCGGTTCATCAGAACTTAAAAAAAACACTTCTTTCTATACATGCATTCTGGCTATAGAAGCATATTTTGGAATTGCTCACATGACTCTTGTCAGTGGTTCTAATAATGGCTTTGACAGATGCTATAGAATAACTTTGACACACAGAAAAAAGCTTAGTAACACTTCGACTAGGTCTGGCATGTGACTTGTTCTATTACTCCCAAATTACTCTCCGGGGGTGTACGCTTAAAGGGACACTGACAACCCAAAGGTTGTATTTATTTTTTTGTTGTCTAAAACGATGCAAGTTACAGTCATGGACACAAAAAAAAATACCTTAACGCCAAAACAATTTTTCCAAGCGTGCACGTGCCTTTTTATTTTTGGTGCCCTTCTCTCCCACCCCTTACCTCCTCGCTTCTTTTAATTTGTGGCCTCAAATATTATAAAATTTAGAAGCTTTGTGAGCGACATTTCTATAACATTTATTGACGGCATTCAAAAAACAGTTTTTTAACGCGATTAAGAACGCACTTTGACCCTTCTTTTTTAAATATTGAAAATCGGAGTCCAATGTGATGTCGCCTCCTGGCTTTTTATCCTCCCTCAGAAAACATGGCGGCGTTCGACGCATGCATGTGGCAGAGGATAATCGGTGAGTCGGGGAATCGGAAGAAGTGGTCATTTTAGGTGCTCAACGACCTCTCAGACTTTGAAAAGGAAATCATACTAAGCAGTCAAAACAACTGGGTTTTGTGTCTGTGTGTCGCTTACAAAAGTCCACTGCACATTCTTTTTGACCTCACACCGTTTCATAGAATTTGAGATCGCTGAGAGGGCCCTAAAACAACTTCAAACTTGAAAGTCTAACATCGTCTGCTTGCAGCTATAGGCGGGACGCACGGAGAAAGCCGGTTGTTTGCGGAACGCCGGCAAACACGACACTTCGGCTTGCAGCGCCAGCGGCAGTTCGGTGGCGTCAGAGAAACTCAACTAGCAGGACGGCTCAATATTTGACGTCGCTGCACTGGCGCAGATCGCGCAGGAACTTCAGATTACGAATTCAGAAATTGTTTTTTTACTTCGCAAATACTGAATTCCCAAATTTCGCATTTTAAGGATAATGTCCAGGCATTGTTTTGAATCGTTTCGAATAATAATAAAAAAATGTTTTGATGTGTGAGTGCCCCTTTAAAGTAGCTAAGGGACTTGCCTGTATCTGTTTTTCGTTGGTGTAGTCTAGCCGACCTCCAATGGCGTTCCAAAACTCCTGCTTCTCCTGGCCCTCGGAAACCAGGACCATCTCCCTGGAAGTATATTGAAAAAGAGACGGCAAACATAATAGTTTTCTCCGGTCACAAGTTAACTCTCGTATATTCTGTTTTGTTCAATCAGTGCATTGTTATACAATCACAAATAATTTCTTCAATTCGCCTCAAGATCGAACCGTGGCGCCACCGTGCGGCCGAAACTGGAAACACACGAAAGCGGGGATACCGCCGTGCGTCGTCTGCTACGGGCGCACGTTCAAAAGCATGGATCTCGACGACGCAAGCGCATTTCCAGCTGAGCTGAGCCCTCCTCATTAAATGCTTGTTATTTTCGTTGCCGTTTCTTCCTACTAAAGGTGGTGTTGTATCGTTTCAGGTGCGTGAAAAGTCAGCAAAGCAATTATTATTAAGTCGGAAGCTTCCATAATCGTAGTGTTGTGGTTTGTATGCAACCGCGGGTCCCACATATTTTTGTTATCTCCCACAAACCATAACTTTTATAAAACATTGAGCGTTGATTGAGCTATGGTTCGATTAAAAAATTAACTCGACTGATCGATGCACTTTAATCGATTAATCACTTGATAAATGCGTTAGTTAATTTTTCACCGGTCATACTGCATGAAAAATGTTAAAACTAACATGTTTTTTTTTTACTATTTTTACTCTGTAACAAAAGTCATATTGCATCCCCATTTAAAACTTCATGTTGTGACGTCTACAGAAATATGAAGGGAAGTCCTTTTAAAGTTATTATTTAAACAGTATAATCATTCTCGATGACAATCACAAGCATACTGAAGTGGTTTACCCGTGTCCTAAAAGAAAGAGACACGTCAGAAATGTTAAAGCAGGCATTTTTTTTTTTACTTGTTGCTGTTTTCTCTAGCACAAGACTCCGATTAAACGGCAAAAATATATATTGCACCTAAAGCATCACTCGAATGTAATCTGAAGGTTAATCGATGAACTGCCCAGTCCCAATATACGTGTAGGTGAGGGCAGAGGGTGATCGGAAAGTTTCGTGAGAGTCGCTAGCTCTCATCAGTAAAAGAGTGTCGCTGCGGGCAATGCTGTCTGTGTCGTGGTGCGGGTCGTTTGTTGAAATTGCAGAGTATACAATGTTTGAGTTGAAGATTATTTATCCATCAATTTATAATATTAGCCTTTTGACATCTGCGGCCCTCTCCAAGAAAATTGTAGCAGGTGAACCCACACTACCGAGAAAGTCATCTAATAACACGCAGGCTAGTTCGTTGCTCGGTCACACTCATTTGTTCCACTCGCGGCAGACATATTAGAATAGTTTGTTTCACTTGTTTCAGTTGTCCTGCCAAAGAACAGTTTCCGGATCGCAACAGGCACTCTCTCTTCATCGCAACGCAGTAGAATTATCCCGACTCCGAAAAACTTACTCACACAATGGCACTGTAAAGGGAAACATTGGCTGCAGCGGAACTCAATTGCACAATAATTTCCAATACAGCACTAACTTTTCTTCAAGCTAGATATTTATATTACTGCAAAAGCTAAAAGTTAAAAAAAATGCATCGAACCTGCGATTTCACAGCCCACAGAACTAGAATTATGTTATCCGGGCTGGAATTTATTGTTTTGTTGAATTCCTACGCTGGTAAACCGATACATCTATTTAAAAAAAAAAAAGAAATTTAACATAAATTGTACAGTTCCCCCAGGCATCCGTCGTGAGGATCCATGCTTCCCAACGTCTGCCTAGAGCAGACGACGCGTCCACATGAGCGGTTATTTAAATTTAGGCCGTACGCTGGTATCACGATTTGATCTTCACTAAAGCACCGAACAGTACGGCACCGTTTTCCGCTAAAATTATTTTCCACTGATAGTATGCGACAAAATAAACGGAAGAATCTACACCGTCTGGCGCGCGAACGTGGAGAGTCTATGGGGCGACCCTGCGTCTATCCTCACTTTGATGATGATGATAGCACGACAGTAGCGCCGCCTCTAGGTCGATCTCGAGGCCAATAGCTAAGGGCCAACCCCCCCCCCCCCCCCCCCCCCCCCCCAAAATGTTTTTCTTTTTCGAGGCATGCTGGATCATTATGAACACCAATTTTGCTCCTCTAGAAATACATCTGCAAACTTCTTACAATCTTAGCAGCGCCGATTTTAAAAACGGATTTGTTTTTATGGCCCCCGCACGACACAAACACACATTCTGGAAATCGTAGCCCTCACCTGTCGCCACAAAAAAAAGCGTCAGCCGACGCTGTACCTCTTTTTATTGCGTAACCCGAAGAACTGCAATCTGCCACTGGTGCACGTACATGTTATTTTCTGGCCGGTGGCTGGTGCTTGAGTGCAAAAAGATGCTCAAAGCGCGACACATTTCACATACGTCTCCAGATTCTAGGCACCACAACTATGGTGCCTGGAGTGCGTCTCCGACTCGCGAGTCTACGTCCTCCTCAAAAGTGGTCCCTCCATTTCCACCGGATGGTGTTGTACTCGTGTCGTGCTGTTGCCCGCCGCAACACCTGCAGCGGCACGGTGACAGAGCTGGATATAGCAGATACACATTCTGCTGTAGATTGCTCTCTATGGAAACTTGGGGCAACCACGAGTTGACACGCCGCATCGACGGCGACACTTGTCATCGCTCGTACCGATCGTCACAACTTCTACAACCAATCGCCGGGACCGCAACGTCTGACAGTGTGACACGTTGGTTTTAAGACCACTTTAGACACACGGCTAGCTCGGGACGCCAAACGCACCGGGGGAAGACATGTCCCGTACTCGGAGACGACGTCTTCTGGCGTCTGAGAAGGGCAGACCGTGCATGCAGAGCTGCGATCGGTGCTCAAGGAGCGCGAGCGCGCGGGTTGTTGGCCCCGAGTATATAAAACCGAGTTGACGCCGCTAATACACTGTACCAAAGACAGTCTGCAGATGCAGTCTGAAGCGTGCTTCTTCCTCGTACAACAGCCCCGTGACGCTGGTCACGTAAAAGTCGTCTGCAGACACGTTTGAAGCAGACGTGCTGTGGACGTGCTCGAGGGGCGTTTGCGGCGGACTTAACGTGCTATCCTGCCCATGCATTTAAAGTGGTCCCAAAGTGGCAAAAAATGACATCCCAAAAGCCAGATTTGTTTCGCCGTCGGATGTCACAATCCCGGCAGTTGGGCGTAGAAGTTCTGGAGAAAAAAAAGCGGGAAACGACGCAAAGCGGTGATTGCACGTCGGGGATGCATTGCAGGAACCGTACCCGAGCTAACCTACAACCGTGACGGAACCACGTCAACTTACATTCCCGACCCAGTGGCGATCTTCTTGGCCATCTCGCGCTCGTCGCCGGTGCTCTTGCGGCCCGCCCAGACGTAGACGACTCCTCCGCCGCCAGACAACAGGAACACGTCGCCCGAGTTGAGGGAGGCGGCGGTGCACGGTACCTGCACCGCCTTGGTGTTGTGCTGGGTGGTGCCGTGCACTCGCAGGAGGTACACGCGCGGGAAGTTGTGAACGCCCCCGTTGTGGTCTGCGGCGACGCCGTTGCCGTTGGTCACCACGCTGCCGCCGTTGATGCCTTCATCCGCCGCCTGCCGTCCGCCACGTTTGTCGGGTCACGGGAAAGGGGCGGGGACGCCGTTTGTAAAGCAATGTGGAGTCCAGATTCATCCGCTTTCTTTGCTGGGTTGCGATGACGTCAAAACGCCATGCTCCGACTGGCTATGATCAAAGGACAGCGGGTAGACCTCGAGGCAGTTTGGTTCGAGGTCTACCTACTGTCCTTCGATCAGAGCCGATCGGAGCTTGGCGATCCCCAAAAGTAGCGGACGAACATGCGCCTCGCATTGTTCTCTCGTCGTAACCAGTCGCAAGCTGTTGCGGCACAGTCAATTGCACTCAAATGCAAACATGTAAACTACCACAGTTGGCATATATATCTTAATGTTTTTTTTTTTGTAATTTATCCACGTCACTAGTCCCGTCTGAAAGACCGCAGAGAGAGGCATGCTCGACAGAGTTGTTGCATGCGGCCCTACAGTCACGGAGGATCTGAGAACATTGGGGAGGAGCTTGAGTTGGTCCCGCCTGCATCACAAGCTTCCTACCTTCGTTTTCTGCACCTCGAGCATGCGCGTACATTCAAAGCCCTGCTATTCTCATACTGTCAAGTACAGGTCATTCTCGACGTACAACTTAATATCAAATCGTTTCGTGGCCTAATGTTAAATTTCTTATAATTTCGGGTCATTCGCGAGCCTCGAGATTTGTAGTTTAACTCCGCTTTATTTTTATTTTTGAAAAGAAAAAAAACAAACAATGCAGTTCCCTTTGGTGTCACCTGGGAAGACCATGTATCAAATGTTATAACATAGTTCTGTCTACATGTTTCTTAAACGGTCTGACAAACTTTGGAACGTGCCAAGTTGTCGAAGTCTGGCGGCTCTAGCGGGCGAATTGGGCCACGACCAACGGCACAGTCGAGACTACAGTGTTGGCGTAACCAACATGAAGCTAAACGTCATTGCCTTTTATTAGTGCTTTTTAATGTATCACCGATAAACCCCAAAATGTTCGGAATTAAGCGGGGTTGTCCCTTAGGAACGAGCTAGCTCATAGTGCTACAAATCCTGGCAAACACGTTATAGTCAGCTCGTTTATGGCGAAACCCCTAGTTACGAGTTAGCGCTCTGTCCCATCCCGTCGTTCTTCCCGTCTTTACGTTTGCGCCATTTTACCTTGGTATGTTCCACTTCTAGTTAGTGTAATGCATAAACCTTGTTAGCAGTTGCGGTTGCATTGGACTGCTGTCGGTAAATTCGTTCAGCCTCACACTCATTTAGGCACCATTAAATAATTGTATCGGTCCATCGCATTACAATTAGAAAGTCTGCAGGCTACCGAATCATACCTCGAACACGATCATCTGTCCCGAAAAGATGGTCATGAAGTGGGGCGTCTCTTTTCCCTGAACGAGCCGTACCTGCCAAAAAAGAACCAGACACGAGAATATTTGGTGATGTCCGCATCACTTCACGTGAACCACACTCTGCTTCATACTAAGTCCAACTGCAGGCAGCGCTACCATATCCGACAGAACTAATCGAGCAGCATCAAAGGTGCGTCATCGCAGCACTCACCGTCTTTGTGCGTTCGCTATCGCTGGCACAACCAATCGCGCATAATGATGGCAATCCCACAAAAAGACGACGAGCACCGTGACGATGCACTTTTGTCGCTGCTCCATCGGTTCCATCGGGTCGTAGCGTCGGTGGCAGTCGAACCAAGGGGGTACGAACAAAGAAGTCCTCTCACCAAAACGGACTGGCCGTTGAAACGATCGTCCAGCTCTCGAGCTTTGAGCGCTGCCGTCCGCTTGTCGTCCGTCGATGCGTTTTGACCCTGCAGGGAGAGACTTCTGAGAAAGTGCGTGCAGAGTTCTAGGAGGGCTCTAGAAATTAAATCTAGATTCTGACACGCTAGATACGACAGGGTGTCTCGCTTTCCGGCAACCTGCAGACCGTTTTTTCGTGGTGGCTGCCATGTTGAATTTCAACGTAGCTGATGGTTAGTGCAAAACAGCAAATCACTTCTTTATTTTTTGCGAATTGGAAAGCACCAGAATTCAAAGCGTTTGTGCCAATAGTTCTATTTTTTTCGTGGCTATATTTTTCCATTTGCAGTTATGCTTAAACTATCTACTTTATGTGTTGTCGCCCAACCCAGCTACGTTATGTTTCAACGTGGCGACCGTCGCACAAAAAAAGTCTATGTTGCCATTGTCAGACTTGCCATCATCAATAGAGCCGCAAACTCGAGCCGAGTCTTATGCAAAACGTAAGACTCGCAGGAAGCGTACAAGTTTCGAAAAGGGGCCAAAGGGGGCAGTGGTGACAAACTGCCAGTGATCGATCACCCACACTAATATGAGCATTCCATAGGATTCCAGCAAGTGTGCACCTCCACATTTTGTCGTTACAGTCGAACCTCGATTTATGGAAACCCGATTTTACGAATTTCCCGATTTAACAAACAAATTCGGATTCCCCGCGCAGCCTATGCGCGAGGTCTACCTTCCTCGATTTTACGAAGTTCCCGATTTCACGAAATAATTAGCGGGTCTCGGTGACCTCGTTAAATCGAGGTTCAACTGTATTTTGACTTCGGGTGAATACCTCTTACCGTAATGTTCCGAGAGATAGCCTGCCAAAGCCAGGTGAAGTATTGTCAGAGGTGCTAGGTTTTCAATTTTTGTTTAAATAATTAAGAATAAAAAAAAATGTTTTATGGTCATTTGTTTTTTTTATTGTTGTGTGGAAAAGCCACGCACAAAGTTTCTTTGTGGGGCAAATTGTATCTGAACCTGGTGAAACCCCAAATGCACGACCTGCTGGTGATATCACTAAAATCTCAAAATTCGTCTTTGGTCAAGCTTTTGGTAAAAATCTCGAGAACTAAAATCTGCCACAAAAATGGCCTTCAGTTACGTTCTGGTCAAGAGTTGGCCCAGTATGCATATATTCTTCAAATGTTACTGAACCATGGCCCTCCTTTGTTGTGCAATTTGAAACTAAATCACTCACCATAGCAATTGCTTTTCGTCTTGAGCAATTTTAGGTTCCTAAGTGTCTCTTAAAGGTGCATGCTGTTCGTCGGGGTGCCGTTTGCTCCCCCAAGACATTTAGCTTTCCCTTCGCTTTCAAGCACGTTTACTTTCAGCTCCTACACGGTGAAATAAATGGCGACTGTGCACTCACCAGCCAGTAGTAGACAATGCAGTCCTCCTTCGTGCCCGAGTCGTAGATATAGACGATGACGTAGCAGCCGTTCGAGAAGAACTTTCCGTGGTCTCTCAGCTCGACGGAAACCAGATTCAAGTTTCGGACCCGGAATACCTAAGAAATGGGAAAGTCATGTGCGAGTAATTGACCTGGCCACCCTTTCAAAGAAGTTGTAACGTCTTGACGGTAGTAGTAGTTGTGTTAAGGCAGTACCGAAACGAAATTCTAGCACCTGGCAACACCGCAGAAACACAAATTAGTTGTTAAAAAAAAATACCAAAACTCAATTTAAAACGAAAAATCCGTTTACCAGATTGCACCTGGTGGATATGTTCTCAACAATAGTTTGAATGTCATTACGTCTCTCTTCCCATCGAAGCAGCGCCGCTCCGCGGAAGTGTGGCGGCAAGTTGCATGCATGCGCTCCCTGTCAAACCTAGCCGAACCGGATTTCCCTTCTCTACTGCGCCTATTCAACTCCTGCAGAGAGAAGGGAGTATGAAGCGGAGGGGAGTAACTTTTCCAACTCCGCCGGCATCGCCAAAGCAGTCGCCGAGCATTTCGAATGGCTAGGTCGTAATGCGTCGATGCCACCTAGTGGCGAAGCTCCATGCCAGCCTCCCCGTAGCCTTGCCCGTGAAGGGAAACGTGATGTCACGAACGCACTGGATCTCTCGGGACACGTCACACTCTTTGACGACCGCTCTTCGAGCGTTCGCTGGAGTCTACCATTTGGAATGAAAAACGTAGCCATCTGTTTCAAAGCACTACAAATGTGCAGTTGTCAACTTTGTTGATTGTGTTTAGCTTATTTCTGGACGTGAGGGATATATTTCAATCTTAATTTCAGTATACCTTTAATAATTCTATTTTTGGAAATTCGTTGTTACTGGACTGCTTTTTCTAGGTTGGCCATGCAGTGATTTTTGTGCTTCCAGTAAATACCGCTTAGGATTAATCCTGAACGTTCACAACCTATTATTGAGATCCAACCGTCGTGCCCCTGGCGGCTAACCTGAGAACTCCACTTATGGGGACGACGTCAATAAATATTTGACTGTGTTTGTGTTGCGGCATTTGGCTGGGGGTGCACGTTCAATAATTGAATCACCAATTGAAAACGAGTCAAGCCTGATGCGGACATAGCATAAGTCATGCTCGTTCAGGGAAGATTTAAACAATTTGGTCTGCAGGCCTTGTGCTGCGTAAACACCCGAGTTCCGTGGGAAAACGAGCTGAACAGAGCACCTTCTATAGTTAAAGCTCCTCACCATTAAAACATGCATTAGTTTTTCTCTCCACGCAGAGGCAGTCGCATAAAAGAAAAGAAAAATGAGCAGTGTACACCCTTTCAACTTGCAGTCAGAACAGGTGGCCGTAGGATCTGGTGCCAATTACCATAAAAATCCTGAGCAAGTGCCCACTCAAAATTTGGAGATGATTATGTAAAAGTGGGGGTCCTTGGGTCATAAAGTATGGAAAGATGTGTCCTTCATGTACTTCCCAAATGTTAAAAAGTTGAGGGGGGGGCACTCATTGTGGGATGGGCAGAAGCTTGGTAGTTTACGGTACATGCCGCCAATGTTCATCGTAATCACACACGGTAATGGTTGGTAATGTATACAGGCACTAAACTTCTGACACTGTTAGCTTGTTGTTGATTACGGGCTTTATGGCGCAAGCCGGACACCGTTAGGGTTCACTATGGATCGTCTAGCTTTGCAAAGTAGAGGCTGAAAAAAAAATTGTAGAGCCCTAACACTTCACGTGAAGATGGAGGACTAGCGAAGCTGTTATCTTTACGACGTCTAGGATGATTCCTAGAGGACGACGTCTAGGACGACCTCAAGGACGACTTCTAGGACGACTTCTAGGACGACTTCAAGGACGGCTTCTAGGACGACCTCGAGGACGACGCCTAGGAGGACTTTTAGGATGATGCCTAGAGGACAGCCTTTCGGACAACCTCAAGGACGACTTCTAGGACGACCTCGAGAATGACTTCTAGGGTGACACCTAGAGGACAATCTCTCAGACGACTTCAAGGACAACTTCTAGGACGACCTCGAGGGCGACTTCTAGGATGACCTCAAAGACAACGTCTACGACCTCAAGGACGACGCCTAGGACGACCTGGAGGACGATGCCTAGAGATGATAACAAGGGATCAGGACCTCGCTATCTATAATGCCAAGGAAGGCTGACTAATGCTGGTTGCCCTCTCTTTTTGTTTCTATTTATTCATACTTGACCACTCTTTTTGTTTTTATTTATTCATACTTGACCCCTCTTTTTGTTTTTATTTATTCATACTTGACCCCTTTTTTTGTTTTATTTATTCATACTTACCATGACCAATCAGGAGTTTTCTGTCGACATGTGAGGACAGATTTCTTCCCAGATCCTAGCGTATAACAGCTTCGCTGTAAAAGTAGACCGCTTTTCTCCTCAAATTACGCCGCATTGTAGTAAAGGTGCAAGATGCAACTTAAGTCCATCCGTGCAACGTCGCTGCGAAGCAACAAAATGTACACTCTCTGTGACCCTTGCCTACGATAATACAGGAGAGAGGCGAATTTCTTTCTATAGCCGAGTCCTATGCACTGTTTCATGACAAATTGACGAACCGTGGAGGCTGCGGCCCGATGACCCAATAAGGGCTTCGAAGCAAGACACGTGGCAACAGTAAATGGTCGAGGCCACGGAGGACTCGTTATTGCCACAGCACGAGTGCCGTCTGCGACAAAAAGTAGTCCTAGGATTTTATTATTTTTTAATGGCAATTGAATTGCGCGATTGCATCTCTATCAACATTACGTTACGCGACACAAAAGAAAAACGAAGATGTGCTGCTTTTCAAAGATACTTAGTTTGGATCGGCTTTTTTCTGAGAACAACGTGGCTTTTAAACAATAGCAGCGTCTGTAATCGACCGATTCCGATCAAAATGTCGCCCTGGCATTAGCACCCCCCACAGGTTTGCGGGCAAATTGAGTGTATGGTTGTCTCATGAACGGTTCCCGAAGTGCTCGCTAGTCTAGCGGACGGCAGTGGTGTGGCGGTGGACATTCATCCAAAGTTGGTTGGTTTCACAGCAGACGACTTTTGGCCAGCAGACGACAGCCGGTTCCTCTGGGCCTCGCATCTGACGCAGTGACGCAAATACTCCCATGACGTATTGTTCTGTGCCTCGCCCCGACTCTCTCAGTGGATTGTGGGAGCCATGGCCTCCACAGTTGGCCAAGTTATCGTGAAACAGAGTATACTGTAAGCGACTTAATTTTCGCGGGCTCAAATTTTTGTGAATCGGGCCAAAGCTTAAAATTATTTCCGGGTACTAATTTTTGCGAACCGAGTGTAGCTTCTGTAGCGTTCACATATTGCCCGAATTGTTTGCGGAACATATTTTTCGCAAATTGTAGGCGATTCGCAAAATTCGGGGAAATTAGGTCCTCGAGAAAATTTAGTTATTTACAGTACCGTAATATCCCGAGTCATCGCCCACCCCCCTAGCGCCTGAAATTCGTTAAAAAAGTGGGGTGGGCCATGTCTCGGTGGGTGAGCACAAACACTTGAAAAAAAGCGGAAAAAACCGCCTATTTTTCTCTGCGTATCTAGCGCTGATGCACAAGAGATACATCAAACTCAAAACTCAATTTAGTTTCATTGTTTTATAGAAAAAAATGCTCAATAAAAATATTTTACTATAGCGAAGTCCGTTGCTTGCATACGCGCTAGAAACACCGCCGATCTGCATATAGCGCGAACGTTTGTTCCGTGAAAGAATGTCACCACTATGTTCTCCTAGTGAGTAAAGAAAAAAAAAGAAAAGTCTACAAGAAAATGGAAAAACCGACCAGGCGCAACGAGCGAGCGAGCGGACCAAAGAAGCGACCAAGAGCAATGCTGGGAAAGCGGGAAAGCCGGCGGTCGTGTTGGCAAATACTTTGGTGTCGGGCCAAGTCGGGCGCCTTGTCAATTACAAGCTCTTGCGCAACTTTCTTGTTTGGTGCGTACATACGTGCGTCGGTGCACGGCGGGCATCAATGCACGGTTGGGACGCTCTGCAAACGTCTGTGTAGGGCGTTCCAGCAAAGCTTTATTTACGCGTTGGCTTTGCCTAAAATATTGCACAACCGCGGTCGCGACGGGCGGGAAGAAGGAGCGGGTTCGCGGTGACCTTACTTCGGCGGAGACAGACTGACCTAACACTCCTTGGTTACATAACAAACTCTTATTTTGTTATCTCCATCGTTTTCTTTTCGCACGGATACACAACCACTTCGGGGTCGCTCACGGAGGAAATGCGTAAACAAAAAGAAGTGTCTTTCCCTCCTTCGTTTAACTTTGTCACGGACGTCCTCCAACTGTAAGGTCCGCGGCCGCGTCATTCGGGTAGCATGAGTGTTCGCGGATCGCCGAGTCCGCGCTGGGGTATTTGAAGGGGTGGGCGATGGCTCGGTGTTTTTTCGGAAATCGATATTGGCCAAAAAAATGGGGTGGGCGATGGCTCGGGAATGGGCGATGACTCGGGATATAACGGTAGTAGATTGTACGTTCCTTCAAAGTTATGTACTTGGCAACTACTATTTTGCACTAAGTTGTCATAACTAGCGTACCGTCCACAGTGCCACAGCTTCCGCTCCAGTACAGGGCTGAAGCTCCATGGAAGCTACCCTAGCCTCGACAATGTTGTGCAAAATAGTTGACGCCGACAGTAGATACCGAAGCAGAAGTACCTCTCGCTTTCCCGTTCCATCGTCGACCACTTGCATCTGAGCCGAAAGGGCCGGGTTGGAGTGGAGTGTCGGCGCATCAAATTTGGTTTGGACCGTCTTGGCTGGCAGGATGCGGAAGAAGGTGAACATGCATCAGTGTCCAAAAGACTCTCAGTATTAAAGTGAAGTAGACCGTTCATTTGTACACATGCGACCTGCAGTTATCGCAAATATGACATCGTCATTTTTTTTTTTCTTATGTCGCACCGAGACAAGGTTAAAGGGATGGTGAATTGAAATATGGATTTCAGAAAAAACAATGCAGGAGATGTAGGCGGGACGCTAAAAACCCTACAACACTACTCGTAAGGCGATATCTCGAATGGACGGCCATACTTTGGAAAAAGAGGTCGAGATTGAACCGGGCCGACAAGACGCGTGACGTCAAGATACCTAATTTCCTCCTCTCTTAGCTTCGCTCCTTCAAGGCGGCGAGGCGGAGAAGACGCGAGGCCGTTCCCTCTCCTTCTCGGAGAAACATGACGTGAACATCTCTGTCAAATGCGCCTCCTTTTCTTGAAAAACACCGTCATCCGTTCGAGATGTTTTTGTGTTTGTAGCATCCCGTTGATCACTTTTACCGCGTGTTTTGTGGAATCGAAATTTCGGTTCAGCATCCCTTTAACAGGCACCAAATACTGCCACTTAAATTGGTGTCCCGAACAAGGTCTTTTTACCGCCTCAATAGTTTTGGTGACGGCTTTTCAATTCCAAGAGGAGAAACTGGAAAAAATGGTGATTGCTTGTTGTTGGTGTCCGTGCTGCATTATGTATGCCTTGTTGGTGCAAGAACAGCTCGAATATTGATGTTCGCAAAGCTAAGGCTTAGTGGTGTGTAAAAATTAACCTTTAATTTTTTTTTCCGCATAACCTTTAATGTTAAAACCTCTAATATGTGTGTCCACCACCTAGTGTCACTGTATAGAAAATTGGAACTGCGGGGGTCAAGCAAAGGGACTCGTGTGGTTTACTAAATCGATGTTGCAACACATTTTCTCAATATAGTCCCAAAAAGTAATCCTTCCAAATCCTTTTTTTTTAATTTTTTTTTGCAGGAAAGGTTTGATTAAAGTCATTCTAGTAAAACTGGTGTGATGTAAGTCGCAATTTAAATCACTTTTTTTTTGCTCTCTATCCTGCAAACGAACTATAATTACGACCCCGAAGTTGCGACAACACGCAGTCAACCGTTGTGCGAACGTTTCGAGAAGAACCAACCGATTTTGTGTGCAGAGTGCGTCTTCCCGGGCAGGGCGGGATGCTCGGCGTCATGCCACACCCTGAAGAGGCACTTGAACCCCATTGGCTCCCCTCCCTCGATGACTCGCGCCACTTGGGTGCAGTGCGGGTAACCTTTCTTCTTGATGAAGCCCTGCATCACATGTCGCTCAGCATGGTCAGTAGAGGTAGAGATGCATAATAGCAAGGAAGGACACAACGGGAAGCAGAAAACACACACAAACACAGCGCCGACCACCAACTCTGATTTTTTTTCGCAATAAATAATGTTTACATGCAAAAGAAGACACACAAAAAACAAGACAGGGCATCCCTCCATCACACCATTCCGTATAGCTACGCTACCAGGGATGTGTCCGATTGGCGTGTTCACTGCGTTTTAGAAAGTGGTCCCTCAATTTCTGCCCATTGGCTAAACATCCCAACCCATCCGTTATTTCTTGTGAGAGAAAACGACAGTCATCGCTGAGTCTGTGCACATCTTCTACTCATCCTTCTGTTCTGTGTGTCGTTTTATATATGCTGGTCACGCCGGAGTTTTTCCTATTGGGAGAGCATGGTTGTGCGAGCGAAGGAACAGACCTGTGCGTTGCGCATGGCCTCCGTGCGCTCCTTGTGGCTCGCCTTCTTGCCGACCCAGACCCAGATCCCGGCCTCCGCATTGTCCACGATGTAGGAGTCCTGCGGGTGCGGGGGATAAAGGCACTGCCTGGCTCTCACAAAGGGTTCAGAGCAATGGATATTTTGAAGGGAGCTTAAAGGGAGTTTCTAAAGAGAGTTTATAAAAGGAGCTTTTAGCCAGAGCATTGAAAGGAAACATTTTAAAGGGAGCTTTTGGCAAGAGCATTTAAAAGAAATTTTTAAAGGAAGCTTTTAAACAGTGTTTTGAAGGGAGTTTTTTTTCGAAGGAGAGCTTCAAGGGAGTTCTTAACCCTTTAACCACCTGGCCCGAGCTGTACTCGTCATGGAAGGTTGCACCAATATCGCCGATGACGAGTCACACTCGTCCAGCCAAAATGAGGGTTTGTTTTCACTGCCAAACACGAAACAGGTTCGTCCATCGGCTTTAGTTTCAATTTTCAACACTGGAGGCCATTAGAGGTCGCGCAAATGTAGCGTGTTTTGGCTTTTGGCGTGTATCAAGCCTTGCAACAGTGATCAAAAATGGCAGCATGCTTGAGCGATGCCGGTGACGGCCCTCGGAAACGGGCTCTCTCTTGCGGCAGTTTGAACAGTAGCGACGATGAAGACATCGAATTTGTCTCTGGAAGTGAGTCGGACATGAATTTTGAATACGAAACGGACTTAGACGACGACCACAGTGACGAGGAAGACAACGCGCTGGGTAGTGTTCGAGTGTGGCAACGAGCAAACCATGTAAACACTGAAAACCCGCTACCTGCGCCTCCGAGGTTTCCCGTTTTGTGCAGTGCCTGGGATTCTGCGGCAACCCACTGACGAAAAAGACATTCTCGGATGGTTCGAGGTTTTTTTCTTGATTGGGACCTTGTCGACCTCATTGTGACAGGGACAAACCGCGACGCGGTCCCGCATTTCGCTGCACGGGGCTCTTCATGGAAACCGGTGGACCGCAAAGAGATAATAGTGTTCCTTGCGCTAATAATTTTGCAAGGAATCGTTGGCAAACCGCAAGTTGAGATGCATTTGTTAGCGCTAGTACGGAGAAACGTCTAGGCACTTTATCTTTTGTTACGGTGCGTATGTTCGAATAAATACTGCTCATTTTAGCACGTGTTATTCTATTACTCTTACATGCACTGAGGAAAAGCTTCCATAAAAATGAACTTTTTTTTTTAAAAAGTTTGTGTTAATACCAATCAGAAACCAATCAAGTAATGTATTTGCAATATCAGGACGACGTAAGAAACAATATGTGAAAATAAAATTTGGGAAAGTTAGTACATTTTTTTCGAAACTAACTTGGTGGTTAAAGGGTTAAAGGAAGTGTGAAACAGAAGCTGGCAATCGAAAAACTGAGGATAGTTATGAAACTCAAGATGTCTCCCTTGCCCCGCGGCTTGGGCGAGTTCAACTAAGCAGGTCATCGGTCGTCGGGACGTATCCTTTCCTTTGTCTGTCTTCTTGAATAAAGCGTGGGACTGTGTAGTCGAGCTTTTAAAACTGCAAACGACCCCACAAAGCGTGCTGCGATTGACAATGGTAGCTGCTGCGTCGTGAAAAGGCCCTCTCTAGCGTGAAAGTTGGGGCCCCGCGTCCTTTGCAGCTCCCATGCCGTTGCAAACCTTTGCCTACTCTGTTCGGCGCCGCGCCTGGTATGCCCGGCCCTCAGACACAGCACGACGCTTGCGTGGTTTGGCCACGTGTGTTAGAAGGTGAGCGAGGGCTGTTTGTGACCGCAGCTGCGGTGGAAGAAGCGAAAGTATGTAGGTGAGCCGTCCTTTGGAGGCGCAGAAAGCCCACGAGAGTGGAACCTGGCAATGGGGAGGCAAGGGAGCATGTCGTCGCAGCGTGACCACGTGGGTATTTCGCAACGGCGGCTGCTGTAGAGTAGGGGTTTCGCGCTCGTACATGAGCATTTTTTGCCGGGAAGGGGCACTAGTGTCCACCTCCGTAAAAATGTGGAGCTCCATCTCGACCTATTGATCAAACCGTCGTTCGCAGAATTGCGCTTTATGAGAAATGCAGCCGACGCTCGTGTTCGACCTCGTCTAATTTCAAGCATCGCCGTCACGTCTTTTCGAAGTGCCGCCTTGTCCTCCTCCCTTACCTTTTTATACTCGCAACAAAGCGTGCAAGAAGAGACGACACCTACACGTCATCATGACCTACCTCTCACCGATACGTCACGTGACTGACACAGTGGCGTAAGTGGCGATTGGAGCGCACGGAGAGCGTCAAGTACAAATGTAGAAAGAGCAACTCTGCCTCCTTTACTTAATTCTGGCACCTTTTTCGCTCTATTGGGGAAGCCCCTCTCCTTCCACTTGTGCTACCCTCTCCACCCCACGCCAGAAATGCGCATAGAACAGGGGTTAGCTCTTCCACAATCCTGCGTAATCGTGCGTAGGATGAAAAGGGATGCGAACCTGACATAAATGTAGCCGTTTCTGTGTGCTTTAGAAATGCAAAGTGTTTACTCTTAGCATTAGAATTTCAAAATTATCGAAGGACCGAATGTGCGAAGGAGCACCGGTCTCGAAGAGGCATACTGTCGTGGCAAAGCGAGGGCAGGCATGCAAACATGCATGGGCAAAAGTGCAAGCATGAGCCGTTGTCCCAGGAATGCATTTGTTCTCACCTCTGCCTCCTCAGAAAGCTTCACCACACCCTAGACTAGCCATGGCAGTGACTACAGGGAAGAGGTATGTTGACAGAAAAGAGCACCATCACCCAAAGCACGAGCAACGACACTATATAGTTTCACTTTATGCGCGAGCGAATCCAAAGGTACAAACACGAGCATGTTGCCCCGAATGATGCTTGCACTGCATGAGCGCGCATGCTTGGGGGGGGTGCTGAAGTCCCTGTGCTCGCTCTTGTAGCCCCTGCTACGCTCGCACTCAAAGTGAAATAGAGCATGGAGCACTGGTTGTGTCAGACATTTGTGAAGCTGCATGTTGCACTCAAGGTGTGGTATTGTGCCACCTTCGTGTGGCTGTTGCATTTCTTTCACAGTTGCTTTTATATTTGTTATACCACGAATGTGGCACAGTGTTCCATGTGAAACAATGTCTATAATCAAATGATGCATAAGCACCACACATATCTTTCGCTTTTGCTTGTTTCATAAGATCATACATCTTAAACTGACATGACTGAGAATGTGAGACAGATATGGTCACAGTTGAGTCATGCTTAAGTTACATAAAATGGTGCTTAGGGTTAATTTATGTCAAAGCATCAAACTGTCTCTCATTCAATATTACTACAGAAGCTTGCAGATTTAAATGCTGATGTTACTTTGAGAAAATGATTAATTACCTCACTTCAAGGCAGCAGCGGGTGGTGAAAAATGAAACATGTTCCGATCGTGTAGTTGTCTTATCTGGTGTGCCCCAGGGCTCTACTGGGGCCACCCCTCTCCCTCACTCACATTAATGATGTTTACTCTAGAATTTAATCTAAGATACAATTGCTTGCCAACAGTTGTGCCAATTATACACTAAAGTGTTGGATGAAATGATTTTCTATAAATGAAAGAATAAAATATGGGGATATTTCAAGAAAGAAAAACCTGGAAATTGGGAGAGATATACCCGAGCATTTTGTTTTAGTGGCATCCATTAATTACGTGCTTTCTTTCTCAAAATACAGGGGTCACGTGTTTAAAGGGACACTGACGGGGTATTTATGCTCGCCAAGGTTTTTATTTGTACATGACATATGAGAGCCCAACTACACAGAAAACAATTCGCCGCTCGAAATTTGTTTTTTTTCCGCCCGAGAACTGGCTGGTTTGAGTCGCTCTCACTTTCTTCTCCGTAGTCACATGCCATTTCCTGTGGTTAAGACACAACCACCAAAAATAACCAGTCGTGGGTCATCAAAGGCACACACACAATATTCAATATATAAAAGAAATATGACACCCATTTCTTTGTGGCTTCTAAAAAGCTGCAAGTACGTTGATTGAAAAAAAAAAAAAAGAAGTTGCACAGCAACGCAACTTCTACCAACTCTCTCCTCTATATTTCTTCTTCCTCCCCAGTCCAGTTTTGGTTTCGGTTTCGAGCAGTTGCGTTTTGTGACTTTATTAAACATATGTGTGATGCTGTAGCAAAATATTGATTGCGTAGTCTTCTGACAGCATAATAAATCACCTGGGAAAAAAATCAAAAATAAATTTTTGGGGGGTATCAGTGTCCCCCCTTTAACCAAATGGGCACAAATTGTACCCATAACGTTCATGGTCGAACCAAACTCCCTATGGCACCAAAGTATTAATCAAAAATGGACCGGTCAAAGCCAGGCCCACATTCACGAGCATTTGCGCGCAAGCCATCGTCAAGAGGTATGTTTGGCTGTTCGTGAAGAAACTAGGAGAACAGAGTTAAGCTTACATTTTCGCATTCAAGTTGGCTTGAGTCACGGGTGATGACTCGTAGCCTTGCACGATTGTTTTACACCGCTCGGTGCTCGTGTAGTAACGGCACCTCTTAAAGGTGCACGCCCTCTCTTTCGTTACGATTAAATGGAGGGTGTGACGCGGCTCGTGTGGTAGTTGTGGAGGGAGGTCATTGAACTCACCTGAGAAAGGAGGTCTTTCTGCTCCAAGGGTCCAGTCTTGACCTCTGTCACGCGCAATGTTCCCACTTCGTCCGAGCAGCTGCGAGGAGATCGACCAATAACTAATCTCAGCGGATCGCACCGCGACCGGGACGTTTAGAGTCGCGATCGAGAGCTACATTTGGGACACTGGCACTTTTTTCGCTTGTTGTCCAATGACGCCACAACAACCGTTAATCCGTTGGCATCAGCCACCTGGACGTGCGAGCTGTACTTAGCGTCGACCATTTTGTGCTATACAATGTCGAGGCGAGCATAGCTTCCGCACTGCTATAAAAGCATGTGCACGTAACTTCCTCTTGCATTTGCTCGTGCTCACACAAGTAGCTTTGACAGCGTTGGAGCGCTGCGGAAGCTACTCTAGCTTCGACGACGTAGCACAAAACAGTTGACTTCGAGCATACATTTATCGTTAAGGTTCTGAAACTGGACCTTTTGAGTTGTCGGTAGATTATGTTAAGGATGGTTCACACAACCCTGTTTTCTCGTGTGACGTCAAGTTACGAAGGCTTACGTCTGCTTATGCCGGAAGTCACCGGGACATCTGTGTTTCGTGTTAAGCGTGGCTACCGGTTCAAGGAGATAGCCTGGCACATGACGTTTGAGACACAAATGTTTCGGTGACTTGTATGTAACGTAAGAAAATATAAGAAAATGGTGCTGCATAAACCAGCCTTCGGAGCTCTAGACTCTGTCATATTGATTGTGTTAACAGGCACTTCCCACATTTTTCATTAGGCATGTCAGCAAAAGCTATTGGGAGATCAAGGAGTGGCAACTCTGGAACTAACGCTGTGTGGCAAAGAAATCCTCCAACTGCAGTCACTATTGCATTCGCTGCCTCGGAAGACGATGACGCGAGGCTCGTGAAAGATATGTAACGCTATTCCTTTTTCCTAAACGCATCTAGATACAACTATTCTAGTTCCCTCTTGCCAGCCGCATTGTGTCAGCCCCATGCACTCGATTGTGCATGGCCAGTATGGTGTCTGTGTTTTCCTGAATGATTCACAAAACATGCACTTCACTTTTCAGTTACCCTGTCTCTCGCAAGCATCATGGACTACATTGGCGAAAGCAAGCGGTGTCTCGTTGAAGGAGAGGACATGCTGAACTGCAATCATGTCATTGAGCGCAGCGTGGCACCAGAGTCGGTGGACGGTGTCCGCATCGTTGTGTACGTGCTGCGGTCCTCCGCCCTGCCTATTCCCATTCAGAAGCACGCTCGCGCACTGCGGTATGCAGCAAGTGCGCACCGTATCACTACTATAACAAATATGCAGTGAGCGCGGAAACGACACGGTGGACGCTTGGCGAGTGCTGGCGTCAGAGTTGTTTGCCACACAGCGATTGTTTGTGGTGATGATGATGATAATGAAACTGCGCCTCCAATAGTTCGATCTCCTTGCCAATGGCGATAGGCGTCAAAACTGATATCCCAAGCAGTAATAAGACCGAAATGGCGTCCCTCCGCGGTATAAATAACCGAGTGGTTCCAAGTGATACGAAAGAGATGAGCGGATACCGATAGAGCTTGATGTCGGCGCAGTGCTGCTTCTCGGCGAGCTCGTCGCCGGACATGTCTCGGTGGTTCTTGACCACTTTGTCCTCCAGTGGAAGGAGGTGGTTCAGATACTGCGATTGATGGGAAAACATGTGCCTGTTGTTCAGATACTATAATTGAGAACATTTGCTCGTTATCAAGATACTGCAACTGATAAATGAAAATTTAACATTTGTTTGTTGTTTCTTTTATGGCACTGCAAGCACACAACAGTCGGCCCAGACATTTTCGAGTACTACTACATAACATTTGGAACAGGAAAACAAAAAAGAGAATCCATCACGATACAATCAAACTAAAAGGAATGAGTTGGCTGCTGCTCCTAAGGTTTGATGTCGTCCCAACTCAATGGGGGGAAGGCATTTGAGGCAATTTTTTAGTGTCTGCATATCAGCTGGTGAAATTTTGAAGTATAGTGCTGTTCAGCAACGTCCCTCCATTCGAAGGCTGAAGACCTTCCATTGGTTTCTTATTACAGATCTACAGAGATACTGCATGCATTACTTTGAGATCGCGCAAGGGTAAAAAGCCACTAAAGTTTACTCCAGAGAAAACCTTAAGGAGGGGACATAAATTTGGGAATCGCCAAAAGTTGACAAAAAATCACATTTTTGTAAACTAATGCGAAGTCCTACAAAGAAAGCATTTTTTTTAATACATATTTATGAAGTTTTTCTTTAGCTCTACCGTAGAATACCGTGCATCCGCCCATGTCACACTAAGCGCCCATACCAAATTTTTTAGATCTGAGAAAATATGCATTGTACAATCATATGTAAAATTGATGACCGGACAAGTGCCCATCCCCCATTTTTTCGTGATTATCTCTAAATTTTGAGAGGGTACTGGTCCAATATTTTACGGTAGATCTAACTGAGCTCTCCAGAAATTAATTACAGTTGGGATTACCACCAGATCAATACACTAAAATCAGATTCCAAGAAAGAGAAGAAAACATGACACCCCTGCCTCCCCTAAGTCACCTTATGTTCGAGCACCAATTATGCAGACGCGTTCCATAAGGGCTGCTAGGGAACATTAGACTTAAGAAAGACGAAGAAACTCAACATTTCTGGTCGTAATGGCTCATGTCACAATTGAGGACAGTCCGGAAGGAGTTCACAAATTATGGAGGCTGACCTCTTTTTCGGGAGAGCCCAGGTGCTTTTCTTGACCATCCTCCACGATAACGATGGTGCCTTCCCCATGTTCAGCTTTCAGCTGCTGCGCTGTCACGGCTCCCTGGAAGTCAGATTTCAAAGGATGTTGGACCACCAGATATTGGACCGCAGTGCAACACTTTCAACGTCCCGTTGGAACTTTCATGCTCAGGATGTCGGCACTTGGACTTTCTGGTGTAGGGAGGCATCCCAGCTACAGAGGCATTCCACTTATAGATATGTTTCTTTTATGCCCTGCTTACAAAGGTGTCTACTTTGAGATGTGCCAATCACAGAGGTGACCCACTTATAGTGGTTTCCCAACAATAGAGGTGTCCCTCTTACAGAAGTAGCTCTCTTGTGAAGGCATCCCACTCAGTGAGGCATCCCCACTACAGAGTTGTCCCTCTTACAGAAGTAGCTCCCTTGTAGAAGAATCTCACCCACAGAGCATCCCATCTTTGCTGCCCCACTAATTACAAAGGTTTCCTTCTTACAAAACTGTCCATCATGGAACATGTGTCTATCTACTTCATGTGGTATTGTGATGTTGCACCATGCTTTATGTAAAGGCAAAAAAAAAAAAAATCATGATTTTTTTAATTACTGCAATCGGTTGATTTGATTTAAAGGGACACTAAAGTATATTTTGAGCTCGTCTTCTTATGGCAATAACTCAATCTATGTGCCCTAAAACCCAAGATTATCATCATGCATGGCCTTTCTCTTCATTAAAAATGTGACCAGACACTGCAACATGCCTCCCTATTCTTGAGAGTACTGTGTATATACGTTTAAAAAAAGCATGCTTATGCTTGCAATAACTTTCTTTCTATTTTGGTTTCATGTCTGCAGCCATTCAGATATTACCCAGAATGGACAAGTAAAGACAGCATGAAACAACCTGAAGGGGGAGATTTGTTTAGCATATGCAACATGATCAGAAAGTAGTGAGACAAAACTACATTTACCGCTTCACTCCAATTGAATAATTGTCTAAATAAAACGGGATATTGCGCAGATCCGACAGGCGTCTAGGACACCCATGGAAGCTCAAAACGGATGTCTGTTGCCGGTGCCAATTGTTTGAGTCTTTCTTTTATCCTCGTTTATTCTCACAAGAGATTGGCGAGCCAAAGATTAAAATGCTTCGCAATCTCTTTGACCTTCCCAATTGTGGCAGACTTCGCTATGAACTTCAAGTCTCAAAAAACGAGTGATTAAGCTTGCACCGACCTGAAGTTTCTCGACGTGGTTGGCATGTCTGCCACACCACACAAAGACGACCGTCCGGGCATCGATGACAAATACGTCGCCGTCGTTCATGAGGCTCCAGGACACATGGGGCAGCTTGCAAAAAAGCATTGGTTAAGTTACACAGCCTGCAACACTTTGAAACATTGTACCATGACTGATTACCAAGCTGTTTGTAAGTGCCGATTTATTGCTGTATTTACTGATTGGTGGTTATAATCTATGTTACATGGATTAACCAAACTTCCAGAGCAGAGCTGATTATTGTGGCCCTGCCAGCGAGGCACCGTATCATGAATCAGCTTGTGCATGCTTCCTTCGGTCGCTAAATTTTTTAATGATTTAACGTCGCAATCGGCGGAGCAATCTCATTTAGTAGGATATAAATAGGCTGAAATGTTGCGTGCACCGTGTGTCTGCTAACCTGGGGTCTTTACCATAGGTAATGAAGCACCAAATACGCGTGCAATCTTGCAAATGCTATTGCTCGATGTATGTTGTAAATGCCAGGCTAGTAGGCTTACTTCAATGGCAGCAGTGATTATTGATGCAGTCATGTATTCACTGCTGCGTGATACATGCATTGAAGACCCCAGATTTGCAGTTGTGCGGCACAGGCTATGCGGATCTCCTACAGTGCTGAACCAGTGTTGCCAGTTGCTGTACAGACGTTTACAACGTTTCATGCCGAACGTTGCGCGACAGCGAGCTTATTGCGCCCTATTCACGATTGCAAAAGGTCAATGTCACGTCAAGTATGGCAAAGAAAGTCTGCAGCATTTAAGCAATGTTAAAGGCGTATGAATACCTCTTTGACAATTGGCCGGCGCTTTCCCTTGACGTGGAACATCCGGGGAGTCGTGGTGTCTTCGACATGCTTGAAGCCGCTCACGACGCCACCATTTTGGATCCTGAATTTGCGCAAAGACGAGACAAGCCAATGACACCCTCACTCGTCGCATCAAGGTAAAGGAAAGTTTTGCATAATATTAATGCGCTGCATGAGGTCAATCTTACAAGATCTGGCTGTCGGAGGAAGAAACCGCGCTTTTTGGTGTTCAAAACGTGTAACGTCTTAACAAAGAAACTGTAAGCTAATGAAAAATTCACCCCTATATATCTTAATTCACTGTATAGATCCGTAATGCTCTACGAGAACCGGACTTTTTTTTTACAATGGTTCTTGAGGTGATTACAAGTATAAGTGTTTCACTCAATGTCTAAAAATTGTTTCTTAGGAAAAAGGTTCCATGTTTCTCGGGTTTAATATTTTTTGAACTGGGAAGTCTTTTTCGGATGTTAATATTTTCCTGTAGATTTTGGGTTTTTCGGCAGCATTCGATACAGAACAAAAAAAATATTGGCACTTAGCAGCGATTTACGCCGACGAAAACAGGACATAGCCGTGGGATTTCTGAGCCTCTGGCTGACATGTATGAGACCCAAATACTTGGAAAATGTCTCGGTACCCATAAAAGAGAAAAGTTAGATAAAAGGCACTGTTCCAGCAGAAAGCAGCAGTCCTGCAGACAGTTCAGCGTGGGCCAAGGTGGAAAATAAAAATCGACACAATTTAAATTGTTATTTAAATCAGACCGGTGTTTTGGTGACGATTTAAATCCAACCTTTGCCGCAAAAGATAATTCCAAAAATATATTTTTTATTTACCGTTTTGTATTGTTTGGTGCTCTCCGTGTGCATTTGTTTTGTATTTAGGTTGAGGAATCGTCGAGCGAGAAAGATTTATATCGGGTTGAACACGAGTACAGAGCACTGGTCTCCTGAGCAGATAGAAACGTTAAGCTTTCTGCCACTCACTTCGTTTGTCGGTTACACAACGTCCTATTGCGAGTAAATAAGAATGTGAAAGAAAAACTAACACTAAAAGAGTAATGTCCTATTGCGGAAAAATTGGAACGCAATAGAAAAAGCAAATAAAGTCTTTTCACTAACCTAAAAACATCAAGCTGTTTTCTGTTTTTTTTTCTATTATGGCAGGATTTTTTCAGTAAAAAGATGTTGGTTAAACTGTACATTAAATATACAGTGTAATTCTTTCTTCCGCCTTGTTTTCAGTGATTGGACGGATTGATCAGTGAATGTCATGATTACATCTAGTGATTAAAAAAGCCCTATTTTATGACTACACTGATATAAATTAAATTAATCTGATTCAAGTCAAATAAATCTGGTTTACTTGGTTTCTTTAAAAAAGATATGATTTTTTTTTTCCATTCTGCTGTGGGCTGTGTTTTAGTCAACACAAACTAAAGGTTTAGAGATTTTGCTGTTTTTTTTTCCTCGTAAAGCTTGGATCTTTTTTTTTTTTTTTTTTTTTTTTAAGGATTGGGGGGGGGGGGGGGGGGGGTTGTTTACAACTCGGGGTTTTTCAATTTTCACATATATTGATAAAAACCAGCTCAGGTTTTTCTTTTCCTTCGGAGTTTATTGGTACACACCGAAAATGCAGATCCTTATTTATGAACTCTCACTGATTGGGTTTGTTCCCTCCATTGGGGAGGTCAAAAAATAAGCGTCCCGGAAGCCACGCTGTAGCGGCCGACATTTTGCCAAGAGACTTTTAGGTCTTTGAAGAAACAAAGACTCTTAGAAATACAGTAGATGCCACTTTAAAGCTTTTAGAAGACTTTTTTTATTTGTTTATTTTCAGCTACTATCAGTCACTCATGAACTATGACAGGAGAGGACATATCAATGGCTTCAACCATACCTTTTTCTGCTTTTTTACCAACTTAATGGGCGAGAGCTCTTTACAAAATTGAAAATAGTTTATGTTCCTACCAAATGTTTGTGTTCATATCAATGGGAAAGAATAGAAAAGTTGTTTTCCTACCGGTGAGATTGTGCCTTGAGGCAGAAGTCGAAAGAACATCCTAGACTTAGAAAATGGTCCAACTAACGGTTCTGGGTGCCAGTGGGAATTTTTATGCGGATAGCCCCCAAAAAATGTTTCGTTCACCTGATTCCCCTGGGAAAGTAGGAGAGAAACCGTTGCGACTCGAATCCTTGAACCTCCCTGTGTTGGACCGGTGATCCGCCCAGGTGATCGTCCAGTTCCACGGTCTTGTAGGCCGCTACCCCGGCCTCGTCCTGCAATGAGCAACGGTGATTCCTCTGCGCCATGGTCTACTTATAGTAACCAATAAAAAGCATTCAAGTAACTGCAACTAACTACCGTTTCAATATCAGTGACTGTAACTTAGTTATGTTTTGGAGTAACTTGTTGCTTGGTTAAGTTAAACTTTCTCTTGACGAATACACAAATTCTTGATGATTTTTTTTTTATCAACACCAGCACTGCATTTTGGCACCACCTCGAAATACACTGTGAGTAAAGCGCTGAATCAAAATAAAACTGTCCCAATATTTCTTCCTGCGTTGGGAGCTGAACCAATTGATAGCAATTGCAGACCACCTCAACGTCCTGGAATATTTTAAAAGTAATGAGTGTGACTTTCTTATCCTTTTTGTGAGTAACTAAGATTCTTAGGAAAGTACTTGTTTTTTTAAATAAATGTCCTCCTTAGTGCGTCATTTCTTTGTTATTATTTTTTTTTTTCTGGCTAATCTTTGGAGGTGCTTCCATGTAGGAAACTTTTGCTTTAATTATGAACATCCTTCACGGGAAGTGGAGTGCTCCAATTAACTGAAGCTAATAATATAAATTGAATTTGTGCTATTATTAATGAATGACTGAGAGATTAAGGTTTTGTTTTTATTCCAGTAAACTTTATGAAACCAATCAGCATGAAGTTGATTTTAAGGGTATGCCATTCCTCTACAATCGTGTGAATAAGTCAAAAAGTAGGAATTGTGCTTACAAACTAAAGAATATCACAAATGACAAAAAAAAAAAGCTTGATTCCTGCAGATGTGTTTAATAAAATATAGCATAAAAGAAAGACTAAAAATTATGTTAAAACTCTTAAAAAATATTGCAGATATTCAGTCTGTTAACAATCTTACAAACTAAAAATATGGCATCATGACAAACAAAAACCTTATTTGCCGGAGATATTGCTGATAAAGATATAGCACACACACACACAAAAAAAAATGGTTAAAACTTAAAAAAAAAAAAATTGCAGAGGTTTTGTCTGCTTTTAATCTGCCTTCAAGGTAGATTCTACATCGCAGCTCCTGTGCATTGCACTGAAGCCAACCTCCAAATGTGCAAGATATGGATTAGTACACTTGCATATATTTTTTGTTGTTGTTATAATTAGTCATCAAATTTCTTATTTTCAACTTGACAAGCTTATATAATTATTAACTATATATAGACATAGCAGTACCTAAACTATTTGAGTATATGTGCTATGTCAAGCTATCGCTATTTTGTTTGTTGGTTTGTTTGTTTTACCTGAGACGTTTGCGCTCCAAGCCAGAAATGGATATGGATGTCGAGCGCTCCAACTGCTTTCTTGCTCTGGAATAGAGTTTCTTGTTCAGTTTTATGACAATTTTATGTATATATACTTTTTAAAAATAAATCTCAATGGCCAAATATTCACCTTCATGAAACAGTTTGGTTTCTCGGTGTTGTCAGATGCCTTAAACAGAAAAAAATAAAAATAAGAACAATTAAATTAACATTAGGTCGAATGCGGAAAATACAACACCGCGTAAATGTAGTAAAAGAAAATGTAAAAAAAGAAAAAAAGGTACTGCTGCTTACCACCACAACAATATATGAATCACCAGTGTAAAAAGTACCGTACTGGTCCTTTGGAAACTGTACAATTTGCATTTTCTGTCAAAAGAAAGGAAAGTGTTCATTTGTTTTATTTTATCTTTATCATATAATTACATATAGAGGATAACAGGAAATGGCTATTACAATTAAGGTCTGCTCAAAGCGAGACCGGATGGGATTTTCACATTAATTATACTTTATTCGCTTTTTGTTAAAAAAAAAAAAAAAAAAACACAGATGGAGAAAGAGAGATAATGTATGATGTACAGGGTGTTTGGGAGAAAATAGAGTCGTGTTTTTCCCACCTCAAAAGCGTACCGCGCACATCGCCGAATCCTCAGCCTCTGCCCTAATTGAGCTCTAGTTGTTGGGAACAGATGCCAAAGTTTCAGAACAAGTTATAACCGAAATTCAAAAGGTGTAAGCGGTTTTCGGAAATTTGAAATGAGGATCGAAATGAAGGCCAAAAAAAGCCCGCGAACACAGGTATTTGAATGGCGTCTGCTAGCGCGAGCGGGTTCCGTTTTCTGGTTGAATATTTTCTAAAATTTCGCATCACTTTTTTCTTAATAAGATAACTGCGAAGTTCCGACATTTTGGCATCTGGACTATCTGGACTCCAAACCGCTACGGCTACATTTGAGCGGACGTTCGGCGATGCATATTTTACTTTCGCGTTGAGAAAAACACGGATCTGTTTTCTCTCGAACACATGGTATTTTAAAATGTTAAGGGGAAAAAAAAATCATACTCGCCTCGATTCTCCATATTGTGAAAAAGGTTGAATTTTTAGGCAGTGACTTGAACATTGGATCTACAGAAGACATGATGCTGCAAAAAACAGAAAAAGAAAAAAGAAAAAAACTTTTTGAAGCGGGACAAAAAGAAAAGCGGGGGGGGGGGGGGGGGGGGGGGTTCTTTACTATTTAAATGCCACTTTATATATAAAAAAGAGGTATATCGCGGTTATAATGAGCGTGCGTGCGTGCGATGCAGCCATGGCCAGCTACAGGACGTGCAAACAAAACAGACCGCTCGGCGAACGTTTTACGTTGTTTCAACGGCACCCGATGAAAGACGGTGCCTTGACTGCCAAAAAAAGAAAAAAAAGAAAACGTAAAGAATAAACCGGATGAGGCTCAAGCGATGCCACCGGCCGACTATGTCACGCATGGTTGCACCCCAGAAAACAATTCTAAGGTCCACAACAAAACCTCTCGGAGCTTTCCAAATGGTTCTCCACGTACGATACCTCTTGCTTTTCAAGACACCGACGTCCTTTTCGTTTTCAAATACGTGATCTTATCTTTGTTCCGTGTTTACCAAAACGTCGAAGGACCGCATGTTCTGTTGGCTCACGTCAATCGGCGCGCATTGATACGTGACGATAAATGATAGTAGCAGACGACAAGCCTTCGTTTTCGTCTGCTCCTGGGAACTCCGCTCCTCGCGCAGATCAAAACGCGTTAGTGTGATGTGTGTATTGCGGTTATATCGAATTTAAACATCGAATATCGGTTAACGGGATCTAGGTTAGAGGGGAAAGCCGACATAACGGTTACTTCTAGGGAACAAGAGACAGCTTTTTGTACGTTGTTTTACACAAACCGAAACCGGAAAGGCTCGCGTGCTTATAAACCGAACAACGCGTATTGGAAGACCTATTCAAAGGAAACGAAAGAAATCCCTCGCTTTGGAAACCCCGCAGACGTTGACACGCCAGAGGTTTCTCTCGATGCACAAGTGTTGCGACGAAATAATAAGAACAAGCGTCCGACAGCAGACGACAGTACGTGAGCACCTGGGGCGCTAGGCCTGAAAGCGAGAACGGCTCCCAACGCGGCCTGCGGAGTTTAGAATTTCCCGTCAAATCGGGGGCACCAGAAACTTACACGATGATCGTTGGAAGCGTAATGATATTTCGCTTACCTTTTGTAGTCTTGCTTACGCAGACGAGTCCAGATAAACAGACACAAAAAAGCAAAAAGTCCCCTGCCGATACAGCGAACCCGACCGAATCACACACCGCCGTCACTGATTTTTCATTTCGCCTCGCCACTGCACGATTCGAACCGACTCCGCGCTAAAAAGTAGTGCACGAATGCTACCGCCGTTTCTAATTTTAGGTAAGCACGTTGTGGATGGGTAATGCTACAGAACGATATTGTTCTGTATTTTAAATGCTTTAGGGATCAGTTGTTAATTTATTATGCGTTCCTACCTGACAGCAAAAGAAAAAGAAGGCGGGCTGTGTTCCTCCGCGACGCCTTTTGTCGGAACGAGAACCTGTTTGTGTGAGGTTCGGGCGACGCGTATTTTTTGTGCTGCCATTCTTTGCGGCGCGCTAGCCCGTCCGTCCCGTCCGCACAATGCTCTTCTCACCCTAATTTCAGGGCAAGAAGCAATCATAAACCACCCACTCCATCTTTATTTTTTATTACTGCAGTTGTTTGACGCGCCGACGGGCACGCTCCATTTTCTTCAATCTCTGCCTCGCGCGAAGGGCAGTCGCCGCAATTTTCGTACGACTGTCGCACGCGCTCGTGCTCTCCTTGTGCCCTCTTTTATCGTTTGGCTGGCGCATAAACAATGCCGGGGTGGAGAAGAAAGAAATATACATCACAAACTAAAACGGGATAAGTGGTATGAACCCCCTAACGGGTGACCTTTGTGATTGGAGTGTAATTTCGCCTGCGTCCTAAGATAGATAGATTCAGAAGTGCGCGTGTGTATGCGTGCATGTGTGGCACCCCGGGGGGTTGTTGGACTTACGGGAAAACGGAACAGTTTATAAATAGCGGAATGGGAGTGGCCCAGGTGTCCAGTCGCGGGACACTTTTTTCCTGCTTGGAGACTGCGCACGCTTCTCTTATTAACGGAAGGAACCACTACGCTATATTTGACATAAATAATTACTTCACACCTATAGCCATTTCATTGATATTACACATTACTTCAAGCACATATCATCGAGTACTCTAACATAGAGTTGGTAAATATATTTCAAGCTCATGTACTTGAAGTATACTGTACATTGTACTTTACTTGAGGCACATTATCTGAGTATGTACTTGTACTTTACTTAGTTTCTTTTTTTCCTGGCATTTTTGAGAAAAAGTACAACTCACGACTTCAAAGACCATTGCCAAGAGTTGGTCTTGTTAAATTTCTGTCACAAAATGATAATCTAAAGAAAAACAGCAGGGGTATTTTATACTCTCATCAGGAAAGTGAGCAGACAACGCACCGCTCATCTGGTCATTCCTCTGAGTGATATAATGGGCGGCTATAAGACCGATTCAAATAAGTGCCTTATAATCTACTTCGTGGCCACTTGACTTATTTCAATATTCGCCGCATTTTCTAAAATAACCCCTGATACAATGCATACCAGATAAACGGAAAAAAAAAAAAAAACATAAACACTGTACACTTGTTGTTTACTTTGAAAGTAGACTATTTATAGCACCTTACTTTAAGCAGATTGCGTCCAGAGAACTTCGCTTTCGCGTCGCGCTCGTCTTGATAACAAAGCCGCGCAAAATAGCGAGAACGAAGTTCCCCTCGCTCTCAAAAATCTCGCAGCCGGCCAGCGAGTGCCGTACACGGGAGAGGGGCCCGCTCCGGCCACGCGCACGGTGGGCTCTAAACTTTTGAAAAAGACTGTGCATAACCTTTAATTTACCTTGTACTTTACTTGAAATACTTTTCAGATGTACTTTACCCAACACTGCTCTAACACGTCACCGAAGTCTGTAAATGAACAGGTTTGCCCACAAACTGCTCCTTTCCAGAAGTTGGTAAAACTTCAAAAATATATTGCGGAAAATTGCGGAGCTATACTTCAATGAACACATTAATACCAATAAATAAGCTTATTCCGGGTACTGGGATTCACACTTCCCAGTATTTGATTGAAGATTCAAACACGACAGCATCGTGTTTGAATGTACTTACTAACCAGTCGGAGAAGACCCTGTGTGGAATCGCACACATTTTCCATTTCTCACGCTCAATTACTTCTCTTGCTTCTATTTCTTATATATATATATATTTTTTTTTTAGCAAAGGGTAGTTGTGAGTGGGTCAATAACTCTTATGTAGGCTCCGGGAAATAATTACAAACGACGTGAAAAAAAAATATCCGCAATAATATTCTTGGACTGTGCCGCTTCGGCCTTCGTGCGACTTGTAAGTCTCTCTCTCTCTCACCTCCGCACGAGACTATTTTCTCCCCGCAAAACATTTTTTTTCCTGCTTCTCTACTTCTCCTGCCGATCGACCGAACCCGGACACTTAGTAACCTCAATTTCCTAACCAGTAGCAGGTTCCTGCATAACTGCTATTACCATGCCTTAAAACCCGTTTGTTTTTATTTATATATATATACCTTCGCGCGCAGGTCGGTTGCAGTGTTTTCAGTACTTATAGTTTACTCCGTGTCCTTCCGGGAAAAATCTCTGCCTGTAGCTTATCTGGAGCTATGGTTTTATGGTAATTTACGAGGAAGGTAAGCTAAGTTGACTTCCGAGTGCATTAATTCGAAGATGTCTTCAGAGCCCTCTGGCTCGTCAAACGGAGTGCTTGAGTTTTGTTTCTCCGCTGACCATGGAGGTCGATTGTTTTCTTTTGCACCCATGCTGGACAGAAAGTTAAAATAAGAATTGTGTTGGAAAGGTGCGTATTCATACTTTATATTGGAAGTGGTCCATCGTGTCAGATGTGTGATGTGTACAAGAGGTTTACATTTCAGATCAGCGGCGTAGACTTTCCATTTTCCCGGAGGGGTAGGGGGGGGGGGGGGGGGGTGCTTTTTCGCGGAAACAGAAAAGCACCCCCCCCCCCCCCCCCCCCACGGAAGCACGCTGGGATTCCATTTCCCATGTATTTTGTCAATAAAGGCAACGTGGGTATTATTTTGTTTACATGCCACTACTAGAAACTCGTTACATGGCACGTAAACAGCGTCTCGGTAAGGACCATGGCCCGGGCCCGCACGAGCCCCGATGCCCCCCCCCCCCCCAGTAGTCTACGCCTGTGTTTCAGATGATGGTGAACCGTGACAGTGTGCTGGAAAAGATTAAAAGATTGAAAGCAGGAAGAAAGAAAAAATTGTGTGTACATTGGGGGGGGGGGGGGGGGTACAGACAGCATCCCAAACTCAGCTACACCAATGTCGCCCCAGTGGCGTCAGAACAGGGGAGACAGGGGAGGAGGGGGTTGCCCGCTTTTCAGGTATTTCAAACTTAATGTAATCAATTCGGTAAAAACAACAAAACTCCCCCCCCCCCCCCCCGACTCCCTAATCCGACGCCCCTGACGTCCATTTTAGTAGATCGTTCCGATGCCTCCGGTAACGATGCTCGATGCCCCGTCGACGCCTTCGCCCGTGCATCGTATCGTTATCGCGGAGGTATCGGAAACATCTGCTAAAACACTCTATTGACTAAGTTTGAGAAGTTATCTGCCCCCATTTTTTCTGTCTCTATTACAGTACTTTTCCTCTTTTACACCCCAGTATAAATTGGAAAGTTTTAGCAGACCGTTCCGGGTACCCCTAATAACGATACGATGCATGCGCAAAGGCGGCGGCGGAGTACCGGGTAATCGTTTATAGGAGTCATGGGAGCGATCTATTAAAAAAGAACTCTCAAAACGGGGGGTGTGGGAGGAAAGAAAACCGCGATTTTACATAGTTTTTCGTATCGCAAAAATAAACCATACGTATCGCTCAAAGCCGAACTGGACGCCGAAGTTTCAGAACTTCAAGTCATCTAAGCCAAAGGTTACGAGCGATTTTCGCAAATTTTTTAACGCCGAGAACGGGGGCGCGTTTTCGGTAGCTTTCGTCATTCATCTCCGTGCATCCGTGGGTTTCGTAGACCGCCACTTCCCCATCGAAAATTTCCGAAAACCGATAATAACTTTTGGATCAGACGGCAGCCAGCAAGCTCTGGAACTTTCAGCGTCTGGTCCGGATCGCTAGTGCTACACTTGGGCATAAACGGGCGTTCGGAAAAGCATAATTTATTTGAACTGTAAATAATAATAATAATAATCAGCGACACTGTATTTGTACTGTAAACAGCTCTGAGGCCTTCAGATGGTTCGTTTTTTTCAATTCACAGGACTGCGTGTTCCGTCTGGATATTCGAAAAACACCAATCGACAGGCGCCACATTCTTTCTTTTTCTGTGAAATGTTCATTTTTGGGCCACATTCGGAGTTTTTCTTTCTCTCCGTACAACAGGGCCGAGAAGAATGCGAACGCCACGCCGGCACAACGGCGTCTCGGACGCTCCTACATCCTGAATGCTCTGTGGCTTTCCAAGTCTCGCCGGGAGCGTGGTCATGTGACCTCAGGTCACGACCGCTCGTGGCTCACTCAACGCGTCTGACCGGAGCGCGAATGCCTGCCTTTTCCTTCGCCGTGTTTCTTTCTTGCCACCTTTTTTCCCTTCTCTCTTTCTTTCTCGGAACTGAATACAAAAGAAAAGCAGAAAACGGATCACGCACGCTGCGAGCGTACAAGCGTGCGTGCGACACGCTTCAAGCTATCGAGACGGCCTTTTTGTCTGGACTCCAAGTGACGGGGTTTTTGCGGTGATCACTGTTATATGTGCTCTAGTGGTACCGTAGTTATGCCGGTCCGAACGCGTGGTTGCTCGCGCGGTACAACAAGAACTCGAAGCGCCTCATCGCGGCGTAATGTCGCGTTATGCATTGTAGGAATCGGTGGGCCCACAGGTTCCCAGAATGCAACGCGCGCGATGACGTGCTTGTGCAAGGGGGGCGGGGGGTACCTCCCCCCCCCCCCGCCCCCCCCCTCCCGCCCCCTCTCACTTCAGTCCACATCCCGTAAAACCCCTTCATGAAGACGTTTTTTACAAGTACCGCCAATCATTCTTTGGAAACGCCCGAGACACGTGCCACAAGCGGGTGCTCCACCGCCATTCGCTTCCAAGGGCCGCTCATTCCAGTGCTGCGCCGCCACCTGCTTGCAAGGACCCCTCGAGACACGGGCCTCGTGCACTGGCGCATTTGACGCTACTTGCAAGGATCGGTGGGCCGAGTAGGTTAGCGCAAACCAGCTCGGAGCACGT